TTCTGTTATATTATTAATGAATAAGCGGGTAGGTTGTATTCTAACGCATTTTAGTGTAAGGACGATTTAGCGTACGTGTCAAAAATAATGATTGAATTGACATTCATTAAAAAAAATTATGTATGGACGATATCAGTTTATTTGACTAAATTGAGTTAGAACAGAAGGTTTGTAAATTTAAAATATATACCTCTAATAAGATTGTCTCTTTTGTTACACATATCCTATTTTTAGACAACAATAAACAAAACGGTAAAGCTCCTTATAAATATCGTTTATAGAGATAATATTACTTTAAAACTGAGCTTATTAGTTGATATTCTATTAAATGTATGCAAGAAAAATGCTAAATATGATAAATTCAAGTTTTTACTCATTACTACTATATTTAAAACCTTTTTGATCAATGTGATGAAAGGGAAAACTCAGAAAATATGTACTTTATTATATAATGAACTAGCATATTGTTTTCGAATAAGTTATCGTTTATTTCTTTTAAATAATTGAATTATATCGGTAATAATAATAGAGCTTGTTAATTTTTTTAAGGCTAGCTTTCAGGTAATCTCTACCTGTCTATTTCTCTTTCTTTCTCCTCCTCCTTGTCGTTATTGTTAATACTTCCTTTAATACTTTTTTAAAGGATAAAACAGTACTTTCTTTTTAAATATTGTATTTATTTGTAAAGAGAATAAACTAATAGATTTGTTTATAAAAGCTTTACACCCTAGTAAGCACTGTATTAGCTTTTTTTAAAAGATTCCATTTCGAATAAGCTGTTGAAAAGCTCTATGGAAGCTATTCCGCTTTGGTAGACGAAATTGTTTACAAACTTTGTTACCAGTATGTAAATGTTTTAGGGGTTAATCAACATATTAGACTTGTTTATAAAATAGAATAGGTAATACTCTAATACATAGATTTTACTCTGTATATATATTTATAAATTCTAAATAGCCTACACGTAACTTTTTACGCTAATGTCATCTAAAGTGTATAAAAATAGTTTATAGCATTTAAGTTTCTGGATGATATTGTTGAAAAATGCACTTTTGTATGTACTTAATAAGTACGTAATACAATATAAAAAATGAACATTACGAGTGTACTTCTTTGATTTATACAATGAAATTGTATTTTTTTTTTACACTGTAGTCTTATTACTTAATTTTGTATTCAGACTTTCACAGTTAAAACTATTCTAGTCAATTTCTTCATTTATTAAAAACATTCCTAACGCGTTTCATTCATAAGAAATAAGAGATTTATTTAGTTTATATTTAGTTAAAGAAAATACATTCTAAAACTCCTTTGTTGCAAATTATCTCAGAAATCCACTAAATTATGATTTTACCTCTTTAGGATTTATGCTGATTCTCTTAAAAAGATTTATTTATTTATATATAGAGTATATATGTGCATTCCATATTTTCTATGAAAATGATAACTAAGTGCTCCAACATTTGATTGAGTAGAGTAGAGAGGCGGAAATTGTCAATTTTGTATTATTCTTTATGTTTTATTTCAGATTCTGAAAAATATGATTTAAACAAATACAAGATATTTTTTTAAAAGTATTATTTTATCATCATTACTAAAAGTATTATATAAAAAGAACAAAGGAAGAATATCAGGTGAAAGAGGTGAATTGTCGTAGAAAGGAAGGTGATAAATAGCTACTAAGATTGAGATCTTTTTTTTGCCATTATAACATAATTGATAGACTACCTCAGTATGCTAATTGAAAATATCAATATATTTAGTATAGTAGTATCCTTCGTAAATTTATTAGATGATATTAATTAGAGAAAGAATACACATTGATGTTTACTCGGAATAAATATGGAAAATTTACAAACTAACTAAAAAAGGAATCGAAAATAACAAAAACTGTAAAAAAAAATAGTTATTATATACAGTAAACGTAATGTACTGTAAAAACTATACATAGCATTTTGTATTACATAGTCTTTCTTTCTTTTTTTTATACAAAAAAGTCTTTCGTTACTGTATTGTCAATATATGAAAATTATATTGTCTTAATACATTAGTTTTTTCGTATAAGACTCTTTTTTATATAACAGGAAATATACAATTATCAAAAATTTACCATTTTTATAAACAGAAAATAAAGTATTATTGAGGTATTGAAATTCTAAATATATATACAAACAAAGCTAACAAGAGGAAAGCAAGAAAATTGAGTTATACTTAAAAATAGAATATAGAAAAGTTTGCTTTATATACTGTATAAATATAGATACTAATATATATATATATTGTATATAGATACTGTAGTATATGTATTTATATACATTCCCGAATGTTATAATTAATATAATTTGAACTTGTAAAAGTGTTTCCCTTCTCTTTTACACACTAATTCTGTTTATTTTGTTAATTCTTTTATTGATACCATTTTTTTATTGATTCCCTTCTTTCTACTTAAAATTAATCTTATCGACTATGATATTTAATAAATAAGGAACGAAATAAGAATATATTTGCTCTATAATACACATGCAACATATACTTTATATATACAGCATATACTAATATATTTATAAGTACGTATGCTGTATTGTAAATGTACTGTATGTATGCCATAACACTTTTAAATACTCATAGAAGATAATATCTTCTTCCGAATTAACGTGTAGATTTTCAAACACAGTTATAATAATATCACTCTGTTTGGTTTTATAATAACTTTGTTTCTGTTTACATCAAAAGAAAACAAGAAAAGGCAAACAAAGCAGTCGATTTCGTTTGTAGTCAAGGAAAAAAGATAGAATACTATAGTTGATAACTTTTACCTAAAAATAATATCATATCTATTTCTAATCGTTAAGTTAAATTGTATTACATTCTCATAAGATTCCTTCGTGTTGTAGTTAAAGGCGTAAGGTTTTAACATAAGAACATTCTATAGTAAAATATTATTGCGTATTTTTTCTTTCCTTGAATGAATACTAATAAGGGATTAAGTATGGCTAGAAAGAAATATATTGCTTGAAAATTGATTCCAGTTGTTTTCAGTATATTGGCTTTTCGAAGATAGTTTCTTAAGGTTTAATAGAATTTTTAGATGTAATGTAACTGTCAAAAGATTTCTTAGTTGCTTATCTTCTAATAGTTTTAACTTTCTTTCAAGTTTCTAATTTTAGAAGTCAATTTTTGCGTCTGAAATTATTCTCCTCGTTTCTTCTACTCTTATTTAAATTCTCATTCTATTACTTTTTTCCCTTTTCAAAAGAAAGATCTAAAACTAAGATAGCGCATTTGCTCTCATAAATTATGTTTACGAATTACGACAAGCAGCAGACTGACGTCACATGGAATGTATTTACTCCACAGTATAGTATGGCATAGACAGTGCAAAGTTTGCTTCTATCTCCGTTGCCAGTTATTCAAATAAGAGAGAATTACAGATAAATTAACAACAAAGAGAAAATAATACTCTTACTTTCTCATCTTTAAAATAATAATATCTACTTTATCGAGATTTGCTTATTAAATATTGTTAAGAAAATTATATTTTAACTCCATTCCCCTTCTACCTGCTGCTCTTTATCTTCTTGAGGTGATCCTTTCCAAAATTTTACAGAGGAAATTTTCATAAGTTCTAACAGGTTAGTTTCTTTATAAATTCTTCCTTTTCTTTCTTGTCAACTATGAAGATATTAGAAATTTAGTAGGTATATATTTCTTTTACTGCTATTTTATTTCTTCCACCTAATACTATTAATTGAATAAAACCCGTAAAAACTTATAGAATTAGAGAATGTTTTTTTGTTTATAATAGGCCTATTGGCCAAAAAAAAATATTCTATAGATAAAAAATACTATACCATATGCGAATAAGTCTTTCTTTCTTGTTTTTTTCTGTCATATTTTGCACTAATATAAGTTAAAAATTGAATATATTTAAAGAATTTATAGTTATAGTTAAAGCATTTGAGAAATTTTAGCTTATCTTCGTATCTTCGTTGAATAAAAATGGTTTTGTTAACTATTTTTGTATATTTCCACTGTATTTTTATTTTAAATTATGATATTTCTTTAATCTCTTGTGTACTCTAAATTTATTTAAATTGCTTCTCCACCCACCTCTCTCTCTATCTATCTCTCTCTGTTCTACCTTTGTCTATTCCCACCACCTATTATTTTTTTCAAAAACATATGCAAAAAGAGATAAAAGAAGCAGTTACTAATACAGATTCTAATTCCTGAATTTTTATTAAGGTAATTGTTCTAAAAGTACTAATAGATATTAGCTATGAGCCTTTATAAAAGCCTTTTATGCAGTATCATTTAGCACTCCTTCCTTGTTGCTTCCCTCTCTTTCTCTCTCTCTCTCCTCTCTGCCTTTTACTTATACCCCATTCGGTGTCTCTCTCCTTCCTTTTTTCTTTAGAGCCTGCGAAACTGTAAACATATCCCCGGGAAATTCTAAACGTTTCTATTAAGCTTATACTTATTGTATAATTAACTAAGTTGAGAAAAATTTAACTTCTGAAAACATGTCGAGGATAAACAGGATCCTTTTTCCTAGCATTTTATTTTACTTGTGTAAAAGTACAGAGTATTTGTGTTTCATGAAGATATTAAATGGCTGTCAACTTCATATTTCTCCTTATAGAGTTTGATCTAAAGTTAATAAATAGAATCTTTAAGCTATTCCTTAAAATTATAATTCTTAGATGGAAAGTACATACAGAGTGACAGAGATAGACAGTAAGAAGGAGGAAATATTGATTTTAGCAAAGATAAAGAGCTAAACAATGAATATTGTATATAAAAATATCATGTCCTTATTTTTTCTCGACCCCTTTTACCCTACTGTCTATTTAATAAAACAATGAAAAAGTTAAAAGTGGCATCTTAAATAATTTTATTATTATTAAAGGTTAACTTTTTGACATTTTAAAGATCCAATATCGTATACTATATTTTCCTAGTTTATTCAATGTCAAACATTTTCAGAATACCTTTCAAAAGATGGAAAACTATTCTTATCCCGGATCGAATGCCACTTTACGAGGGGCGACGATTGTAGAAAATTATATCAGCGCTGTTGTACAAATTGTTGGAATGATATTTAACGTAATTGCATTCCTAGTGCTTTGTCGAAAATCTCACCGTCATCTATCAGCTAATGTATATTTGGCATTTATAGCTATATGCGATTTCTTTTGTCTGCTGTCGAAAGCTATACATACTTACGATGCTACATTCACACCTTTCAAATGTTACGCAGCACATATCCTCGCCGATTTTAGCATCCCCAGCTCAGAGGTATTAATTTGTGTTGTTACTGCGGAAAGAGTGTGGATTGTTTATAAACCATTATCGCTACAATTATTTACTTCTAAGAAAGCTGTTTTTGTTAGTTTATTGACTATGGCATTATTCACCATCGTATACGTTACTCCTACTGTTGTACACATCAAAATAACGGACAGAGAGTGCACAACAGAAGGCGTCCTTGATTGGCTAGTCTATTTACATATATCCTTATATATTTTCTGCTATATTTTCCTGCTAATTGGTCATAGTATTATTATAAAATCACTGGGTTGTTATCCAAGCACATCAAGAAAAAATTGGAAGGAAAAAAATTCTGTGGTTGTGCTTGGTATGAAAGAAAGACAGAGTATGCTCAGGGGTAGGAAAATGCAAGTGAAGAGTACTAGCTTGAAAGAGTCTCAAGCAAGGAACGTGATTCAGAAAGATATTTTTATTTAGTAAATAAACTCACAACAGCTGACTCAGGGTTCTATTGTACATTTTTATTAGATTGCAAAATGTAATAAACGGGTATGGTTTAAAACTAGGAAACGGAAGTGAAAACATACGAGGTTTAGGTCAAAATGTTAAAAAAGAATAATATACGATTCCTAAATTGCAAATCTGTAAGTTATCAAGCGAATAAGCGAAAATATTAAAAATTCTAAGTTTCTCTCATCAAAAATATCTAAGTAGCCTAACGAATTAAATTTAAAGCTTACTCTGGCTCACATTTCTTAAAGAATTTAATTATCTACGAAAGTGAGCGAGTAAACCAGACATTCTCCAGCGGAGATATTAAAAAATCCTCTTCGCTTTGACACAGGTGATTAAGGCCTATCTAATAAAATAATTAACTAGAAAATTTCTTTAATTCATACAAAGATTGCATGGTTAGTAAAGAACAATATATATTATCTTTGAATGCGTGAATGTCGATAAATAAAATACAATAGTCTGATCATAGTTTACCCTGTCTTATTATAAGAATGTTAAAATTCTTTCATTAATCTAACTAATTATTATATAAGATAGGAGAAATTATTAATATAATTAAGATAGTTATACAAAATATTCTACATTTTGGAGAGTGATTTCACAGGTTTTTTCTTTATAAACTGTCAATTATCGTTATTGTTTTTAACTATAATTGATCACTTGATCATCGAAACGTCTCGTTCCTTGACTATTTATACATCAAATTTTTTTTCAATATTCTATACTATTAAACTGTATAGTGTATATTAACAAGTAGTAATTGATTTCTTATTCATTCATTCTTTCTATCTTAGCTAATCAATTTTCTATTGTATTTGTGTTTTGTCATTAACATTTCCAGTTCCAAGCAATTTAGCTATTTCTAAAGATTCCCCTTTTTTCCTTTTTATAGATCTATTATATTGAACTGACAGACATGTCGGAATCTATGCTGCTATAATATAAAGCATAGCATGATACCTTCTATATATAAAAAAAAACAAAGTGTTTCTTTCATTTTATATACCTCAACTTGACATATTAACATTCTGTAGTTACTTGCTAATGAAGAAATTTTTCTTGCCTAATTAAGATATACGGCGTATTGTTTTGCTCCTGTTCCATCTCGGGTTTAAGTAAATAAGAAAAGGAAAGAATTGAAAGCGTAAGGGTAGAGAGAATAAAGCAAAGAACGGCTTCAACCAACCTAGTAAAAGCTATATTTAATTCTAAACCATTTCAGCTATCATCACTTTAGTAAATTCATATAAGCTAAAATACAGAACATTAAGAAAGTTGAGGTAAATAATAGATATTTTTTATACAAGATTTTATGTGAAAACTTATACTAAGTACATATACAAAATTCTCGGTATTTGACTTCTATTTTCTTACCTTTATATCGTTTTCACTACTCAATTTCAAGAGAATATGTACTATATACATATAAATACTGTATATACTATAGCTATAAAAGAATTATCAAGTATAATACCTTTGCCCACTTATCTAAATTTTTTCCTTTATACTTTCCCTTTTTTCTTTTTTACCTTACCACTTAAAGAAGAAAGTTATTATTAGTATAAATAACAGTTTTTATTAAACAAAACTCTCTAGTTGATAATCCTTTAGCAATTACAAAGACAATATTATTGACTAAATACAGTACAATAATATAGAACTTGGCAATTTCCTAAGTTAATCAATATAATATTTTTCTTTTTCAACAATTGGAAACATAGATTGAAAAGAGGGAAAAAAATTAATGAATCTTTCCAAATTTTGAGTATTTGCGTAAAAAAGTCACATATATAAATACAGTATATATACTGTATATAGGCGTTTAGGATCTTTTCAATTATCACAATACTTAGTTAGGTTTTATAATATATTATACAAATTTACTCTTTAAGCTTTCAGGTAATGTTTGTCATACCTTAGAAATATGTATACATCTAAAGGGTTAGAGCAAATGGTATACAGAATAAAACAAAAAAAGTCTTTCTGAATTACGCTCCTTCTTACAAATATAGACACGTGACAAATATTTTGCTGGCTATTTCAATAACGTATTTTCTAACTACTTTTCCCTATTTTATTTGGATGATCTTGGATTTAAATGAACTATTGAAAGACAGGGGAGTTGGCCTATTATTTGAGAAGATTGCATCTTTACTTTTTCAAATTAATCATAGTGTTAATCTTCTACTCTACACCGTTTGCGGAGCAAGATTTCGAGAAGAACTTTTCGGGATGTTCTGTTTCAACAGATTTCGCAGGAAGGCTAGAGTACCTTTTGATTCGGTTGAAAGATGTAAAAAGCACAGCCTTACAACAACTGGCAATACTCTTATGTAATGTTACTTTTCTACTTATAAAAGTTAAAAAAAAACAAAAAAAACAAGACAAAAATCCAAAAATAAAGCAAAAAAAAACTTCCAAACTTCTTAACTTCTTTTAGCATTAAAAACAAACAAAACAAACAAAATAAAGAATAGTAAATAATAATATAATAAATAGACATTTTAAAAACAGACAAATAAACAAAAAACATATTAATTAACTTAATTAAAACAAAAAAATAAATATGGATGACGACAAAAATTTAAAAATCATAAAATGATCTTTTCAGGAAAAAATTAAATGAAAATTGGAATTAGTTCTTAAGAATATGACGATTGATGTGGACTATTTTGAAACAATTTTTCCATATGTATTATAGAGTCATTAGTCAGATATTTTAAAAAACAATTGAATGTAAACAAAACAAATATACAAATGATAAATTCATATAAACAAAAACAAAAGATATGTATATATATATATATATATATATTGACGTTACGTTACGTTGTAATTCTTTATTTTTTTATAAACGTTTTATTTTGTGTTTAAAAATAACGAAAAAATTCATTCTCTGTTGACGAAGAATGGCGGCAAAATTTGGTGAATGTTCTTCAATCGATGAAAAATCGGAAGGAAAATTGGAAGAGAGGAATGAAGTAAGCTGTAATTCTGATTCATCGTCAACTTTTAGCTCAACTTCAGTCTTTGATGAAGAAGAATTGGACCAAGTTTTGGACTCTTTAAAAGAAGAGCACAATTTATTTGTTTCATTTTTAACTCTTCTTATCTCAAAGCTAATAACCATAGATAAATTTAAGAGCGAAAAGAAACCGGAAGCTGATCATTTACAGACGGAAATTGCTCAATTGGTCATAGACGTTGCAGATATAGTAGTTGACGATGATATTCTTAATGAGGGGTCAGTTAAAGAGTTTAAACAAAAGATTGCTGAAAGAATTAGTAACAATCCATCCAAAGATTAGAATAAAACAGAGACTTTTAACTCAAGTAAAATGGCACTACTTATGTATTATGTGTTTTTGTGTGCTTTTTCAATAAACTTAAATATATATGTTGTTTAGATAAAATAACAGATTTGAAAGAGGAAGATGAGCTAAAATTACTTTATAATTAGAGATGTGTAATTTAAATATAACATAGAAGGTCATTGAACTTGGAACAACTGTCACATAAATACATAATATGTGATATATATATATATATATATTATATATACAAGACAAATTATTTATACAAAATATACATCCATAAGAAAGAAAACTTCATATATTTAACAAACCTTTTATGTGCTAAAAATCATTTTGTATTTATAAAACATACAGAATTATCCTACGTAATCATAGATATATACAATATATATATATATACAGTATATATATATATATAATTTTTAATATTAACCATCCAGGTAGTTTATTGCTTAGATTTTTCCCAAGTTCTTATTCCTTTGAAGTTTTCTCCTTTTCCTAAAAGACAAAATCAGTCACTCTTCCAATTCTTTCTGAAGTAATTAAATGGATCAAAAAGAAAACAGAAATTATGTTTTCTCTGAATTGTCGTTTAAGTTATAGATGATTTTTGTTTCTCATGTATGGTGTAGAAGCTAGTTCTTCATTAGTCTTAATTGTACTTCCTCTTCTCAATAGAGCATAAGAAATGTGAGAGTGGTATATTGACATTTTGCAAAGGGAAAAAATAAATCTCAAAACACTCTGAAATATATTTCTCTTATACATATTTAACAAAATATAGATATAGTGGTAAAGAAAGCATAAATCATCATGAGAAAATTCATGTCTCTTATTCAATTGCTGTTCAGTAAAATTGAATATCTTTATAAAAGTGTGTGTTATGGAAAATCTAGAAAAAGAGGGAGAAGATTGTTTGAAAATTTATATTATATTCTTGTCTCCTTCTTATTTGAAATACATATAAATAGGATACATGTGATGTATGATAATAAAAGGTATGCATCCTTTCATCAATATTGATTCTTCTAGAAAATACATTTGCTTGACCCCTTTCTCGACTATTCCTCAGTTTATTCTTCTCCCGTTCTTTAACGTATTTTGTTATATCAAGAAGTTATTACTTGTGTCCGAAAGCTGAGTCATTAGCCAACATGAAAGAGTATTTTTTGTATCATTTTTAAGTTATTAATATAAATTATTTCAATTATATTGGTGGACAGCTCGTTATAAATTGCCTATTTTGCACGATTTTTTTCTTATATCCTTCTTTACAAGGAATCTTCTTGGATAGTTGTTTTCCAAGTTGATACAGCCAGTCTCTCTTTTATGTTTATCCAAATAGAATAAACTAGCTAACACCGAAGAAAACAACCCTTATTGTACGATTGATCATTAAATTCTATTTTTCTAATATGCAATACTCTATTTTGTATTTTTAATTTAAAAGTGTCATGAGAAGTTTGTTTTTTCTATCTTCATTCATTTACTATTTCAAAGAGATCTATTAAAAGCATTCCTTTTTCTCACGTTAAATTAAAGTCAATTTATTACCGATACGTTTTTGTCAGAAACATAAAGTATAATGAGCTGTAGGTAAAAATCATACTTTAATACTAATTGTTACGGTAATAGTACTTGAAATGTTGTATTCGTCTTCAATTAATTTCCATCTACATTTTGAAAATGTCCATCTAACTGATGTTCGTTCATGTAATTTTGTAATTTCTCAGCAATGAAACCTTTCTGCACGATCCTTAATACTTGTAAAAAGCGTTCAAAAACAGGTCTTCTTTGAATCTTGTCCAAAAACAGTTTATTTCTTTCTAACGTAGTTGAACAATTCTAAAATTCAAATTTTTGTCAATTAGATAAAGCTTTGAAATAAATGTAATCGTCATACCCTTATTTCTTCAACATCATGTTCATTTAAAATTAGTTTCTCTTGGCAAGTTGCGAGTAATAATATATCCGCATCTAGATTCTGCATTAAGTACACAAGATTACCAGTTATCACAGATTTTTCATTAATCTCCATTCTTTCCCCTGCGATATTATAGCGAGTATTATAAAATCCAGCATATTCATTAATCGAAAATAAAGTTATACCTCAAGCAATCAATCAAAAAAATGGAATTGCGTCGTCTGCTAAGTTTTTTAGCCAATGAGCTAATTTCTAACAAGCGACCACATCCTATTAGCCAATGAAAATAATGAAAATACGTTATATATATATATAACCATGCAACCATGCTTAGGTAAATGATTAAATCATTTATCAATACAATTTGTATTGCTATCACTTAACAGCATATCGGTGTAAAAGTGAAATACGAAGAGAACTATTATTTACGATAAAAAGTAGAATTTCTTCTTTAACTTGCAGCTGATAAGTGGTTGTTGCAAATATAAGTTGTTAAATGTTCTTGATGCGATATACCTTTGCGTTCTTGATAAAATTGTTAATAAACATTCAGTTTGTGCGTAATATTTGATAGCTATTAGCAAAGTCCTAATAAAATAAGAACCATGGGTAGGACTTCTCCACGAAACGTATCCTTTAACAGTAGAAAATGCAACTAATATATCTGATTCTGGATGGTGAAAAAAGTCAATTTCATCTCTCTGATCTTCGCTACAGCTCACCTTTCTATCTGTCAAGTTGAAAATAAAAGACTATAATTAAATAATTAGCTGGAAAATAGTTTAGATAGATTCTATCCCTACTTCCTTGGCAGGCTTGATAGATGAAAATTTTAGGTTTTCCACTTAATCCTACACAATTTTCATTGCTAAATTTTCTTTCAATCTGCGAAAATTCATAAAAACCGGAAGATCTATTATTATTTGGATTTCCATCCTTTAAGTAAAAGCCATTCTCATCCCCATGAGATAGTACAACGAAGAAGAATGAATTAGCAATCTCGTGAGTCGTCGAGTTGATTTCTTTCCTTAATTTCTGCTCAAATTCCTGTAATTAACTGTATTTTATTCCTATTTCTCTTTTCATATATAGAAAACAATTACAGGCTTTGTACAATTATTCCAAATTTCCACATCATAACCTAAAGTTGTGAAAATTTCACTTATATTACGACAATCCCAATGGCTTCCTGTACGATCCCTTAATATTTCCTTCTTTTCAAAATGAGTATTACTAACAATAACAATCCGACCCTTCATCTGTCCTTTTGTATTGTAACAGTCCTATGTAAATTACCATAATCAATTTGTAATTAATTATAATCTTTTACAGAAATTACGGTTTTACCTCCAAATCTATATTCGAAGAATTATGTAAATGAAATTTTCCTTCTATTAAAGGTTCTCTTTCTGTTTTACATAGGAAATGAGAAAATATAAAAGTTCTATATTAAAGTTTCAACGGCTATCACCTTCATTGACGAAATCTGATAAATTCTTTTCCCTTTTCTCTTTGGAGTTTGATTCCTTAACTATGCGATGGTCTAATTTATCATTATTATTTCGTCTTAATACATAAGAGGATAGGAAGTTTCTCCATTTTCTTAGAGCCATTGCACTTTTTAAAATGCTTTTATTATAATTATTATATTTCCTCGTTCTCTCTTCGACTCTATATCTTCTACTAATGAAAAACTAATGAATTTTTTCTTATTTAAAGACAATAAAAATCCCTAAAAAGTAGCTATCGAACACGATCCATCAACAAATTGAAGAGACAGATGTCAACTCTGCGGTACATTTTCAATTTTTTCTTATGAAAGGTATAATCAGTTTTTCCCCCGTTATAAAACAAAGATTTACTGTACTAGAATTAGTTATTTATATAACAAATGTCAAAGCTACAATGTCTTTAACACTGTTAAAAAGTATCTACGTATACGCCACGTTTAATATCGCTCTTTTCAATATACAAATGAAATTAATAATATTAAAAAATGAAAAGTTTTCTCAGATAGATCATTAATATATCTTTTTAATTAAAATAAATAATTATACATTGTAAAAGCATAATTTCATTATTTCTCCTAATGATAAGACTGTAAGTGAAACGTGACTGAGTCAAGGGATATAATATGCACAAGAGATTACCAATTTACATGATTATCCAGCAGCTTTACGTTCCGCATGAATCCTTTTGTTACTCCTCAATCATTCGATTTCTTTTTAGTAATTTAAGTATTAATGAGTAAAGTCTATATAAAATAGTGGTCTGCAAAGTCATACATTAAATATTTATTAATCTTTAACGAGTAGACTTTATTTAAGAAACATTGCAGATTACGTTCTGCATAGTTATTTATTAATAAAAAAGACGTTAGAAATTGTCATAAACTGTTAGAAAATGCATAATAATTGACTTTAAGAACAAATATATGACATTATGCATCTGTTAAATTCATTTATATTGCTTTTCCTTGACTTTAAATTAGATTAGGAAATGGACAATATTCTTCAGAGTTGAACAATTTAAAACCCGTCTTATTGCACAACTAAGAGAAATTTTTAACTATTTTATCTTCACTAAATAAGTGAATATTTCACAATCAGCTGATAAAATAACGTAGGCCTGTAAGAAAAACATCTTGTCTAGATAAAACTTCGGCTATCATATAAAGGTTGTTGCCAGCAGTAATAGTATTCATAGTACTCTTTAAACAAGACCGACCAGTTATCAAATCGATGTTTAAGGCAATATTGTTTATTAGCCACCTAGCAATTTTAGGTTCGGCGTCGAATATTTTACTTTTAACACCTCCAGTTACAAAGTATGCTTCCAAGAGTCACGCAGATAATATGGTTGTCCTTGGAAAAGGGTTGATTGAGGCTGGCCACGATGTTAGCATTTCGCGTCAAGGAACTGTTCGAATAGATAATCCTGGAAATATCTCATTCTTTGATGTCGCTTCTCCGCTATCGGATGAAACAGTTGAGATCATTGGAGAGACTATAAAAAAGTCTTCCGTTGATTTGCTATATCAAAATATCTCAATGTTTGCCTTGGATGAATATGGAAAAATTATTTGGAACGGCTTAATTGAAGATTGTAGAGAAATGTTGAGAGATTCATCAATGAAGAAAAGACTAGAAGAATTCGATTTATTAATTATCGATCACTTTTACTTTTGTGGGTTTATTTTAGCAGAAATGTATAAAAAACCGTTTATTATGTTTGAATGTTCTTCATACATAACATATTCAGAAGCTGTTGTTCCTTCACCAATGTCTTGGGTTCCTCCTTTTATGAGTTCTTTAACAGATAAAATGACAATAACTGACAGGGCGAAAAGTGTTATTTCCAGTTTATTTTTGTCCTATTTTTTAACAAAATTAGATAAAAACTTTGAGAAATTGAAAGCAGAATTACAAATTTCACCTGGCAAAAGTATATCACAAATTCGAAAACAGTCGGAACTGTTTTTTATGAATTCAAACAATATTTTTGAATTTCCTAGACCTCTGACCCCAAATATAATATACATTGGTGGTATGTTAGCATTTCAACCTGTGAAGAAGACAGATATTGATCCTAAAATTGAGGAAATTACATCTAAAAGGTAAATAATTTACACCTATTGCTGATTAATGAACGTTTTCTATAGACAAGTTACACATATTTTACAGATTCGGCATAGTTGTCTTTGGCAGTACTTTGAATTTTTGCAATCATCCAAGTTTATTAGACGACATACGTAAAAGTCTTGTTAAGTTTCCAGATGTTCAATGGATTTGGTCATTAAAATGTAGTTTAGATAAAGATTATCCAAATATTCATATTTTTAAATGGGTTCCACAAGCATACCTTTTATCTAAGAAAAATTGTGCCCTGTTCATATCACACGGTGGCTTAAATTCTGTTTACGAAGCAATGTATCATGGAACTCCTATGTTAGTTATTCCAATGCCTATGGATAGCACGGACAACTCAATTCGAGTGAAAAGGCATGGAATGTTGGAACTTCTACCATTTCATACAAAAGATTTGACATTCCTTCAAGAGTATATTGCAAAGATGCTGCAATCTAATGCATATAAAATATCTGCAGAACGAGTTTCTAGTCTTATCAAGTCTCAGAAACCTACGCCACTAGAGAATGCTGTATATTGGATTGAACATGTATTAGAGTTTGGAGGTAGTCATTTGAGACATTCAGCAATAGATATGCCAACATATAAACTTTATAATTTAGATTTATTGCTAATTGCATTAATTATATGTCTTTTAATTGTTTGGTTAATGAAAAAGCTAATTGTTTTCTGTTTAATGAAATGTTGTTTAAGATTTTTCAAAAAATCTAAAAAGGATTAAGATAATAATTAATAATAGAATGTTTTTTTCTGTAATATTCAAATTTCCTCTATGTTTTGTTATATAAAATATAAAAAACGGTTAGAACGTTAGACTCTAATTCATTTTCCTTGTATAACATTAACATCATTGATGTTTAACTTGACTAAATTATTAATAAGCTGTTTTGTTTCAAGCAGTTTTATATAATGTTATAACATTATTACACTTTCCACTTTAAAAAAGAAAAGTAGATGAAATATTTGACGCCTGTCTCTTGACTGTGTTGACTGACCGTGTTCAATGATTATCACTCGGTGATTTATCAAATATCCTTCTATAAATAATTAATTAGATTTCTGAGTGATTAGGAATTTATTGTAATCTTTTATTTTCCTTGAAATTCCCTGCAAAATACCTTCATATTGATAATACAGTATTTTTAGAAAGTATGGAATAATAATAAATTTAAACGCTCCTACTTATCGCGTCCTCGTGTGGCATAAATCAATAAGTAGACTATATAAGAAATTTTTTTAGTATAATCTCCAAGATTAATTGGAAAATAGAGAATGATTGATTTGTAGAATAGGTCTATAAGAGAAAGAAGTAATATTTCTTTATGGCTTTAAATCTTTTTTCTTTATCTTTTGATTATAGAAATCTTTTTTTTATAAAGATAAGATAAATTTGTGATTTGAAAACGCTTACTAGTGGTTTGTAAAAAGATACCTAGCTAACAAATCTAAATATAGGTTTAAGTTGATGTTATTTCTTTGTCAACAAACACGTTTTTAATTCTGAATTTCAAATATTTACATCACATCCTCAGTTAATAATAATATGTTTCGAGAATTTTTGTAAATTTACAATTAGATTGTGTTTTTAAGACACTGTATCGTAGAACGTCTTTATAGATAATCTGGTAATACTTATTCCTTTAGGTTTCATCCAAAGCATCTGTTGATCTCCCCTAATCTTAACTCAAGTTTAAGTAGCTAGGATTCCGTGTGCTCTTCCAACATCTATCTATACATCAAGCAACTGTGATTATATCAAATATTATAAACTATTCGATGGAAGTGTTGATGTACTTGGAAATATGATGAGAATTAACGTAGATAAATTTTCTTTATCACAATTTATAGTATATAAAATATATGGAATTTACTAGATGATTACATAATATGAAGATTTTAGTAGGAACTTTTCAATAAATATTATATAAAATTAATTAATTAGTTATATATATGTCATATATCTTCCAATTTTGGGAAGTTTGGCACCTGTAATAGAATTTAAGTTTAACTTCCTGACTGAAGTATATAGTCAATCAATATACTATACTAATCGATATGTTAAGCTCGAGATTCTCTGTGAGATAACCCGCCAATGATGAGGGAAAATATGGACGTATGTTACTTAATAAATTATAGTACCTTTCTTTCAATCATATCTTAGCTCATGGTAATTATTCATTGTGTGTTCTTTTTCTCTCTATTATACTAATAAGAGATGGAATTTTATGTTTTAAAAATAGAGGCCACAAAACATATTTGCAGAAAGATAGGCAAGCACAGTTCTAGAATTATTAGTTCGCTTTATCGCTAAACAATCTTGACTAGATACAATAACTTCCACTCACAAAGTTGGCTTAACTTATTCTCCTTTACAAATTACCAGCTTTCTTTGGTCCACGTTGATCTTCCGTTCGATATCCATTAATTAAAAACGTATCATTTTTTCTAGATAGAATATATATTGAATACATTAAAGTAGCTTCTTTTCAAGATGTCCCATAAAATAGATTATAATTCTTGTTATTTTTTATGAGTCCTATTAAATAGCTTTTCAATAATTTGTGCCTAGGCTTTTATGCGGATTGCTTAAATTGTTCAAAAGACACTAAAATTCTAAGATGCTATTAATCTATGTTAAAGCCAAAGTATTGTTAGAAATTTAGGACTTATTTATAATTAGTGCTTCTTTCTCGATGAGACAACAACCGGTTTACAGATTCGTTTACATTATGCTTTCATATATATATATATATATATATATATATATATATATATATTTATGCTTAGTTTAAAAAAAAATGTCCCAGTTATTGATTATAAGAATTATAAATTTATCACTGTTCAAGATGTTCTTCAAGCTGGCTTGAAAAACAATCGAAGAAAGGCTAAGAGAAGACACAACTGGTGATGAAATAGATATATGCTGATTAATGAATTCGAAAAAAATCCATAAATACGCGAAAGTTCGATTAATTCTGTTGTTCAATAAAAGTTCTGCCATATTAGAATAGAAGAGATAGATAATGATTAAAAAACAAAATTCCTATGTATATATGTATAAATTAATAAGTTTGGTTTATAGAATTTATTAAAGATAACTTAGTTTGTCAGTACTATTAAAATGAAATTGATCGCTTTTTGAAAACAACGTCTATTGGCCATTTGTCCCATGATCCGTATGATAATGGTTGTTGAGTCATTGAATAAGGCAAATAGTCATTCGTTGTCATTAGATAAAGGAATTTTGACATGAGTTGAACACTATTTCCATCTTGTCTCAACTTAACATGCCTCCATTCCATAAGAATTGCCACAACATCTATTCTCGTAATCAATTCACTTGCTTCACTAAATGCTCTAGACTCTTCACCTTCTACATCAATTTTCATAATAGCACTTTTAAATGGTATGAATCTGACTATATCATCCATAACTATGGTCTCTACTCTCAACATAGGTTTATTAGATCTCTCATAAGCAGTCGCAAGTTTATTCTGGCCAACATTTCCCTTTTGTAGGTGGAAGAATTTTGTTTTTCGACTGTCGCTGATAGGGTTTGTTATAAGTGTTACATAATCAGTTAACCCATTTATTTGAAGCGACTTTTGAAATCTTTTAATTACTGGAGGGAATGGTTCAACAGCTACTACGCGTCTCTGATATAATTTAGAAACAAAGATGGTATATAGACCTAAATTTGCTCCAATGTCAATAAATCCTAAAGTAAAAACAAAATGGCATTATTATAATTAGATACTTTGTAAATTGAATGCAATTTATATTTATAATCTACCAACCTGCATCTGGATTGCTTTGAAGCAATTTTGATAAAGTATCAAAATTTTCCTTATCAAATATATGTTTGTTATTATTCCTCAATAATGATGATATATACGACTCATTGTAGAGGCACATTTTTGCCATGTCTGCCTGAACAAGTGGTAGACATTGGTATACTTCATTATTTCGACTCGTTAGATCGAAAGTTTTCACTCTAGAGCTTCTATCTGAGCCGAATATCAATGTAGTTGTTGGAATAGGATTACGAGGGGGAAACGAGACCAGAGCCAAGATACTTAATCCAACCATACATATGCACAAGAACTTCCATGTTAATATGGAATTGAATGCCATTTTTCTGAAATTTTGAACTATTTACTTAGTAAATACTTTCAAACAATCACATTCAGGCATTACCGTGCAATTAAAGTGGAAAAGTTAATATTCTTACACCAGGGGGAGTTATTTTTATATTTAAAAATAAAAAAGTACATAGTACTCATCTTAAGTGTATAATGTATACAGTAAATAAGTCTTAACTGTGATCCATCTTAAATCAAGTATTTTAAATGCTTTGAATGTTTAACTTTTTTACAGATTTTTCAATTAAAATAAACATATAACTTGACACTTTAGATGAAAACGAAACAAAATTGAACAAGCGTATTTAACCTATTATTCATCATGTCCCATATTAAGGATTAAATGTCTCAAAACAATATTATAAAAAATAAAAGACTTGATTCTTTTTTTGCCCTAATTAACCTTCTTTCAAGACATAAAGTGATTACTTTTATCAATCTTGAAAATGTTATAGTTTTCCAATGTTAATATAAAAATGTTGATACATATATAGAAATTCTAAATAATTTTTATGATGGAGAACACTATTGTTTTTCTATAAATAATCCTATCACCAATTAAAATCACCAACCTCCTGAAATGCTCAAATGCTGGCTGCGTTAATATATTGATTACTTGATTTAGTTAATATAAAAAGTATACACTTTGGTATGCACAGTAAATCGATTTTCAGTATACATTCTTAGAAATTTACTGGAATCGGAAATTAAAGAGTACTCACATCAAATTAGATGCTTTTAATCGTGACATATCAATGACCCTTTCCAAGAAATATAAAGCCAAATTCTGTAAACATTATGAAATATTGCTAGTTTTAGATGAGAGTTTCTTTAATTTTTTAACAAAAGACATGTAAGCATATTGTCTTAGAATTAGATATCTGCATTCAAACATTTATATCAGTTAGTGTCAATATTAGATGTATGGACATTAGATATAATTAATTCTACTATTTTAAAGAAGAAAAGTTATTTTTATCTATAGAATATTTAAATCTATTTAAACTGAATCCAATCGTTTCAATAGTAGAATGCTAAAGCATCCAAACTAGAAGTTTAGAGAATGACTAAAAGATAGTATCATTTTATCATTTGCTCAAGAAGTAAGAGTTTCAGTCAATGGAAACAAACACAATCTTAGTTCCTAAAAGAGATTGAGAATAAATATTAACTAGGAACGAAAACTATAGAATGACTTATAAACTTAACAGCAGAAATAACTTTATATAACATATATATTTACGTTAAATATTAATAAGAAAAAGGTTAAACTATACAACTTTGAAGAATCATTTATTCAAAAGAACTCTAGAAAAGAGTATATATTTTACCTCCAAATATCTCTACAACCTTAATAATACTAAGTATAGTAAAAACAATAAATAAATTACAATTATAGAATCCACTTGTTTGGAAAAAATTCAATTTCGTTGTGTTAAATTAGTTGTAAACATTTGAAATTTAACATTCCAATTGAATTATTTTTGAAGGAAAGAAAATTTTGTAATTATAATAATTAATTAATATAATTTTTGTATTGTTAGTTAAACAACATTTTTATGTTGATAATTTCTTTTAAAAGAAACAAAACAATTATTGATTCTCTCTTTAAAAATGTACTCTATTGTCCTTGCTTAAAATACTTTAATTCTATATAATTTTTTCAATCAGGATGCCAGAAATCGGTTGGAAAAGATGCTATATTGATTAAGGGAATGATATAAAAAAAATCTACTTTTTGTAAATAACAATATTGATGTAAACTAAAACAGATTCTTGAAATATGCATTTCAGCACGGAGTAGGTCGTAACCTTTTGTCTTGTTCACTGAACCAGAACCTACGATATTACAGAATCTTACAAAGCAGAGGGAAATAATTATGATTAAGATATCTAAAAGAGATTTATATCTTGGAAGTTTATTAGTCGATATTTCGAATATGAACGATTATTTTATTAATACTAATATAATCCAGTATACAGAAATAGATTCGATATAAAACCAATAAGATAGTGCTTGTCGAAACAAATTGCTGTCATCCAAATTGATCATTGCCATAAAAAGTCTTATGGCTATCTAAAGATTTTGTCTATTGTACAATTCAACAAGACAAAAACCTTGTCGTTAGTATCAATTCAGTTCTTGTTAACAAATAATAAGACTTTTGATTATGGTTTTATTGGTTATTTTTATATGCTATAAACTATAGTTATTCAAATTTTCGCATTCAAAGTCTAAAATAGAAAGATCAAAAAGAATATAACAGTAAAAAAAAAGAACAAAGACTCTCTAGATATTTCGTTAAAATATTAATATTTCGGAATTCTATAAAAATACGAAAGTGAGAGTTCTATAATCGAAGATAACAGAAATATTTTAATTTGAAAAATGCCTCCGACGAGAGATGAAGAATGATGTGCGTTATAGCTTTCCTTATACGGAGAATAGTTCAAAAGCCCTGTTGGTTAATCAAGTAACCAAATTCCTATCCTAGCATTAAAGTAAAAGTATAGTTAATATATTTAATATCTTGTAATTGAAGATATACATGTTGAATATATTTCTAGTTTATTGAAAGCGAGTCCGAAGTTACATAGCTTTAACATTGGTTCGAAGTTTCAACCAATCAACGTAGAATGTTGTACGATATTACGCCTTTAAAACTAAACGACTAATCGAAATATCACTGAAAAAAAAAACATATCGATTACAGATTTGATGTTAATATATAATATTTATATATAATATATCTTTCACCTAAAAGAAATTGTTACTTTATACTGGAGAATTTAATACTTAATAGGAGTAAATTAGTTCCAGGAAAAATCTTACCTGCTATATATAACTACACTATAAAAAGTTTATGTCACGCAATGATAGTAATAAATGTATAAAACTTTAGGAGGTACGTTTTGTTTGTATCTCTTATAACCAATGGCATTTAGAGTTAAATGTTTCTCATGTAGTTTTAAACGTAGCTTTCTTCTCGAAAAAAGTTGTTAATACATATTTAATTAATAAGAAAAGTTTACTTTCTTCTGCAATAATAGCTCATTGATCCGATTTAGATGACAAATGTTATGTGTAAATAGCCCATAGAAAACAGTACATATCCTGTTATTGATATTAAAGGCAAAACGACTCTTATATATTGGATCTTCTTGACAATAGACTATTTTTTTCTTCGTTTAGCTCAAGGCCAAACTTCGTCTCTTTGCAGACGCATTCTCATAGTGAAGTTTAAATTATCTTAAGAAAGCTTTCCGCTCTCTGCGATCGTAATGAGAAAATTTTTCTTAATTTACTAAATGGACTGTGGATAAAAGTGGATGTGAATACCAGAAAAAAACTATTTGTCTTGATGTACTAAACCTAAACTTAGTATTTCGCATATAATATGTTTACGGAAGTGAAAAATAAAGATATTCTACAAGTTATGTAATACAAATTCCTAACAATATAACACAAAGCACTTGTTTTATCTAATATGTTTAGTAATTTTAATTTCTCCTCTTCTATTACAACAAGGAACGCAGTTATCAGTACAAAACAAACAATAAATAATGATCAATAAAATTATTACATCATTTCTGTACTCAATTAGATATGTTTTTTTTGATATGGAGAAAGTGATTATTTTGATATCTTCGGAAACGTCCAGAATTTGGAAAATGCATGATCAACTTCAATAAAAATACGTTTTGTTTAATAAATGACTAAGAATTGCATTTTTTAACTTTTAAAGTTGATTGAATATGTTCATTCGTTGACAAAAAGATGACTGAATGGAGTTGTTCTTAAATCAAAACTATAGTAGATGAGGTATAAAAGAAAAATTAACCTCTGAACAAAAAAAGTAAGAAAAAAGCCACAGAAAAAAGGACTAATTCTAATAATAATAAAAAATAGCCAAAGAGAAGGAGAAAAAAATGTAGAAGGAAAAAAAATCAGCATGTAGGGTATAAGACTTGAAAACTTAAACTTGCGAGGCTTTCGATCTCCTTTAAAACAAAACACAGTAAAATATAATAGATTTTTTTTAAAGTAAGTCTTTATTCAATTTTAAAGTCATTTACTTACTTTCTACGCATATCGTGTCCCTCTATACCGATATGGCATCTATCTTCCAAATCTTGGATGTCGACAATTCCTTGATTCTCTTCTTGATTTGATCGACGTTTACGATTACCGGGTGATTTTTGAGTAATATTTTCAACTTCATTGAAAACAACCGCCTTTCCACCGGAACGAGTACGAACAATATCACCCTAAAGATTTCAAATTTCAACAAATTATTCATTAAAGTTCTTAATTAAAAAGCTAATTACCTTTACTAATTTCGTTCTTATATCGCCATCAGAGTCAAGATCTTGGTGGGTTAGGGCATATTTATCTGCTTTGAGATCTTTTTCGGATAAATTTGTAACAGATTTTCTCTTTTTGATAACAGGTTGCATAACCGTTGTAGTTTCGACAATACACGCTGGTTTATGGTCTATCCATGTATCTGTAGATTTAGACCTACGATGCATCCTACTTACACTACCACTTGGTGGTTTCTAAAGTGGTGTAAATGACAATATTATACATAAATCTATAATGAATAATATGATAGACATACTGGTTTCGTTGGAGGAGGAGATCTTGCATGCCGCGAAGGGGTCGCAACAGGATATCTATGCAATCTGGTGGATCCAGTCAAATCTGGTTCTGACCTAGCTGGATTGATATGTGGTGCAGATCTAGGTACTTCCTTCTTCATTCTCCAATGTGATGGTTTAACGTTTGGTGTATAGTCGACATTCGATGATTCATTTTCGATGACTTGTCTTAACTTACTCTTAATTCGTGTTTGCTGTTACAAAAAATAGATATTAATATACAATTAATAAGTATGATAATTGTAGGAATATAGCCATGCATTATAAAACCAAATGAATCTAATCTAAGTATGTTAATGTAAGATAAAAAAATTAAGCCATGCATATTAAATATATTTGCCGTGGTAGACAGGATTGTATTTCTTACATCTTTTTTTTTAAGTGTAGTGGCTTTAGTCGGTTTACAATACCCTTTCGTTTCAAAATGCTTTTTAAGCTCATGAACACTAGTAGTACTAGTAACGCTCTCTGTATCTGTTTCTTTCATGGCTCTCAATCCTCTAGCTGATCTTGTTTCCCTTAAATCAGATATATCTCTTTTTGCTCCCTTTCCTTTCAGACCACCCGCTTCTTTAATTACACCAGTTTCCTTTACACATCTTGCTTCTTGCATTACACCCACCCCACGAACACAACCTGTTGCTTTCATTACTGTTCCATCCATATCTTCAAACTCACTGAGAGCGAGATCTTCTTTTGTGATCACCGATTGCTTAAAATTTCCTGTTTCTTTTCTACCTCTCCGTTCTTTTCTAGTTCCTGATTTTTTCCTTTCTCCTGATTCTTTGTTGCCAGATAACTCCCTTCTCTCCTCTAAATCTGTCTTGCCTTTCTGCCCTCTTGTAACTCTCCTACCACCTGACCCTCTCGAATGTCTTGATTCTTTCTTATCTCCTGACTCTCTTGTACAACCCGATTCTTTCATACGTCCTCCTTCCCTTGTATTTCCTGAATCTCTTTTATATCCCGACTCTTCTATACATCCTCCTTCCCCTGTATCTCCTGAATCTCTTATATATTCCGACTCTTTCATACGTCTTCCTTCCCTTGTGTCTCCTGAATCTCTTATATATCCCGATTCTTTCATACGTCCGCCCTCTCTTGCACCTGCTAACTCTCTCATACGCCCTGATTCCCTCCTATCAACTGACTCTCTCATAAATCCTGCTGCACCTCGATCTCCTCTCTGTCTTATATTATGTGACTCTTCTGTACTGTCACACTCTCCTAAACTTTCGGAATCTCTAGCATGTTCCGACTGTCTCGTACGCCTAAACTCTCTATTACGCTCTGTTTGCTTTGTTCGCCCTGACTGTCTTGTTCGCTCCAAGTGTCTTGAACGTTCTGATTGTTTGGTACGTCTAGAACGCTGCGATTTCTTTTTACGTCCAGACTTTCTTGAACGTCCCACCTCTCCCATAACTTGTGAGTCTTCTGACAAATTGGAATCTCTTGAAATCTCAGAATCTTTGGAAAATTCCGATTCTTTTGATTGTTCAGACTCTCTAAAGTGCTCATATTCTTTTACATGATCCGATTCTCCGATAATTTCCGATCTCTTTTTAACCTTTCTGGTTCTATTACTACTTTTCCTCTTTTCTTTTTCCACCTCAAATAAATCTCTTCGAGACCTCAGTGAAGTTTTTCGAATATCATAATCGCTTTCGCTAGCCATTCTATAAAGTACTGTTTCAGAGGAATCATTTATTTCATCCTCACTCAGTTTACCTTTTAAAGGAGTTGGATTTCCAATATTTTTTCTTCTCTTTTGAGACATTTTTACTTCTTTTCTATAGTTAATCAAATTTTCTCTATCGGTATCGGAAATATCAGAGTCAATCGGACTAAACATTCTAGGCGTATAGCTGGAATAATGAACACTACTAGTTTTTCTTCTAGTTCTAAAACTTTCAGACGTAGTTTCTTCTTCCGTAGATAGATATTTATTATAACTTGAAAATTTCTCTTGTCTTTCTTGATATGATGTACTGCTGTTCCAGTTTTCGTCATCTAATCCTGTATCGCTATAACTTCTATATAGAGGTTTGAAGAAACTGCTACGATTTTTGTTTCCAGCTGATTTGGATCGCTTATACTCTGTACTTGTTTCTTTTTTCCTCTTTTTTTTTCGCTAGTATTGTCATATTTATAATTTATCAACTAATTTTTCACATCAACCAGATACTTATAATTCATAAACAAACTATAAACATATGTATCTAAATATTTAACTATTTTTCACTTTTAAATCAATACGCTTCATACCTCATTTTCTGCTTCTCTCTTCTCTTGAGCCAATTGTGCATTTTGATGTTGAAGAGCAGCGTTATTTTCCTTCATTTTTTTCATCTTTTAAAAGCGAAAATAACTGTAAATATTTACATAACTTTCAAGAAAATTTTTTACTCGTTGTTCAAATTTCTTCAGTTGGGCTTCTTTTGTTGCCATCCTAGAATGATTATTTTCTTTCGTTTCAACCAAGTCTGCATGACGACTTTCCAGCTTGCTTAATCTATCTCTAAAATGAGATCCTACCAATGGCGAAATATCATTAGTTATAATGTTAACAAAAAACCCTTTCGTTAAAGCAATTGTTACGTACTTCCAATATCTACAGACATTGTACATTGGTTAAACCATTTGCGACTGGCTTTTAAGATCATTATCAGTTCTTTGTTCGTCGCTGAATCGCGAATATCAGCCATTTTCATGCAAGGTACCAATGGAGGAGGATTAATTGATTGAGTAGAGCTACTGGAGGTAAGAGTCTCTGTTGATGTCCCTTCGTCCGATGGTAATTGTCCCAACTTTCTGCGTCCAGGCGTGTGTACGTTAAATTTAACTTGTTCTGGTCTTGTTATTTGAACGTCTTTAGCGGTTTGAGCAAACCTCATAACTTGCTATTTGATTTTTAAAAAAAAATTATACTTGTATGATTCATTAAACTTATATTTATTATTACCAATATCTCGTCATAATCCTGTACGTCTGGATTTACGCAGACAACCATTCTCACTTTACCTTCACCGTCAAAGTAGTTTTTAAAAAGATGTGTCAATTTTGAATCACGATACGGCACCATCTTAAGAAAGAAAACATCAGATATTTATTAATAAGAATAAAAAACTAATTATTGCATAACTACTTGTTTCGAATCATTCAGCTGATTTTCTCTAAGTTTTTCCATACAAATTCTTAATGTCATAAGAGATTGATTTATGAGACCTGAATTTTTGAAATATTAGCTCTTTAATATAAAATTCTATAGTTTTATATTTCTTTCAACTTACTAGCTTCTTTTAAACGATCTCCTTGATTTCCAGTTCGAGCTGTTCTTTCACTACCAGCCAAATCAACTAATGATAATTGACTGGTGGCAATTTGACTTTTATCTTGAATAGCCTGTTCGTTATTTCGAAATAAATTAAATAATTAAGACGGTCATAAATAGACTACCTCACGCCCAGTTGGATCCAAGGGACTTTGAACAATTCTAATGTTAAAAACACTGTGACTTCTACTAGATTCCGCATTTAATTGAGTATGAGCAACTCTTCTGCGTTTCTTTCCGCGTTCTAAAACATCGAATGCCTCCACAGCACTATTTACTAGTACTTCAACACATCCAGACACATACATATTATGATCGGCATCTTCTCTGAGAACCTTGCTTTGAGGAGGTCTGTTGAGTAAATAGAGAATATAATCAAAAAAATATTAACCTTAATAATATCTTACCTAAAACCAGTAATTGGATCATAAGTTTGTTCTTCCAAAAGATCATACACATAGTTGTTATACAGCTCTATATAAGATACAAATACTGCATACACATTGTCCTCATCAACTTCGGCTATTTTAGTCATGTTTTTATCTCTATTATTGTTTTTCATGTGATCACTCATAGTTTCTTTATTTCTAAAGAAGGAAATTTTTATTAAAATGAAAGAACACAACTAAATAACAAACTTTTGTGATATCTTTGGTAAAATATCTCTTTGTTGTCTTTCCATCATTGCATCTGCCTCGGATTGCACATCAAATCCATTCATTTTATCAGGCCTAAATACCTATATTTTAAGAATAATATTAATACTACGTATTTTGCAATGAGAGGTAACAACTTACATATCGTTTTGCTTGTAAATGACCAATTGAGTTAAAAATTACATCAAGACAGTTAGGTAAAATGCCTTGCTCAGACGAAATTCCATCCATTGTGTAAGTTTTTCCAGATGATGTGACTCCATAAGCAAAAAGTAGTGCTGAATTTTATAACATAAAACATATACCTATAACAATATCAAAGACATTAATAACTCCTTACCATTTTTTCCATGTATGACATCGTCAACCAAAGGTAGAGCAACGTAATCGAAAATGGATTTCTGACCGGTATATTCATCGAATACACGGCTAAAAGAATACTGAGTCTGGAAAAAGCAAAACATTATAACCAATTGCTTTTGCATTAATGTTATGAGTGTGAATAATGACCTCTTTCGTATCGCCATTTCTAGCTATAGCATTTTCACTTGGAGTAAGTTGTAGAATTTCTTCTGATATGAATCGACAGCATCGAGGAATGCTTTCGTGAATCGGTCTTAGCCGGCAATAAACCTAACATGCTAATATTTCAGAAAGGTAAAATTGAAGATTTTAAGTCTGTACCTCGACAGGATCTGTTGGCTTGCTCTTTTTTGGAGCTTTCCTTGGCGTTTTACCGCGCCTGCGGATAAAAATGTGAGCAGTTTAGGGTGCGCGCCATTTTAAGTAATGAGCAACAAACATAAAAGGCATATATACGACTGAATATTGCATTATATATGATAAACATAATTCTAAATGATGGACAATATTTTAACTCACGTAGGTTTCATTTTATTGGCCAAGTCCGTCGGACAATCCGATGATAAACGCCGTCAATTTACTGATAGTTATTTGAAAAGTTATCGTTTCAAAAAAGTAGACTGGTTCCGTTTCCGCATCTATGGCGGGTAAGATTTTCTATCGAATAAATCACAGGTACACATACCACTTAAGTCTTTCGTAAATACTAAAATTTTATAGAACAACTATATTTATAAAAATAATTTATCATTACATGTATTTTCTATAATATACATGTATATATGTTGCAATAAAATTCGAAAAAATTTCATAGAAATTCTATTCCTAACTTCCGGTTAATATTTCTTTGCTACTGATTTAAAGTGACAACGCTTATTTTGTTAAATTTTTCCACCATATGTATTTCAGATTGAATAAAAACCATTATAAATAGAAATTTTATGTTTTTACCTAATTTTTAAGTTTTGCAATTTTATTCTCTATTATAATTGAAGCAATATTATTTAACGCTAATGTTTTATTAAAAGCTTATGTTTTGAAAAACGAATACCATGTTTATTTTATAAGTTGCTAAATTATGCTAGAAAACATTTGCCATTTTGACAAATGTGTTAATGAAAATAACATTTAAATTTTTATCTTGAAAATAACTGCTCCTTATCATAGCAGCACGTATATGAACTATCGCGGAGAGAAATTTTCTAGAAACACCGTGGGGTAAGGATGAGTCATAATAATCTAAATACTATCTAAGAGAACTTCTTAGATTAAAGAATTATTGGAATAAATATATTAAATATATGTCAATGTCATAGATATTGCAAAGAGATTTTATAATTCTTTCCATTTTTACAAAGGAGACACAAAGAGAAAATCTTAAACTAATCAAGTTGATGTTGAAATTGGCAATGGTATTTGATAATTCCTTTGATTGTAGTGTAAATATGAGAATACAGAAGTTATTAATTTGCAAATGATGAAGATCGGATACACAAAATATCTATAGTATAAAAGTGTACGTTCTGTCCACGTAAACTATCATAGTATTCTTTAAAGTCATTAACAAATCTATCGGTGATATTTATGATAACGTTTGATGCAGATGTTCTATTAGTACCACTGTTTTGCAATGTCATGTCAGTTAAATAGCAGTTCGGTTTGGCCCTTTCACTTTTTTATCATACTCTCCTTGATTGTAGAAGGTTATTGAAGGTTGAAAGCAAAGGCAACGAGAAACGATATTCGAATATAAAAGTCGATTTGAGTTTATTACTTATTATTCGATATTTAAACTTATTTCCAATATATTATACAGCTTGTATAGAAGAAATTTAGTAATTTTATCTTCTATTCAACTAATAATGCGTGTTTTATTATAGTATTATTCTAATGTGGATTTTTTCTTTCAATTCTGTGATTGAGGTCCTTTATAGGCCGAATAGAGCTTGAACTGTTACAAAATTACTTGATAATGTACAATTTGATAATTTTTTTTTGGTAAAAGCTGCAATTTTTGTACTTCAAGGAAGTTTTTTTCCCCGCCAAGCTAAGCACTAAACCCAAATAATTTATTGTAATAAGTACAAACAATGACCATTGATTTTTCTTTAATGACAAGGGATAATGATCTTATGGGCGCCGCTTAACCCCCCCAGCTTGAATCAATTAATTCTCTATTTGCTTTATTATTTTTTCGTTACCATAAACTAGAAGGGGAAACTATATAAAGGTATTTAAATTAGGCTAATTATTACGTAATTTATTACAAACCTAAAGCTTTACATGACCTTTAGCCCTGTCTTAAATTTCACTTGCGTCAAACGATTAAAATTTTCAGTACTTTCGAACATATTTTTCAACTAAAATATTCATAAATTTAAATCAGTCTATGAAATAAATATACTTATAAGTTAGTAATAACTATTTGAAAAGATATTGTTTCAAGAAGTCTATGTGGTTCCTGCTCCTTCCCCATTTAATTAAATATCCTTTTAACATATATCTCTAATGAACTGCTAACCTATTATTCTTCGTATAATTATATTTTCTAAAGATTTGCGAGAAAAATTATTTCTTATCCAAGGTTTTAATTCTTCTTTTTTAAGGAGATCTAATATTTCGAAATTTTGAATACGAAAATAATAACATCAGTGTTGTATTTCCGGTCTACTGCACTTCATTGACACTTAGCATTTTTTTGCGTATGTAATCGATTGTAAAACTGCGCAGTTTTCTAATTTGGATTATCCCATATAAGCCAAAGGAAAAGTAAAATATATCTGATTTATAGTAATACTTTTTTTGTGAGTGTTTACGAGAGAATAAAGACAATTTATTACAGGATACTTAATTTACAGCTGGAAACCATTTTGGTTTGTCATCTTTTTATTATTTTCTGAAAAGACTGCAAAGTAATAAAATATAGAAATAATGTTTTATTTTTAGTAAAATGTTGTCGAATGGTTTTTAACATTCGCTAAGTTGTTATGGATGAAAATAGCAGTAGATCATCATCTAGAAAAAATTCTTTACCAGAAGACGAGCCTAAAGTATCAGCAACAATTGACAGAAGGAATGATTCGGACAGTATGAAGCACCCACCACCTGCTTTGAAACGTATGTCAAGTGGTGGTAAAGTAAAAAAACAGGTTACAATTGAAGATTCACCACCGCTAGACACCACAGAAGTATTTGAACGTAAGATTTCTTCTGCTGATAATAAGTATTATGAAAGTATACCCGTAAATGAACAAGAAAATTACAAATCAGAGCTGTCTTCTGAAGCTAATCCTAGTATTCGAGTTAATGATAAAGAATTAGAGGATGAGAAAGAGGATAAGAGTGGGGAGAAGGAGGATGAGGAGTATAAAAGTGTACATGCATCTCCTGATAGCAGATTTCTTAAATTCAATCAAGAAATTGGAAGAGGATCATTCAAAACAGTTTATAAAGGATTAGACACAGAAACAGGTGTTCAAGTAGCATGGTGCGAGTTACAGGTAACACTTAAAATATATTTTTTAGGAAAATGATTGCACATGATTTTGAAGGACAAGAAATGGCATAAGAAAGAACGAGAGCGTTTCAGAGAAGAGGCGAGCATGCTAAAGGATCTTCAACATCCAAATATCGTCCGATTTTATGACTCCTGGGAGGAAACCAACACGAGGAATAGAAAAATCATCGTTCTCGTAACAGAGATGATGACCTCCGGAACTTTGAAAACGTTCGTACAGTGATTAGAGAGATTTGGGTTATGATTTGTTTTACAACAGATACATCAAAAAGTTTAAAAATAGAGTGCAATTGAAAGTTGTTAAGAATTGGTGTAGGCAAATTCTGCGAGGTATTATATAATTAATACTTCAAATGCATGCAATTTATAGGATGCATATTTTTTTTAAAGGATTATGCTTCTTACACACGAGAATGCCGCCTGTTATTCATCGTGATCTGAAGTGTGACAATATTTTCATTACCGGAACAACGGGATCCGTAAAGATCGGGGATTTAGGCCTAGCTACTTTAAAAAACAAGAGCTTTGCTAGGAGTGTTATAGGTTTATTTCTTTAATTTCTCTTTACCGCTTGAATCTAATTATTAATTCTATATATGCTCACAGGTACGCCAGAGTTTATGGCTCCCGAAATGTATGAGGAACATTACGATGAAGCGGTTGACATATACGCTTTCGGGATGTGCATGTTAGAAATGTGCACATCAGAATATCCTTACAAAGAATGTACAAATCCTGCACAAATTTTTCGCCGTGTAACTGCTGGAGTTAAACCAGAGAGTTTCGATAAAATTGACAATCCAGACGTGAAGGAAATTATAGAAGGTTGCACAAAGAGTCGAAAAGAAGACAGGTGAGGGTGTAATGATTACACTATTATTTCTGTGTACTTAATGATTCAAAGATGTAGGTGAATCAAATGAGATAAAATAATAAGAAGAATGGATTTTTTCATAGTATTTACATGTATTATACTGTTGGTAATATTTATTATAGATTTTCTGCAAAGGAACTCCTACAACATCCATTTTTTGCTGAAGTAAAATTAGAACTTTCAGAAGTAGGATCAGATAATAATACAATTAAACTTCATTTTCGGTAAGTATTGTTTTAAAGAATGCACATTTCGGATAAAAAAAGATTAATGTTCCAGTTAGATAAGAAATACGATCAATTTACGCAATTTGATATTAAAAATTTTTTTGTTCCAATAAAAATAGTTGTGATAATACATTTACGAAACAGATTGCAAGTTCATATATATAAAATTCCCTAAATAAAAAAAAAAATTCATTAATCTGTCTGTTATAGATTTGTCTAGATAATGAAAATTTAATCAAATATTTTCTTTTCAGATTAATTGATGCAAAACGGAGAAAAGACAAGCATAAAGAAAACGAGGCTATTGAATTTGAGTATAGCTTAAACACTGATTCACCTGAAGATGTTGCAAAGGAAATGCTTAAATCCGGCTATGTTGTAGATTCAGACTTTAACTCAGTTGTTAGACAGGTTGATAATTATTCTATTTTTCTTTTTATTTGTATTCTATTATATTTATCTCTATGCTGCTTAGAATATGACTATTTCTTTTATTTTTGATTAGATAAGGGACCTAACTAAAAAATGGAATCAAGAGAAACAACAACAAAACCCTAATGCCACAGCAGTTCAGGAGAACAAAGAACAAGGTCAGATACCTGAACAACCGGCGGATGTTACCACCCAACCAGTAACTACACAACATGCTCCTATTCAACATCAGGCGTCAGTTGATTTACGTCCAGATCAGCAACATCAGCCAGTAGAAGAAACAGTGAGAGATTCAGATATTGAATCGAGTGAAGTTAAAAGAGCCCCTGTTCCTCTTGCTCAAAAAAAAGAAAAGGTAAAACTGCTTCATTTTTATTCATCATATAGATTTTTCGTCTTCTTACAGGCTAAGTCTCGACAAAAACGAAGAACAGGCGAACTTGGCAATGAATTAAGAGTTGAGCTAAAGGGAACAAAACATGGAAAAATTGAATGTGAAATGTCAGGAGGGAAAGGAGAAAGAGATGCTGAAGTTGTTACTTTTGAAGTAAGTTGATGTTATTTGTGGTTTACGCAAAAAAATTGTCTATAAACTATATATAGGATATCATTTGCTAAATATGTTCTATTAAAAGGTCGATAAAGTTGACATGGATGCTGATGAGATGGCTGAGTCTCTCGTGGAAGCAAAGCATTTGGATTTGGGCCTAGTAGATAAATTTAAAAGTCAAATTGCCAAATTGTTATCTAAAGTTCAAGAAGTTCGTAATTTTTATATTTTACTATATTCTTCTCTTTCGAACTAAGCAAACCTAATATTGTGCAAAAACCAGATACTGCCAACCCCAACGCATCCAACTCCACTCATGTCGGACGGAGATGCCCACAACATTCCTCTGCAAACTTCATCAGCTCCCAACATGAATGATACTGACAGATCTAGACAAGCTAGTCAAGAACCAGAGAATAAACATACAGAATTCTTCCTTGAAAGTAATGATAGTTCGGTTCAGAGAGTTAAAAAAGACGATGTGTTCAGAGGCAATTACGGAGATTATAAAAGAGATAGGAACACACTTTCGAGTCAACCAGTTACAGGTGGTAGTAGTTTACCTCCAACTCCATCTGCGACAAGCGGTATGGCAAATGTAAACCTTGATGACGTATATACTAAATTGTCGGTGTATCAATGTCGAGGTGATTTAGCAAAAGCCTATTTGGGACAACTACGAGATTTATTAAATCAAGCGTTTACTTTTATAAATAACCCGGCGGCTTTGTATCCTATAACTCAGCAGATAGCTACAGTCTTCCAGCTTGTTTCTCAATTTCCGCTGGAGAATACTCCTGATACCCAAGCATTGATGGGGCAAGCCTTATATTTTGTGAAAGCATGTCAACTACCAACACAACCACCCGTTGTACCACAAAGGAGAGAGAGTGCACCTGTTCACCCTGCTAGTCAGCATAGCTTTTACGCCAATCCTCAATCGTCTTCCTTTAACAATATGCCACCACAAGATTTGGCAAACTTACATCAAAAGTTACAAAATTTACATTCGAGGCCTATGAATATGCATGCATTTCCTCAAAAGGGAGGTGAAGTAGAAGATCAACCAACTTTTACTGAAACTGATAATCTTGAGAAACCACGAAGGAGTAAATTACAAATTATTAATGTTTCACCTGGCGGCAGTGAAAGATCGGTTCCTGTTAGAAAGGACGATCATCCACAACCTCAAAGTACTTCTCCGGTATCCTCTCCTAACAAGCAATTAGGACGTTTCAAAATTTCGGCGGTAGAGGAGACCGACGACGGTAAGAGTAAAGAAAAAGAACGTGAAAAAGAAAAAGAACGAGAAAAAGAGCTAGAAAAAGAGCGAGAAAGAGAACGAGAACGAGAAAGAGAAAGAGAAAGAGAGAGGGATAAGGAAAGAGAAAGGGAACGGGCTGAAAAGGAAAAGGAATCTGGACCAAACATCGATAGTTATCATCATTGTGTTCCTACAGTCTTATCAGCAAATACTAGTGTAATCCATCATACAGACAACGATAATGGCTATGGTCCAACAAAGAATACTGATTTTGATTCCGTATCGGAGGCTGAGAGCAATGCTTTGGAATCCCAACAGGAGAGCCAGGTTGCACGCAATAATACGTATCCTGCTTTAAATCATCAACTATTTTCTGTTGAAAATTCGTCTGCTTATGGCTCCACTACTAGTTCGCATCGAATTAAAGAATTATCCGAGCTTGACGCTTTGCTCATGCAGCACCCTTTGTATGATCCTGAAAGGGTAGGTTTTTTTGCACATAGCCTCTATACTTCAAAAGGTTTTGATGACCAATTATACACGAAATTAAGCGGTTGTACGTAATATATGTGGAAGAAAAGTATGTACGTATACTTGTTGTTACACATATTGAGCTATTTACCGAAGATCCTTCAGCCAATTTTAAAGTTTTAGGCAAAAGCGTGAATTTCTATTGTAAACATATTCTATTTGAATATGACAATAAGAAATTTGTCATTGAAATTTCTTTAGAAACAAGAATATATATATATATTTAAATACGATAGTCTGTTTTGAGAGAAAATTTAGTTAGTTTTAGGCTTTTTCCATTTTATCAGTTTATATTTATCTTTACTTTTACATCTATATACAGTATATATATATATATTTACTTACTCTATACAATTAAAATGTGCTATAATTATGACAAAGCTCTCTTCTGTTTAGCATTGAAAATTGTTTTTTTTTATACTATTTATTTTTGATGTAGTTTTTTTTCCTTATTTGTTTAATATTGCTTGAAAAGGGATATTTTTTGAACTTTTGTTTAAAGGGGGAGATCCATCAACTTAAAAAACACATTGAAAAAAGTATAAGAAGTACCTATTATTTAAGCTAATCGTTCTCTTTTTTTTCTATTTAAAACAAAAAGAAAGGACATTTAGTGAACTTTTGAACCGCGTTCAAAAAATCTAAGCGAGTTGTGTATTTTTTTTTATTCTCTAACGGAAAAGCTTTAAATGAGTTTTAAAAATTTTCTCACTTTTCTACTCTGACCTAAACGTTCAACGTTATTCACTTTGTATATGTCCATTGCCATCATCCCATCTCTAGCAAAACTTCCTTTGTTTAAGTTTCAAATGAATCTACAAAATATACCGGTGAGAAAAAATGTAAATAAAGTGCTAATTGCCTAACGCTTGGATTAAAATATTGATTTTTTTATTTTTATATGGTTTTTGCATTAAAATAGCATATTTATATATTATCTTGAATGTATATTATTTGTATTCAAAACTATATTCTATAGCATGTTATTTGTTCTACAATTGGATTAATTTCTAATTAAAATATCTCAAATTTCAGTCTCAAGATCTAATGAATTCTGCAATGAGGCAAGCCATGCAACAGGATCCTACTTATGCTGATATGGAAGCTAGGCATACACATGAGTACCAACAGTATGTTTCATCTTTTAAACAACGTTTCGCAGAAGCTATACTAAGGAATATGCCTCATATTGCAAATACATTGGCTAAGCAAACCTCACCTCCCTTGTCACAGAATACCAGCATCTCTTGCCTAAACCCAGTTCAACAACCTTTGATAGATCAGCAATCAGCTTTTTCAATGCAAATGGGTGTTACACCGGGTTCTCAGCTATCAAGTATGCAATTAACAGGCGTTGCCTGTCATTCGAGAAATGGACAAAGCACACCTCAGCAAAGTCAAGCCCCTATTGTTAGCCAGAATGCTCCAAATATGCAAGCTTATAGTCAACAAACTTTTCCACATTCGGCTGCTGTGACCAGTAATTCCTTTCAGCCGGTTCGACAGACACCACCAACAATAGGAATGCAAAAACCCTCGAATGTTCAACTACCACAGAATCAGGCCTATTTTAACAATACTGTTCCGGTTAGACAAGTGCCACCAGCAATGATGAATTTTATGCCGAATCAGGTTACGGGCTACAATCAAGTTCCTATGTCGAAAAATCCTGTGGGACAAGGTTTTATGAGTGCTCAAGGTATTCAACCGCCAACTCAGCCTATTGATACGATAGATAATTTGAGACAATCTTTAAGCAACGTTTTGAACATTGAACGAACAAGGATAGATAGCTCATCTAAGTTACAACAGTCTAACATCCTCGAAAGTGACACAAAGCCCATGGACCCAGTTCGAGATGGTGATTCATCTCCAGTTGCGAATCTTAAACAAAAGCCTAATCCGGACATCTAACAAATATTATCTTTAAAAAAATTATGGTAGGCTTAATTTCGCTTGTTAAACTTACGCTGAAGCTACTATGCCGTATTTTTTAGTTACAATGAGTGAGCAGACTATTTTAGTTTACGAACATTTTAGTGAACTGCATATACTTCGGCCGAAGAGACTAGAAATCTTGTAGCCAATGTCCCACCCCGTACCCCCTCCACGCCAACTTCTCTTAACCTCCTTTCTTTCCTTCCCGCTAGTGTTTAAAATTTTACTGATTTAAATTTTTGCCACTGTTCATTCGTCTTTGTTTATAGATTCAATTTAGCGCATGCGTTTATTTTTTCGTTTAACACAACAACATATACACATTCGAGTCTTTGTTTTTATTCTATATTCTATAGAAATTCTTTGTATATTTGTTACAGTTCATTCATATATTATGATGTCTGAAAATTTACTGAAACATACCGTCACTGATTTACATACAAATAACTTTCAAAAATACATATATGGAATCAGATTTTACAATTCCATACGCCTCAATAGAATCATTTGTAATACTTCATTAAAACTTAAAAAGCTATCCTTTCTGTTAAATGTATTAGTCATCTACTAAATTCCCTTTTCATATCCCTACCCTAATCCTTTCCTTTCTATTTTTGAACCCATTTATATCCTTTCAGATTACGTAAGCTTTTTTCAATTTACCAGAAACAGAAAAGAAGAAAAAAAAAAGACTTCTATTTTACTTTTCTTTTTAGTAACAAGACTGGTTAATTTTATCCTATTAACCCTTTTCCTATGCCTTCTGTATATTTATCTAGTTCTTATTCTATATTCTGCTATTAGTCTCTCGCACTCTCCCTCTCCTACCCATCTATCTCCCTTTCCAGACCAATCTGTTAATGGTGTAATCCTTCGTATAGACTATTTGGTCGTGACAGCTGTTATCAGCATGAATAATCTTTCACAAAGAATAATCTACTAAACTCTCGATTTATAATTGAAAAGAATTAGGGTAGCGTTTATTGATTTCTATTCTCTTTCTATTATATATCTTATTGCATATTCGACCTAATGCCAAGATGAAAATTAGTAATAACAATGATGTTAATAATAACAAGTAAATCTATATTGTATGAAATAATTGCAAATACTCTATTTTTTATTATAAAACTTTTATTTCTGCTGATTTTCTCTGATATGAACTAGAAAATGTCAAAACTATTGTATTTAGACTATATTTACTTTAATCGACCTTGAAAATTGATGCATACTTGCACGTACCACAATACAGGCTTGGAAATCACATTAAGTAAATACGTAACGTTTGCCAAGGCTATGCTAATCGTTACTTGGTCTATTTTTAGAATGACAAACTAAGAAAAATAGTTTACTTAAAAAGCTTTTTTTTACTTTTTTCTTTTGTTGGTTGCACAACATTGATATCAAGGCTTAAACTGCTGTATATTGTATAAATCTTTGAGAGGCTTTATTAGATCAAGTCTCTTAAAGGTCATGTGATACTTAAGGATTTACTGAAAATAAAATTGCAATTTTTAATAATTAAGATATTTCATTTTATATAAATAATTCACTATTTAATTTCTTTACTTTTAATAATTAAAATAAGAGAAATGTTGTTGAATAATAGCGAAAACTAAGAATTCAATACTCCATCACATATTAGTATAAATATCGTATTATAATTAAATCTATTAGCCTAAAATATGAGATTTGTTCAGTTATGTTTTGTTCTTTAATAATAATTTAATTAATTATACATTAAAAATATGCAATATGGCTTTTCTTTCAAAATAAAGCTTAAATTTATGTATTTATACAACTTTCCATATAAAGCTATATACTGTATATATACAGCTGTCGAAATGTTGTTTACCAAGTAATACCTATATTATACAGTATATTTAAACAAATTTTACTGTACACTGTTAATGTACGCTTACAAAAAAACAAAAAAAACTCAATTTATAAGCCAAAGTACTTATATAACTAGTCCTGATAAAAGTATGCAAAATATACAAAAAAAACCCCTCATAAACATAAACTATATGTTTATTTTATAAATAAGTTCAATATCTTGAATAGTTCTTTCGTTTAGAAATTAGTGTTTTTGTTGTTGTTGTTGTTTGAAGTCTAGTTATAAATTGGCTAAAACGAAATAGATTCGAACCCTGGGAAAATAAAAACGACTAAAAGAAAAACAATTAAAAACAGACTCTTTTAATCGTGTTACTCTCTTTCTCTCTGTCTCTCTCTGTCTCTCTCTCTCTCTCTCTCTCTCTCTCTCTCTCTCTCTCTCTCTTTGTCTAAAGAAATTTCCATACACAACTCAAACCCTGGTAATTTAATTTAAGCGTTTTTTTATGTTGGCCTTTTTAAACAAGGCAAATATCTTTTTATGTAACGGCTGTCTAATTGAAAAAACAAATTGAAGGATAAAAGGAGGATAAAGACAAACAGAGAGAGAGAGAGAAAGAGATCACTTAATTTATTATCTTTAATTCAATATAATTTATTGATATAAAAACCATATAGCATAATTTTACAAATTGGATAAGTTATGTAAATGATTCGAGATACTGGCAGAAACTATATCACATCTAAATGTTATGGTATCGTACTCTCTCTCTCTCTCTCTCTCTCTCTCCATTATTTTATTTGATACTAAAACAGTATAAAAAAGAACTATGTCTCTATTTGATATTTCTAGAGATTATATCATACCATTTGTCATATTTAATTCTATTGGTCTAAACAGTGGTCTAATTTTATTATTCATTTTTCGAAAGGAATTACAAATTATACAAAATTATTGCACAATATCAACATGTATATCCGATATTATCTTCTGCTGTTTGGTCCTTCCTGCTATAAATTCATACGGTACTGCATTTTGGTTAAATAATCATCTTCTTTGCACTATAATTTATCAATTTATCACCGTTACGTATTTTACAAATATTTTAACGGTATTTTATGCAACTTTAGAAAGATTTATCGCAACTCGATATCCGTTTAGATACTCAACGTTAATTACATCAAGAAGAGTGATAATCGCTTTATCCGTATGTTGGATTTATCCAACTATATATGGTATTGTACCTATTTTTGGCTTGTTTAAAAAATTGGAAATACCAAATAATAGTAGCAGTATCTATTGCAATTATTTTACGTATCAACCAAATGGATATATTCTAACAGGAGTTTTTCATGCACTAATCCTTGCCTGCTTGATTCTGGTTTTATACCTATTTACCTTTAAAAATATCGTCGAAAAGCGAGGAAACATTATACAACCTATGGGAAATGTTGTTAGATTTAGACAAACCTCGATAATGTTTGTAATATTTGTATTCTATAATCTTATAGTAATAACTTTTCAAGTTATCAACTCGTTACGCGTAGTACATTGGTCGATAGAAAGGAGGGTAGATCAAGTGGATAAAGATGAACTTATAATCATAACGATGAGCTTATTACTATTTAAACCATTATTTAATGCGATAGTCTATGGCTTTGGTAGGCCTTCGTTCAGGTGTGAACTGGTAACAATTCTACGCAAAATTTCTTTAAAATCATGTAAATAATGATTAAATATTGAAAATATTCGACATCAAATTACTTACTATATGAATTTTTAATATATTAAGATCTATTCTATACATTATATAAAATATGAAGATGCATATTCCTAATGCAGTCAAATCTATCTAATATAAAGTTGCGACAATTAGATCGGATCCATCTCCGCATATTTTCCTCAGATATTAAGAATAGCAAGAGAAAGTTTGTTCGCTAGACTAGAAATAGCAAAAACAGAAACATTATGGCAGATCATAACTTTTTTGAAGTGATTAAAAATTTCGTTCTACCATTTATAATCATCGTTGGCATATTTCTTAATGTTTTTGTTATGGTTTTAATTATATTTCGTAAACCATTAAGATCAGTAGGATATTATGGACTAGTATCATTATGTTTATCCGATACAATCTATGGAATTTTAAGTTTTCCAGCTCTTGGAGTATTTGACAAATACAACTGGGCTAATACCTATTGGAAATGTTGTGCAGTTTATCAAGCTATAATTGGAGCTATTATAGTGTCGTTTTTAACATTGTTTCTTATGACATTTGATAAATTTTTCGCTGTTGTTTATCCCTTTAAATATTCTCAATTCGTCACTCCAAGGAAAATTATGTTAACTTTACTAATATTTTGGGTTTATAGTGTCATTTTGGCATCTTTACCTTATGCTTCGTCATATATAACCGATCCCAGATATTCTTGGAATTATACTAGTCAGAATTGCAATTTCTTTACATATCAATCAGAAAGGCAAGCTATAATTTGGATGTCTCATATGATAACTATTATAGTAGCTTGCACTATTCTCCACATTCCAATAATAAGAGAAGTAATTAAGCAAAAGAAACAAGTAGCATCTCAAACAAACTCAACAAAAGGAATACATTTAAAAAATGTCTATACGTTAATAACTTTATTAATTTATAATTTTCTTTCTTGGAGTTTCTTAATAACCCAATTCTTGATTCTTTTCAACAAAACAATAGAGAAAAAAAAGTGGATTACACACACTAATCAATCATTTCTATTTGGTGGAATAGTTGTCCTATTAACACCGATTTTTGATCCAATTATATACGGATATAGTAGACATTCAATACGTCAGGAAATAACCTTGATAATAAATCATTGTCGTTTTAAAAAACAGAACATTTAATAAGAAAATAAAAGGAATAAACGCTGAAACATTCAGAGAATATCAAACTAATATTAAAAATAAAATTACTTAATGAAGTAATAAACTTAATTAACTTATTTATATTTTAATTTTTTTTAATTAATTTGTCCAATAAACAGTTGAAAATCAAGATAAAAATAACTAGATATGCATTGTTGTTTTCTGCTTTTGTATACAGTTGATATTATTTACATATGCTGTATATAGATAGAGTATACTAAAGTAGCTGAAAAAGATATCTAATGTATTATTACAAGTATTTAATTGTTTAATTGATATGCGATTCTTGTACTTTTAATTAAATACTTTAAAATGTAATGATGCTTGAATAGCTTGTTCACATGTTCTAATTCATATTATTCTAAATGTAAAAATAAGGAATGTCAATTAGTAACAATACACTAGTGAATATATTATTATCATTCAGAATACGATGTAGCTGTATAGTATCCTTTTTTCCTTATTACAATTTCTCATAAACATGACGTAAGTAGTTAAGAGTAAAATCTATATTTAACATACAGTATACATAGTATATTATCTGTTTATATTTAACTTTTATATATAAACAGTATATGTATATGGAGCAATTATTTAGCTTCTGCGAGACTGAAGATGGCGTATCCATACAATGAAACAATTACTTATGCATGATAAAACTAGAAGAAAAAAAGTAAAGGAAGGAATCAATAAAGAAAGCATAAGGTGTTCTACTAAAGAAACAGACTTTACTGTCCTCCTTTCTTATTATTCTAATGTATTAATAAAATGAATACTCGTATATATTTTATATAAATGTATAAATAGTACATTTTCAAGTTCATCTAAATACTAATATGATTATAATTTAGCGTCATTTATAGATATAGTCTAACAAAAGTAAAAAAGAACAAACAATTTAGAATAGAGGATAATGATAGTAAATTCAATGTCAATTTAGCATTTTTCCTGGAAGAGAAGATAAACCTAGTTGTTTCTCTTTTATTTTTGAAGCACTTAGCCGTAATAGACGTTGTTCATTTTAGATCATATAGAAATTTTCTCAGAGCTTCTAATAAGGCGTCTTCTTTTCCCAAACATTTCCTATTAGTTGGATTAATTTTTCATTGCATTTTCGCTTTTTCTCACTCTCTCTCTTTCTCTCTCTCTCCTTCTATAATCATTTATATAATCACACTTAATTTTTATATTTACAAAATCAATATATACCAAATCCTTCTTTCCGAAACGTGAATAATATATAATTTACTATATAATAAATAGTGCCTAAGGTTATATTGATCATTAGATACAGTCCAATGCATCCATCCTTGTTACCAAACCCTAATTGAAGCAGAAAGGCTCATTGGAACGTTTGTTCAGAAATCTGTTAGCCTATAATAGCAGGGAAATTATATATTCGCACGATCAATTATAAAAATAAACGATATATAAATAAAATATATTTTTATAACTTGAAACTATCATAGTCATTATTATCTTCTTCTTCTTCTTCTTCTCCTCATTCCACTAATTCCATACATCAACTTTCTTCTTACACAAGTAGCATGGATATCTTCTTTTGTCATTGACTCGTATTCTTCTGAAGACGAGATATCATTCAATTACATTTACTAATATAAAATAACCAATTCACATATTTCTGATGTATTCCCCCAAAAGAACTGCATTGACATTTACAAAGAATTGCCATTCTAAAGAAAGATATACTCACCTATGTACTATAACATATAAATTTGTGCAATTGAATATACTTGTACACCTATAAACTGGTTAATTAAAGTATTTCTAAGACGAGTAAGCGAGAAATGATGAAACTCTTACAGGATGCCAGACTTGCAAAGAAATGAGTCAGTGCATGAAATCTCTTACATCAGTGCCATTCATATGATCAAATGGTGAAGATTAAAGGCATTTCTTTGCTAAAGAGGGTGATGTGTATATCAATAAGTTTAAAAACGAATGTAATACTTGCACTATTTATTTACAATGAAGAGAAATGTAACATCCATATACGTCTATTTAAAGTATGCAAATAAATGAATTATCTATACTGAATAATCGTTATTTATTTCATTTCGTTGGGAAAAGAGTAAACTAGGTTAGAAAGAGAGAAAATTCCTAGAAAATAATACATTTCTGCAGTTTTGGTAGAATTTACAATTAGTACAATATTGCCTAAATCGATAAATCTACATAATTAGTATTTTATATATATTCTAATAGTGCAAAAGGCTATAAATGTAATCAAGTATTCATATACGACATACATTTATAGATATATAGCGTCTACTATATAAATTGCATACAGTAAATCTTATATATAAAACAAGGACACCATCGAAATCAGTACAATTATAGAAAACGCCACAACAAAAGCTTTTAGAAGCCGGAAAGTAAATAATACGGAGAGCATTACGATTAGTACAGTAGAAAGTATAAAAGAATACAGTACAACGTCAAGTAGCTAACAAATTATTAAGAAACGAAAAATCGTTATAGAAAACGATCTATCAGTCATGCATAACATGATAAAGCTGACTTCTTGTTCTCTTTACTCCAAATCATATAATTTCTATCCTTTCTATCCATTTATATTTATAAGTAATTTGGTTAATTTTACTTGACTTTTATTAAATAGTTCCTAATAGTGTCTTTTTAACATTCCTTTCAAAATTTCTACTCTTGTTGTCGTTACAATCTGAATATATTATTTTAACAAAAACCTATTACATTGTTCTTTAGATAATATAGTAGAAAATTTCAATTTACAATCATTTTTAATTAAGTTTTAGCATATCAACTTCATTAATTTTATAAGACTTTTCAGACTAGAAAGGAAGGGAAAAATTTCCCAAGTGCTCTATTTTTCTTTTCTGCTTTACCTCTCTCATGTAAAACGATTTACAAGATGAAAAGATTTCTGTTTCTTTAGAAACAAAAGCATTAAACAAAAGATTTATGATATAATGCTTGAACTATAAAAATAATCCAATTATCTTTTATATTTTGAAACTTCCGGTTAATTGTGATAATTGAATTCGGTTTTTTGCAATGTCATCTTTTATGAGAAGTAGAAGAAAGAGATTATACTGGAAAAGCAAATGTTGAATAAATATAGTATTGAAAGAAATGTCTGCTATTTATCAATATTCATAGTAATTGTTAATAGTTTACTGTTTTTAAATATAAATTCCTTATTTTTGAATAAATAAGATCAAACGCCTTCTATAAACTACACAAGTTTATTCTATAACAAAAAATCTCCTAACTAAATATACTAGAATGTTTTTCACATGAATGGTATAGAAACATTTTTTAGTTTGCCAGTTTGTTTATCATTCACCTGCGTGCTAAACAAACAATTACGTACTAAAATTGATAGTATTTTGATATATAGATAGTATGATGGGAATGGAGATGAAAAATTATTGGATATCAGATTTTTCAATCTTCCTGCCAACAGTAGTTTGCCTTAAAAGCAAATTGCAAAAGGGACATTAAAAAGCGCCATCTGTCGATCAAAATTTCGGCTTGCTGTATGGCGCAACAAGCACATTTCCTCATTTATGCATGGGGTGCGGTTCTACGCGCATCCATACAACACCCGTCTCGAATGGAAAACAGAATACTTACGCCGATTATCCGCTAGTTAGACGTTCTCACACTCAATTTTCCCATCTGTCAGCTACGATACAGAATGACGAAGAAAGGGTGAAAGTCGTTATGAGCCCGGACTGCTCCAGTATACAAATAGAAACTGTCTCCTTTGGTTCGGAAGCCTATTCGTCTTCACCTCCAGCAATTGAAGTAGCTCAGCAGAGTTCCTCTCCAAACACTTCCGATGTTAGAGCTAACCATAGCGGAACAGACGATGAGAAGAAATCGGCTAATCTCACTTCCAGTAGATTTACTAAAGGCTTTTTTGAAAAAGGTCGGAAGAAAAGATCATCCGGACAGAAATCCAAGTCTTTCGAAGATGAAGTACGTAAGTAAGAAGAAAAGCAACATTAACGACTTAAAAACAACCCCAAAAATTGAGGATTATACTTAGGGAACAAACGAAACTTAAACTGAATAATATTCAAATAAATATACACTTAAAATGTATGGTTGTATCTTATGATTCCCTAGTCAGCACCCCTCAGAGTCAAGGTTTGGTTACCTCCAGTGTTTATTTAATAGTATACGCATTTTTTTCTATGTAAAATATGAAACTACTGTCTGCTCATTTCTAAAACAAGCGTTGTGCCAAGAGCGGAATTCGAGAGGTCGTCTCCGCAAACAAAACATATAACTGATATTTTAACAAATAAATGTATGAATTTGCATATATTCTATATTTTGAAGACATACATTTATCATCATTTATATCTTAACGACTGGTTTATATACACTGTATATATTTATATATAGAGAATGTGAATAGCATGTAAACATTAAAGATAAAAAAGAAATCATTATCTGCTCCTCTCTTTCCTTCTAATTAGTTTTAAATAACTTAACGCGCGAATTGGTGAGGTTAGCAAAAAAGAGAGAAAAGGGTTTACGAAGCTGTTTACGGATGTTGAAAATCAATAATATTTTATTCATGAGCATATATTTATAAAATAGACTGAAAACTCTAAAAGAGAAAAGGGAGGGAGAGAGTGAGGTCGAGAGAGAGAGAGAGAGAAACAGAAAAGCAAATGCGAATGTTGTCTGATCAATAAATCGTAAAGGACCAAATAGAACACAGTGCAAAATAATACAATGATAGAGAAGTACACTACTACGATTTACTATTAGTACTATTATAATTAAGATCATTATGATTTTAAACTAATACAGTCATTTTCATATTATATCTAATCTCTGAATATTCATATATGTAAATAAAGTAATATAACAGTTTTTTTTAAAAAAACAATTCCTATTATTATTTATGTTTGCTCTTACTTAACTTTAAACTAAGATAAAGAAATTTTCTCCAATTCCAACAACCGGTCAGCGTTTTCTATTCTTTACTCTTATTTTGTATGGCACTCTACCCTTATCCGCTTAGCTATATTCGATTTTAGGAAAAAGAGTACATAAAGAAGAAAGGTGCAAGAGAAGATATAAGAAGAGGTAGGGGGTACTAGAAAGAGTAAGAGACAGGCAGAGAGAGAGAGAGAGATAGACAGATAGAATATATGTATGCATTTGAGTAAGTGTACGAAAACATGGAAGAGAAATGAAGAGAAATGAAGAGAAATTAGATTAATAAACAAAATATTGATGTATATACAGTATATATATATATTTATACATATGTATATTAAATATGTTTCATTTCTTTTTGCAGTATTTTTACATTGTACTCAGAAATATTATTTAAAAAAGAAACCTTAAATGACATCACTTTGTTAAGCGTTGTCGTATGCTCGGTATAGAAGTCTGGAATTACGATAATTACCTTCATTTCAAGTAGCAGTGCGTCTTCCCTCGTTAATATATGGTAGAAATCGAAAAAAATTGGACTCGGTTCTTATTAATACGATTGGTAGATACGTTGAATTTTTGATTAGTTTATATATCATATTTAAACAGGGATAATTAAATTATAGCCTTGTTTGGTATTATTTATTGTTGTTATTAGTATTTCCGCATGTTTATCTATTCTAAGAATTGAGCCGGAAAATTTAGTTCTCCATCGTTCGTTTACAAATAATTGATCAATCAATATTCCTGTTTTTTTTTCGCGCTCTTTCGACCAAGCAATCAATACAGAGAGCGTTAAGTCTGGTGGAGAAACGATAGTTTCCATGATAACCAAATTGAGTGTGAATGTCGGCGCCATCTATTGTACAGATTGCGAATTCCTAGTAGTAGAAAATGATCTAAAAATCGCCTTTATCTTCTTTTTATCGTTTTTATTATTTCCTATCTATATCTTATCCTTCATCTAAAGCGTCGTTATTAGACGGTACTCAATTTCCGGTTTATTTAATTTATTCGACAAAAATAGCCAATGAATATCCGAGCCAACACAATTGCAGTCAATAAGTAGAACAAATAATTTACTAATCAAGTATTCGCTTAATATCAATTTATAGTTTTTTTAATTATTTTAATTAAAACATAAGTGAAAACTGAAGAGTAAAGCTATATAAACAATTTCTTATATAATCATATTCCTTCTTTATATTCTCCTTAGGCTGGTAATCAGGGAAGAAAAACAATAATGAGTTTGTCCAAAAACTATCAATTTTGATTAATGTCTTTTGTAAACTTTTCGGTACGCATGCGCAACTGCCTTATAAACAGACTTTGGTTAAGTTTATATTCAATCCTATGCAACAAAGAATCAATAAGCAGTGTTCAATACAAAAAGAAAATAACTCCGTTCCTACGCTCTTGTTAATTTTTTAGCTAGAGGAATTGTAATATCTGGCTAATTAAGATTTAAAATCGATAGTTTCACTATGGAAGGAAATACGGGCCAACCTACTGATAATGATAAGGATAATACATCGAAATCAGGGTCAGAATCGGTGTCAGAAAGGAAGAGCAAGAATAGCGAACAGAGGAAGATAGAGATTGCTGATATGCCAAAAACTAACGTTAACTCTGAATTAAAAATGATGCGTGAAAGTGAAAATAAAGCTTTTGACGAGCTGATTAAGGAAAATGTTAAATTGACAACAGAAAAAGAAGACAGAGATGGTCGAATAAAAGAATTAGAGGAGGGAAAGGAGAGATTGGAAAATAATTTAAAAGAGGAAAAACAGCTTAATAAATTATTAACATCGGAATTATCTAGTCTAAAAGAAGAACTAGAAATTCTTAGATCAGGAGCGTCCAGCTCGGAAGAATTTCGACAGCTGAATGACGAAATTAGGCATTTACAGGACAGATTAAAAGCTTTAGCAAAGGAAGAGAGTGACAGGGATAAAAAACTACGAAATTACGAAGCCGAGTTGCTTTTGCAGAGAGCTTGGAATATTAAACTAGAAAGAGAACTAGGCGAGGAGAAATTGCAAGAGATAAAAGATGTAAACACTGATGAACAAGTAATTGAAGATATTCAAATCAAAGTTAAAAAGAATGTTGTCTATTCAAAGGAACCAGTTAAATCAACAATATGTTCAATATCATGAAATGATAAATTATGCCTCCCACTTCCAAAAGTGCTATCAAAATCTATTTCTTCCATTTCCGTTATATCTTTATATCTTGATATATTAATATATATACAGTATATATATATATATAATTTATCAATAAATATTATATTTATATAGCTTATATATAAAAATTATGCGTTGATTGTTCGATTAAAGTCTAAGACAAGCGTATTTATCTTGATATAAAAAAAAAAGCAATCTTAGTCTTCTCATTTTCACTTTAGCTCGTTCTCTATCTCTCCGTTTTCCTCTCCCTAATACATACAAGAGATAATGTATATATATATATATATATCTTTCCATCTATTGCTTCTTTTTATATGGTAAAAACATATCCTTTAAAAAAAATCAATACTGATCGTTTCCTTTTGATTAAATACCATTGATTTATTTAAGATTGTCAAGAGGAGTTGTTGCGTAAACACGACATATTTGGATCTTTTTTGTTCCTTTCACGCTTCAATGTACTTATCCTTCCTTCTTCCACTTTATACAATACAAGTGAAGTAGATGTATACACAACTGGAATAAAAGAAAACTTAAGAAATAAAGTAGGGACAGAAAGAGAGAGAGGAAGATGGTGAAAGGAAAGAGTAGGCAAGAATGGGTAGATAACAAAAAACAACATCCTAGAATTAACACTGCTTTTATTGGTTGTTTTCATTTATGAGAGGAAAGGAGGGGAGGCGGGGAAGGTAACAATTATAGGCTTAAATATATATCCTAATTAGTCTTATTTAGCTTGAAAGCTTATCCATACAATTACTTGCATCAAATAAACGAATGTGAATAGAGATATGATTAATTTTTTGCAAAAAAAAAAGAAACATTCCTTAGTTTGTTAGCTGAAAAGATTTTCTCTTTCAGTCCATCGCTTTAGCCCCATTCATAGGCCTAGCTACAGAGTAAATCTTACAATTTCTCCAGCAGAAATAGGGGCAAGCTCCTGGGTAAATCTTTTTAGCTAGGATAACCGTATCTGTCGTAATCTCTTTCCCTTGGCTTTTCCTACAATTCTTATTTTATTTAACATAATTTCTTTTGGTTAAAAAAAATCCGTTTAATTTCAATATTATACAGTAGATGTCACCTCCATATAATGTATTGTATCATTCATATCATAATGCCCATGTGTACCCCCGTGTCAAGAATACAAATGAACATTTGAAACATAAATGAAGTGATTCAATTCGACGGATTTTAATTAGAAAAGAGTTTCCTATTAGTTATTTACTGGATTAACGAATTAGATTGCTAGATTTGATTATTATTAATTGATAATTTGGAGCATTTTCCGTCTTTGAAGTGACCGATTTTATCTCTCCTGTAATTAAGCAAAAGTCAATTTCTTAATTAAAAAGAAAGACTAGCTAATTAATCTATTAATTGGTTAGTATTAGGAAACATACCGATCTATCTTAGTGATTCAATAGATCTACTTAATCAGACGCTTTATTGTTATTTTTTTTCCGTTTATATGAGGATATGCTTCTCTCCCTCTCTCTCTCTCTCTCTCTCTCTCTCACTCACTCACTCACTCTTCCTCTGGTATTTTTTTTGCTTTGTTTTGCTCTATAAGGTGACATTTGGTTACAAAAAGGATATAAAAGAATTTTATTAGACCTCATTCAAAGAAACCGAATCGTAAAGGATCATTTAAATATTTTTGATTTTTTTAAACGTTTGTTAGCGGATGTTGCCTCAGGGATTAGAAGTTGGCAAGTAACCTCCCTTAGGACTCGCATTCTTATCCACCCCTCTCCCTACCCACCCTAAAAATAAAAGAAATACATTCGGCCCCGCTCTAAGTCGTTAAAAACTCGTAGTAAATAGAAATTTAAAGAAACCGCAAACGCCCCCCTAAAGCAGAAATTTAACTTTGATATGTAACCATTGCAATCTCGAACCTTTTTAGAACGAGACGAGAGGGATCTTCTAAAAAATTTGACATTTAATTAAAACAGATGTCGCTAGTTGTGTCACTTGTTGTTTAAACAAGGGAACATAGAAGGTATTAGGTGTTGTGTATACACATACGCTAACTACGTTTGTATGTAGTTCAAACACTAGAGTGAAAGAAGAAAGATAAAAAAATGGGATGCTTGAAAAAGAAGGAAGAAGAAAGAAGTAAAATGGGAAAAAATAAGCTCTAATTTAAAAAAATAATATATTATAACCTTCTAATCTAAAGGAATATAATTATTAAGCAATAAAAGATATAATTAGCTGTTGTCTCTAATTAAGCGTACGATGGGAAAAAACTAATTCAAAGAAAAATGCTAATAATAATAAAATAGCGACTTTTCCTTTTAACATAAAGCAATTTAATACTTTTGACATTGAAATAAAAAAAAAATCTGTCTCTATATATAAAAACTTATAAACTCTTATCTTATCTTTTTTTACGAAACTTATTAATTTTTCGTTTTTAATCCGTTTTTACTTTAATTTACAAAAAAACATTATCTGTAAAATATTTTATTAGTAAAAACATCGTTCTTAATAAAAAGAGCCGAATGAAAAATGAAAGAAAATATGATATCAACGTTATTGTATTTGATACAAGGACTATAGAAAGAGAGGTAATAGGAGGAATGAAGAGGAAAAAGTTTGAATAGCATATAGAGAATAGCGTATGGGTCGACTGCCTTCTTTAATGTTTGTCGATTCTTTGAAGTTTATACGTTAAATGTCAAATGTTTATATATAAAAAAAAGAAGAAAAAAGTAGCTTAATACAGGACTTTGACACTTGGAAAATAAATAAGACAATCTTTTTTCAATAAACTTAATAACTACTTGATAAAATAGTCAATTTAGTATTTTTCTCTTCTCTTCTATTTACCTTTTTTTTCCCTTTCTTTTTCTGTTGTGCTAAACCAATTATTCTTAAAATTATAACATTCCACAATAAGAATAGAGAAAGAGGTGAAGGAGGGAGGATGGTGGAGGGTAGGGGGTACGGACTGAATAAAAGAAGAAGAGGTGTATGGAAAAGATATAAAGTTCTTACATTATAAAGAACAAATTTTTTTCTTTTTCTTGTGATTCAACTTCAGATTCCATTCCTTGTAAGGTAAAAAGAAAGAAAGAAAAGAAAAGAAGGAGAGAAAGAGAGAGATTGCATACTTTTATTTCTTCCCTATTTTCTTTATTCTCCATTTTTTACGTTCTTTAACGAGGACTATTGAGACTCTTTTGAATTTCTAATATCAAACGGAATGTTCTAACGGCAAAGGTGGAAATAGAGTAATGAAAGAAAGTAGGAGAGGGGAGAAAAGAGCATATTTCTGCCTATATCTAACTTATCGAACTAAGAAGAAAGAAACATTCGATCTTAACTTTCTTTATTTTCATCTATCAGTAAAACGATCTCTTTGTCTCTCTCTCTCTCTCTCTCTCTCTTCTGGGGCCATATTTAGAATCCTTTCATAAATTTATAAAACCTTTTATATACATTAACAAAAAAAACGAGGTCAAAAACTTTATTTCAAGTAAATTAATAGGATAATATTTTCTTTTTTTATATATAAAAAAAACTTTCTCAAATTATTGACAACACTTGTTTAGTTGGGAAAAAAATTGGCAAAGGGTGCGAGGTGGAGAGAAAGAGGGAGGGGGTGGTGAGGGTGAGAGAAAAAACTGACGTCTTTTAAATTGTCGCCCCTCGACCGCCGGCTTTTATCTTGCCGCCACCATACTCGACGATGACAATAAAACGTCGATAAATTTCACTAATTGTACAAGCTCGTCAAGTAAACGAAAAGGAAAGGGGAAGAAAGAAGCGTTTGAGAGTGTTTTAACAGGATTTGTACGATAATATCATAATGTTTAGGAAAATGTAGACGTTTTATGAAAAAAACGCTTCTACTCTAGCGTGCGTGTACGTTGTATCTATATAAGCTTACCTATACAAGCAAATATGAGCGTTTGATGAGTTTTTTTAAGTTTGTTGCTATCGACGTAAAACGATATATCCCACGCGCTTCAAAGCGTCTAATGAGCATTGGCGTTGTGTAGCAACGCGCAATGGTTTGTTCAGGCACGCTTTTGAACCATTTGCCGACAATTTCCTGGTGAAAGACGAAGCCCGGTCGGGTCATTCTTGAACAAAATAAATCTTAAGGTGACGCCAGGTGTGAGGTTCTTTGATGATGCCGCTGGGCAGGTGTTACACTCGAGCGTCTACTATACAGTGTCCGCTCCTTTGTGGTACGTCCTTTTTCTCTCATCTTACTCAATGGTGCGTGGAAAAAGAGCGGCGTACCGATGCAGTACAGTCATTTCTTTCGGGCAGCAGATGGCGTCTTTCGCGATTTACCAGCCTCCCTTTATTCTCCTCCTGTTCATTTTTTTTTAACTCGCAACTCTTTCCTTTTTCCATTTCTGAAAATTTACCCTACCTCCCTCAAATACCCTGTTTTTGAGCCTATCCTCCTTGCTATTTGACGAACCTTTCTTATTTCAAGATCAAGGTAAAATTGCTTCTAGTGCCGAAATAACGCTTAATATATTCTGGTAGGGTATTAAAAGAAGGAAAAGGTTTCGTCCAATCAGCAAACGGTAGATGATAGCTAGCCTTGAGGCTGGAACTTCAAGGGTTGTAGTTCGAGTTGCGCTAAAGGCGTATTTACAATCTTTTCTCATCTTATTCCTATTAGTTTTGCTTTGTTCTTAGTATTTTCCTCTGAAAAACTTTCAAATGGTCAATGGTAATTAATTAAAATAAATTAATATTTCAACCCCCTCTCCTATTCATAAACTATTAAGAGGAGTATTTAAAAAAAATGACTATAAATGCGCCAAAGACCAACCTAGCAATCAGTATTAAATAGAGAGTGAGAGAGAGAGAGAGAGAGAGAGAGAGAGAGAGAGAGAGAGATGAGAATAAACTAATTAAAGTTTTCCCCACAACAGAACAGATAGATTAGGGAAAATGAGAAAAAAAGACAGCGTAAAAGGGGCGATAATGTGTGATATTGAATTATTTGACTGGCACGCAACGTTAGTTGTATGTGAAATCGAGCAATAACACGCGAAAGGAAAAGCCACCAGTTAACTCCTGTAGCACCTAAGGGCAAGCATATATTAAAGGAAAGGGTTGAATAGGCCACACCCTCTTAACAAATTATATAGAAACAGACTGCATAACAGGTGACACTTACAGCATCCCTCCTAGTTTCATTTCGGCTTTAATTAATTCCTTCATCTCCTAAAATCTTTTGCCTTTTGCTTTAAAAAGTAAAAGAATAATAATAACCATTAAAGATGGTTAGGCAGAATTTTTTGGGCGTTCCTAATTCCTTTAAAAGGTGTAAAATGTATAATAAAGACGCTTTTATATTCTAATAAGTGCCAGGCGTTACATCTCCTTATAACTGTTTATTCCTGTAGCGTAATTATACAACGTTTTCTCTTTTATGAATAAAAAAAGAATATATAACGTCTGTAAAGGTATCAAAAAACCTTTAATGTTTGTCAAGGTTTTTTTATTAAAAGCCAGTTTATAAATCAAATAGAAATCTTAACGCTGTCTCCTTAAAGCCTAAAGATTATATAATTTCCCAAAATTGCATCTAGACTGGACTATGTTTGAAATAATATCCTGTTCATCAACATGAGACACAAAAGACATTCTCGCTGATAGGTTGGTGGGAGGGCAGAAAGGGTACTTTAACTGCCTAGTTACGAGTAGCGCCACCCATCGGCCGATTGCGTAAAAGTTAAGTGTTTAGTTTGTGCAAGACGGTGAGAATGTGCACATTGTGCAATACCGAATCGGCTATTATTAAGAGAGCCACGAACGACTCATGTCCAGGATGTTGTTTGGCTTGTCCGTGCTCCGATGAACCAACAACTTCCCAACTCATATTCAAAATAGTTGAAAGAATATCAAGTTTAAAGGTATTTTATCGATTGATTATAAAAGTATGTTAATCAATTACGCTAATTAATCAATATTATAACTAATCAATAGAGACAACGTTTACCGGCTACTCAAAATTTCAAGCCTAATTTAGCTGAAACAAATCCTGCAGAATTTCATAGGCGAGTAACGGATCGTTTAAATGATTACCTACGGCGAAGTCGCGAGAGCAGAGATCATCTAAGGAGGTTAAAAGACGAATCTGAAGACGACAGACCTCTACAAAATTCTACTGTTGATTACTCATCATCAGATAATTCATTAATTCATCCCGATGATCCCCAAAATATTTTGGATGAGCATGTCTTTAGGGTATTTTCCAAAAGGGAATTGGAAGAAGCCTCGCTATCGGCTAGAGGAACGGATTCAGGAGTATCTCTCGGCTACGATAATATGAAAAGATTAATCTCCCCAATCGAATCTTTTCCTTTCTCTTACTCTTCCGATCATCATTTAAAAATATTTCCCACACGAAATAGAGTCCTTGAATGGATGATGAACAAAGCGAAAATAGAAGAAGAATCAACAGTAGTCGGTTATTTCTTATTCAACGAGGAAATCCCATACAAGTTTCGAATGCCCGGCCGAAATATAACCCTAGCCCAGATCAAGGAGCATATTAGAAGGGGAGCAAACTGCAGGTATTATTAGTTGTAGCGTGGGTAAAAATACCTTAAGCGTTAAAAAGCGTTTATAAGCAATTAGCCAGTCTTGTCTTGGTCAAAACCTTCACCCTTCACCTTGCATTTGCTTAAATAATATCACAGCCATTTGATAGTTGTAGCATTTTATCATTAGATGGCTTTATAGGTAAACTATACAAGAAAGGATAACGTCTATTATGATCAGAGAAAAGACAGGAGTTTAAAAATTACGTTGTTTGTCGAACAATGCTGAAGAATGTGCAGACCGCCGCCCATAAACTGACGGCCTACTATCGTACGCGGTTAGGAAGAAGAAAGTGGTGAACAAATCGAAGATGAAAGAACGCCTTTACCGTGCGCCGCCTGTCTGTAATTGTGCCGCTCTCTGATCTTACAGCTTTGTAGCCGTACTTTGAAGTTGCCGCAACTTCGCTTCCTTCTTCTCTCATTTTTAAGTTGTCTACCCGCTTCATACCGCTTCACGCTATTCCCTTTTCCTTACCTCCAACCCTCTCTGATTAGTCACTTTGTTCGTTAGATCATTTAATCGCTCATTATTAAAGCGGATTCATTTTTTAATACAGATTTTTCGTCAAGAAACACTCGGAAGAGTTTGGCGTTGGCGTCGTTCACGAAGAAGTCACAAATGAAAATGAACCTCTTCCGCTGTTCGACGGTAAAATTGTATTGACTATAAATAAACTCGATTAAACGCGAAAAGTTTCTGACATCTATTGGCTAATACGCGTATTGGTTTCGGTCACGTGACGTCTAAATAGCCTCACTCTCCCGCCTCCTTTGCTATTCCAGTTTATTGGCCATGAAATAAGTAGAAATGGAACTGTCCTTTGTTTCTAAGAAAAAGAGACTTTTTATACGCCTTTATAAGCACTTCTTATGGAGAATGAGAGAAAAAGAGTGACGATGAAAACTTAGAAGGTCGTGACGATTATAAAGACCACATCGAGTGCACTGGCGTTTAATCTTTCACTCTAATAATAATCTATGATAATCCCAATAGCTTTCCCCTCTCTTTTTTTTCTTTTTGCAAAAATCTATAATCTCTAATCAAAGTCTTTCTCTCTTTTACCTACCGCAAAACTGAATAAAAGAGAGAGCGGGAGAGACTATGTGAAAGAAAGATGGAAAAGTAATGATAAAGTAACTGCAAAAGGCGAAACACTTTTACTTTCAATGACCTCGTAAAAGAGATTGAAAATATCAGCATTCTGTCAGTTCAATCGTGCGAAAAAAATTAATAAATTGCATTTGATTGCCGCCATTTAACTTGTTTGGAGATATCCGAAGTTGCGATGTAAGAGGAAAATGGAAATAAACTCAGTCACGTGATGGAAGAAAAACTTAACGTTTATATAGAGCGTAAACGGCGCGCTTCTCTTTGTTCGCTTTTTCAAATGCTACGGTTTGCGCGTATGCTCTTCAAACATCAAAGGCATTACGTGTTTCTGAACGCCACCTATTGCCCTATACGAACACTAATCCTCAAACAACGACGTTAAATTAGTCGGCGCTTTCATGTGGCGTTGACGCCTTTGATTCCAAGGACTTGGGCGTCACTTTGTTCTTGCTTTGTAGCCTGTCTCGTTTATCTTTCTTCCTGCAATTTTTTCCTTTGTATTCGCTATCTAATTCAATTATTTCATTTGCGACGGTGCAAGAGTTTAGATGTACCAGATGTACACTATATATATATTATATATATATATATATTTATATGTATACTGTATATATATAAATAAAAATGTATATTAATATATACATATCTAGTCATAACTAACAATATGTATGGATAGCGCATACATAAAGTATATATATTCATTCTTATATATGAATATCTATATATTCAAATATACATATATATATATATATATATATATATATATATATATATATATACAGCATATATGAATTTTTATACATCTTTATAACAAAATACATTTGTATTCATTAATATAACTTTACATTTATACAAATACATCATTTATCTCGAATTAATGAATGAGATTCCTGGCAATAAATTACGGATGCGTTTGAGGTCTATATTGTATATATTGGCCAAAGTGTTGTAAGATACATGTATACACACTCTTATGTATACATAAATGCTGTATAGAGTACATCGAAGAGAATAAAAAACAAAGATAAGTGGAGTAGTAGAGTCTCAAGCGACTAATTTACGACTTTCTCTTTGAAAAATAAATAAAATGCCCATCGCGAAAGTCTTCAAAGGCTACCAACTACATTTTCAAAGCAACTTTGTTCAGTTGATGCTCGCTTTGATGTTGAAAGAGTCGCGTACCAAACTGCTCTTTGTTGCGACTCGCGCCGCCGAGTATATGAACATACAAATTATCATATTTTTGCCTATTATACTGTATTCATAAATGCAACGATATGATTCAATCATTTGGATATATTTATATTATCATTATCTTATTATATAATAATATTTATTCACTTATATGATGAATGTGAAAGTAAACCGCCTGCCAGTACACACTATATATTATTAACTTCTTCAATTGAAAGTTATCTAAAAATATCTTCACATATTCTCATTTTTTTGTATATGAGTACATATTACATTTTTAGATATCTTAGTATAGAGATAATAATATATATATATATTCGCATATACGTACACAATATGCGCTGAGCTACAGCGATATTGCAGCGCATATAAGCATAAACGACGTCTTCAAAGGTAACGAACAAAAGATCTTGATAGAAGTTGGCACTGCCTTTAACTACTAGGCCTGCAATCATTCCACCTTTTGTTCTCGTTTCTTCAGATATTCTACATCAATGCTTCGCTCCCAACATCAAAGACTCGAAAGCACATTGACATAGCATTATCTAGATGACGAAACGTGTTTGCACAAAACTTAATTGACGCAACAAAGAGTTTTCGCTTTTTTTCCCTTGCTGCGGTATAACAAAAAAAAAGGAATAGATAGAAAAAGAAGAAAAAAAGATCAAGTTCAAAAAGAAAAATAAAAGAATTACATAGAAAAAAAAACAACAAACACATGTATTAGAAGTACTTAGAGAGGAGGGTGAGCTGGCATGGTGGGTGGGGGGGAAGGGGATAAAAGGAGGGAGTGCTGGTAGAATGAATAGGAAAAATAAAAGAAGAATAAATGGATATAGATAGCTTGTTAATTTCTTTACTTATACTTCTTTTATATTTATTCCATACAGTTGAAATTTTCCATATCTTTTAATATAATTCGAGTTATATAAAGTTAAAATATTTATAATTAAGAATTTTCAATGCATATTTCATAGTACAATCATCAAAGCTGAAATTCGATCATGCATGATATATGGCTGTATAAAGAACAAACAATATATAAGAATTCCAAGCACGCGCTTATATTTCATATATCGCTTTAAGAATCAAAGAAATTAATTTTTTAACCCATTTCCTGAAGAATATCGTTTTATCGTCATATTTTTTGCCGTCAGATGGCCGACCAATTATTCAATTTACTCAAAGATCATCCAAAAGTAAACCTTGCCCTCCTACTTTCGACCTTTTCCTCCCTTTTAATATATTTCTCTTCTCAATAAAACAATTACGAACTTCTTTAATATCATACAATTTTCCCTACTTTATTATAATTTCAAACACATTTTTTATATAGAGTGAGATAGAGAGAGAGAGAGAGAGAGAGAGAGAGAGAGTGAAAGTATAGTTCTTTGACATAGAGTGAACATATTTTAATCATTCAATTGAAATTGAAACGATACTGTTTTGTTACTTTTTTCCTTTTATTTTTATATGATGAAATAGTTATTATGTCAATGGCTTTTTCATTATAAAAATTAACGCTTTGAGCTAGAGATACTTCACTCTATCTTTTCTGACCATATTGATGAATTAATGATAATGAGTATAAAGGTCTTTCATGCATGAATGATGATATGCACATGTTCTTTTCAAGTAATTTAACAGAATGACACTTTGATGTAACTTTATTGATCACTTTTTTTAAAAATATAACATTTATACTTGAAATATTCTACACTTAAAAAGTATTGTTTATGTAAATCAAAAGTTCTTTTAGCTGCTTCATTTAAAATTGTACTGAAAAATTTGGCAAAACTTTAAAGTAACAACATTCTCTTAAGTTTGTTATATTGCCTTTCACTCAAATATTTTCACTTAGAAACGTCAATTAGTAAACTTTAGTAGTTCATACCGATGCCGACGGGTCAACTACAGATGGCACTAATGTACTTTTAACAATACTACATAAAGGTGTATTACATATATGTCTTAATGCAGTACTTTAATGCATTAGATACTATATATTATATGTATTTGCCTTTTTCGACGCTCCTATATAACGCCACCTGTTGAACGCATAGTCAAATATTCAAATTAGATAAATTTCGAAGATGATATATACCACGTGACTTCCTGGTATGCTTACGCAGTATTTTAGACATCCGTTAGTCAAAACAGTGCTTCCAAATCTCTTTTAAGGTAATCAACATGTATTAACCTTTTTTCCATATAATATTGGATTATTAACTACATCTTTTGAATAATTTAAATAGAAACTTGAGATATTAGCCGCTTTTATTCAAGTAAAGAACATTAGTACTTTATTTGATGAAAAGGATCAATTTTGTTCTTCGAATTAGAAAAGAAAAATACAACAGTATTTTGTTATTTGGCTTATTTTTTGTTCCAAAAATCGTTTATTATGAAAGTTTTGACGTTAAATTGTCGATATATTTTAGCGAATATTAATGTAATATGTATTAATTTAAAGCTTTTGAATAGAAGAGTTTAGCTATTTTTTGCTTTCTCCGAAACTGTAATGTCGTAAATAAGCACGTGGGTTAAAATTAGGTCAGAGTAATACATTTTAAACATAAATGGATTAGTAAAAAATCTATTTTAGTTAAATGTAACTTGGTATTTCTTTTGTTTTCATATTTTTTTCACTAGGACAGTCTTACATTGCGTTTGTCTGTTACGTTGTGTATTGTTTATGATTATAATAATATATATTCTTTTTATTTTTAGATGCTATTCTCTCTAAAACTTCAAGTTTTCGTTTTTACATTGGTTACATGGACAACTGTTGTTGATTCTAAGAAATGCTATAGTTGTTTTGAATTTAAAGGGTTGAAAATTGGAGAAAGTTATGGACCTCAAGCGCAATTTATTAGCAAGATCTCACAAGTGACTGGATCTCTTGTCAGCGAAAATTGCGATAACAATCCTAAAAACGTAGAAGAATGCGAACATGATTGCTATTATTCCAAAAGTAAAGTAACCGCTCTTTCGGTACTTCAGACATTTGGACTTGGGGGCACTGCATCTTTGATTTTAAGGGGCTGTTCAAGTGCAGATGTAAGCCCTGCTCCTTTTATTGGAATCATTGCGGAGGATAATCGGAATATTCCGTTTGGTATTGCGACTACACAGAATATCACTTCTTTCTGTTCCTGGGACAAATGCGACATAAAGTTATGTGAACACGGATACTTTAGAATTAGTAATATCTGTTTTTCTCCAATATTTTACGCAATCTTTCCTCTTGCTTTTATATTTGCAATAATACTCTTAACTTGTTGTTGTTGTTGCTGCTGCTGCTGTCGACCATGTAAGAGAACAAAATTGCACCTTGCCGTAACAAGATTAAATGAACGAAATTTTGAAGCACAACCTCTTGTTTAGTCAAGTATAAAAGAGTATAATGAAAGTTTAAGTAGAAATAAATAAACTTTAATACTCTTTACCTTGAAATTTTGCGTTGAAATTATTTTGAAAACGTATCGAAAGATGGGATTTTCTCGTTTTTTTATGATAGACAAGAAAACTTCTAACGCCTTTAAAGATTTTTTTAGACCATGAAAGAAATAACTAGATTTATCATTAATAGTCAATAGAAAAGAATGTTCTTAGCTCTTAATTTACTCTTTTTTTTCTTGATTCCTTGAGAAATTCTCTTCATAGATAAATATACGTTTGATGTTTGTTCTCAAGGGTATCAAACACATTATTTTTCCTTAATAATTTTCAGTTGTATAACTTATTGGCTTTTGGTAGCCGCCGTAAACGAATGGTTTTTATCCACGTTCTTCAATCGGTCATATAGCTCTGCCTTGGAAAAAACATAACCTAATTTAATAACAAAAAATTTTCCGTTTGTTACTTGGTAAATTGATGGTAAAATTGACTTTTATTACCAACTTTATCGTATACTTTGTCGAAATTTAGAAGGTAATTAAAGGGTTCTTTTGATAAGTAATCTAACTTTTACTTGATTAATGTTTGTTTTTAGTTGGAAGAAATTCTAATAAATAACACTTGATACGTTTTTACTGTAAAAATTGTCTAAAATCGATGTCGTATTATAATAGTCTTGCGGACTTTGCAGTTCTCAGTTCGTTAGGTAACTTACCTTTTCAAAGTATAAAAGATCAGGTAAGAATTTCGATACAGAATTGTAGAACGAAACAAATTTAGAAAGATAAATTGACCTATTTCCCAGATATACCAAAAGGAAATATAAGAGAAAAACAATATAATCGAAATCTTGATAAACAATTTGCCTTAGGGTAGATCGTAGTGTCAGTGGTCAAGTCTATACATACATGCTTTATGTATATATTTACCTTGTAGGACAACAGAGTATTATTTTATTGAGATTTGATTTATGACTATCTTTCAACAGGGGATAAATCATATCCTTTAAGTATGTATATTTATTAATTGTCAAAGTTGTTAACTGTGAATAAACAAAATTCGAATCGAATTTTTTATTTTGTATTCGAATACCCCGCTAAAAACTAAGCCAAATTGACAAACGAAAAAGTTTATTTGTGACGTACTTTGGTCAAAACCAAAGACTTTCATTGTCAACTGAGAGTGGCGATCCAGTTTTTCAATTGAAAAAAGTAAAAGCTGTTCTTATTGGTCGTCATCAAAGTAACTCTACGGCCGTCTTTTGTTCCCGTTCAGTAGCATAGTCTGGCCATCGGAAAACAGCTATTCATCCGCCGTCTCTTCGCTTCGTCCAACGAGAATTGTGATCGTCACTGCTTTCTTGTTCTGTTAAGTATGAGTTAATATTCACTAAATAGAATTCCAACCGACTTACTTTCCAAAGATAGAATCGGCGTCTGGTACTCCCTTGTTTTGACTATGCATTAACTTATCTTTGTAAGGTGTCGGAGCCATGTTATCAATGTAAGGCACTCGGTAATCCTCATTTTCCTGCCGTTCGTGAATATCTAAAACCATCTGTTTCATTCTCAATTTTTCTTCACGTTCCGCTTTTTCACGTTCGCGACTGTGTTCGGCTAATTTTGCATCCAGTGGAACATGAAGTGCTGAGAAATTATTTTTGTTTCCTCTACGTGTCATGAGCACAAAATTAACAGTTCGTTTCTCATCATCAACTTCTCCAGGTACAGCAGCGCCTGTAATTAAAAGAAATTTTAATCAAAAATATATTGTGTTATTAATCCTCCTTCAAACCTGCTTTCCTTTGTTGAGTTTTTAAGTTAATTGGGACAGAGGCATCAAATTGGGGATATCGGACGGTTTCTGTTTGGCGGCTTTGTAAGCTTTCAGACATTGTCTTTTCGAAAGCTGATAAAAATTCTGTATCCTCTACTGTTGGTTCGGAATCAAGTTTTGAGTGAACTTTAACGTTATCGAGGTCGTCTTCATGAGAGTCTAGTCCTTCTCCTTCGGTTGAAGATCCTTCCAGAGTGTCTTCATCTTCATCTTCAGATCGGGGATTGTTTGGATATTCTTCTTGTCGATCATTCTCATCTAGATTACAATAAAAAATGCTTATCATTTCAAATTTATTTTTATAATTGCAAAGATAAACCTTCTTCTTCGTCTTCAGGAATTGTATTTAGTCCTTCATCTGAGGCTGTTGCTTCTTCCAGTTCAGGGAGATTCTTTCCTACAAAAAAAAACAGGTTGGAAAATCTTAAAAATATGATAGCAAGCTTTACTTAGTTTCTCATAGAAATCTTTATCTAGCTTTTCACAAGCCGCGTTAGCTTCTTCATATGATTTGAAACGTTTCATATCTGGTCTTAGATTTGAGAATAAGTCGTCAACTTGTTGATAGACTTCTGACGGGAATTCTATCTGAGCGTCTTTAAACTGTTTCTCCTTAAAAAAGAAATATCTTTGAAAATACACTAAGAACCAATCCAATCGTCTCTTAGAGCTTCCTCTATCGAAATATCCTCCACATACATCTAATCCAGTACAAACGAGTCGAACGCGAAATGGATCCAGAGGGGGATCATAGGGATCTTCATCTGATTTATAAATATTTTTATGATTAAATGGCAAAGATCGATTTTTTAAATTTACAATTACCAGAAAAATTGACCCCAAAACTTATTAAAGAGAAAAGGACTTTAAATACCAAAGCGCTTTCAATTAATCTGTAGTTATACAACTCTCCAATAAATTTTAACACAGCCAGTCGGCGCTGTTTGAATATTGAAAGGCGTGGGAGTTCCAGTCCCCATCGGATTTGCTCAATGCAACTATCCACTACGGCTATTCCAACATCTTCCTGCAAGTTATTAAAATTTTTAAAATACTATAACAAAGCTATAGAAGAGATTCTTACATGATAAGCAGACAGCCCAGCTAGAACATTAGCCACACAGTAGATACCATTAAATCTAACATTCCAAATGGCTGAAATACATTTAATTACATATTCTTTAATTTCCTCATTGTCCCAGTCCAACTTTCTTAGCTGTTTTAGGACTTTTTCTATAGTTAGTTTCGTCAAGTCTTTATATAGTAATTTTCGAATATATTGATGCATTGGTGGTCTTTCTTTTCGCTCTTCTTTTTTACCTTCTGGAGGATTACTGTTACAATAGGAAATAAGTATTTTATTTAAAATTAAACAAGAAAAAGGTGTCTAACCAATAGTAATATGCATTTTCTATAATTATATTATAACGAGACTCCAGGGCTAATGCTGCTTTCTTCCGTAGCATAACATCTAAGTAGACCTTTGTCCGATAATGAGAATCTGGCGATCTATACAAAAATCGACCACAGCTTTCCAACATAGCACAAGCCATTTCAATATTATGATGTTTTAAATCATACAATAAAGACTGAAAATTTTTCAAAGTTAATATTAATCAAAACTTAATGTTTATAACAATAAACCTTTAGAAGGGCCAAAGTATCAGTTTTAGGAAAAACTTTAAATTTGGTTAGTTCTCCTATGAATCGCACAGTCTTTAGTTTACTTTCAATGTGAATTTGGTCCTTTTTTCTCAACTAAAGATATTTCAAATTGTATGTATAGCAAAATATTATAAATATTACTATACAAACATGATGCCGAAAATCCGACTTAAGATAGGAGATGAGATCTTCGCCAACATCTGGCATGCAAGGATGCAAAGTAGCAACAAATCGAGAATAAAAAGGTAACAAATCATATCTGAAAGGATATATAATAATATAATATTTGAAGATCTATTGAATTTTCAATCATTTTACCTTGTCCGTTGAACATTAAACAAAGCTTTGGCTAATTTTTTTCTATAGCCTTTTGTATTCATGTTCGTGCAGAAATCCTCTGCAGCTCTATCAATCATATCGCGATTAACACAATTCGGTAAATTCTTTACAAAATTATCAAAAATCAGTTTCATAGAACCGTTTATATCTACATCATCCTCTGCGGAAAAATTAAAAATTAATAATCAGAAACATGTATTTCAATATTGTAACCATCATCATCGGGTAAATTTGGCTCTGGTTCATCTTCTTTCTTTTCAGAATCTTCAACAGTTTCCAATTCCTTCTCAATATCTTCGACTTTCAAGTCTGCAACACTTCAATTGCAAGGATATTCATTACATTTCTGATTTAACAAACCTTCATCTGCAGTTGTTTGCTGATCCTCGACGGTTTCTACATTATCCGTAGTAGGACAATCTTTAAAAAGAATTTGAGGAAGTGTAGACTTGAGATCTTTCAAGTGTTCATAAAAATTTCTTTCGTCTTCATCTTCAAATAATTGATTTTGGGTTTCCAGTTCATACTTTAAAAAAATGTATAAAGTAAAAAGAAATAACCTTAATTGAGATAATCTACCTCTCCTGCTTTATTCCCTTGAATAAGGTCTAACGTTATATCCATTTCATCTTTTTCTATTGGAAATAGTAATGTGAAAATTTTGATATACGAGGAATATATTGCACACCATACCTTCTTCTGGAATTTCAGGCAAATCCTCTTCCAGCAGGTCCTAAAACAAAATATTTCCGTAAGAAATTATATTATTAAACAAATTATTAAAAAGCTTACAGAAAGGATGTTTAAATTCCCGACCATCTTAGAATGGGATTGTTGAGCAGCTTCTAACTTTTCTTTACGTTCCGCAGAGAGTTCTCCCTTTGTCTATTTAAAGACAAAGACTACTTATCAGCATACTTTTAATTGAAACTAATACAGTAATTGTTACACAAATCAAGTCTATCACAAATACTCATTTTATTTTATTTATACATTTTTAAATTAGTATACAATTGTATATTACGAAATTACAAGACTTAATACTTTGTGTGCATTTCTTTTGCCTTTTTTATAGCCCTCTCTCTATGGAGGAGACAAAGATTGTATCTCAGAATCAAAAATTTTGAAAAATTCCTCCACAAAAATTTCCCAAAGCTGTTTTATATTGATAGCTGGGCTATTTGCAGGCTTGTTTTCCAACAATTTCTTATTTTTCTTCAGAAACGTTATTGTTTTTTTTTGCTGTATGACAGCTGCCTCCATCCTGCTGAAATATCTCATTCCTTTTATAGTTGGATAGGAGATGGTCGAGTGATTTTTATATATTCATCAGCATTTAACCTAGGAGGAACTTTATACAGTCCTCTACCTCCGTAATCTTTATATATCCAAACACCAATGACACTTTCATCTCCAAACTTTACAGTTTGGTGGCGTCCTTAGGGTCATTTATTTTACCTATCGGCCTCCTTATGAGGATAGAGTTCAAGTTTGCTCTAATCAGTAAAAACTACTTTCTTCCACCTATTAAAACTCTACTCAAGCTTTTGGCTGCAAAATTTTTTACTTAATTTGTTTCCAATTTAGAGCTGATTTTTTAGCAGCTATTCTTCCATTCAGCTTGTATTTGCATAATAGTTTTTTTTCTACAATAGACTGTGATATCTGAATTGGCACTGGCAGTTTTGTTAAACTTCTTGTGCTGTCCACTTTGGATTAGATCTGCACATTTTTGTAATCTGCAATTCCATTCTTCTTGTTATTTTATGTGGTCTACCAGACCTATGTAAGTCTTTCATACTTCGAAATTCTTTAAACTTGTTCTCTATGCTTTGAACCGTGATTGGATTGCAACTAAACATTTTTGCAATCTCAGTTCTGGCCGCCTTGATAAGTAATTGAGAATATCAATGCAGATTTTTTTGGATAAATAAGGCATATTTCAATAAAAGCAAAGATATCATGTACTAAAGTCTTGTTAGAAGATACGAAAACAAGAGAACAATGTTTAGAGGCCAAAAATATTTTTGACGACACAACTCTTAATTATGAGGTCATTGCAACTGTCTTACAATTACTTAATAGCTGGCCAAATTTTTACAGAATTGTAGAAAAGAGTGAAAAGCTCATTATTAAAACATAGATATATATCTAAAATTTTCCCTGATGTTTCAAAAGTCATCTATCCTACAGTAGAAAATTTTCTAGACCACCATAAAATTAATTTGTAAATAAGATAATTTAGCTTTTTAAAGATTTTTACCGTTGTAACAATTACCTAACATTGGGAGTGTATAGCCTACCTGTAGAACCCGTTTTGCCTGTTTTTCAAGTTTCAGTAAACTCTCCTTGTCTTTTATTACAGCTTGAGCAAAAACCGCGTAATAATTCTAAGTTTTCAAAGAATGTCATTAAGTATTGTAAATGAAAACAAAATCCTATTACAAACTTTCAAGATTTGCTGAAATTCTATCCGATTTTCCATTTTTAATAGATTACTTTCAGGTACAGTCAAACAATGCTTTTCAGAAAGAATTCTATGAATAAATCAAAACGTTAAGTTCGAAAAAGAGAAAGTAAAGAACTATCATTTACCGAAATTTTCGAGGCACTATTCCCAAATAATCCTCTCCACAATGTCGACAAAAAGATATTACAACATTTATATATTGTTCACAATCTTCAACCAAGATTTTAAGTTGGTTACGTAAGATTGGTAATCCTTTATCCAAAGGGAATACTCCGTAAGATATCAAATCAGATAACAGTCGAATATCAACACGATATTTTGAATGATTAGTAATCTATTTTCAAAAAAACTATCTTGATAATCTATTTTTAAATTAAAAATCAGTAAAACCTTGTCCACTTTAGAAGGTAAATTCTTTTGCAGTAAATCTAATAGGAGATTGGAAAATTCTACGTATCTTTGATGAATTAAAGAAGAAACTTGAACAGCACAGAAAACATCTGATAACTTCAATTTCGCTTCAACGATAGCAGAAACCTGTAGTACGCAATTAGAAATATTAAATCATCAAAGTGAAATTTAATTTAACGTCAGTATTTTAACAAAATAACTTACACATTCGGTTATATATTTTGATAAGTTTAAAGTTGAAACATCTTTACATAGTGATTCTCTTTGCCCATCCGCCAAATTTTTCTGCATTTAAGATAAATGTTAGTATTTTATACACTCGTCACAAGATATGAACTCACTAATTTCTTTACAAAGGCAGTATTCTTTTTGAGACTGGAGTCCAATTTGGAAAAGAAGCTCTCGTCAGGTCTTTTGCCTTTTAAATGTTCATGATAATGATAACAAGTGTTCGGTATATTTTTAGCTTACTCACCTATCGATTTAAAATTTTGTTCCCGGTAACTCTTCTTTGTTTCAAGTCTCTCTTTAAATTCCTCAATAAACGATATCAATACTTTCTAAAAATAAAAACAATTCTCTAGAATCTCATCTCAAGCGGCTATAAGTGTAGTTACCTTCTCATCCTCTTCCTCCTGTAATTTCCTTTTTTCTTCATCTTCAATCTGTTATTTAAAATTTTATTTTATTTGCAATTAAAACATATTTAGAACTTTTCGTTAAAGTACCCTCTTTTGTTCTAAGAGTTTCTCCTCCTCTATCTTCTTTAATCTATCTTCTTCGGCTTTACGTTTTTTCTCCTCCTCCTGTATTCTAAGCTCTTCTTTTTTCTTTTCTTCTTGGGCCTTTTTTTCCTCTTCAATCTTTTGCAACATAATTTTTTCCTGCAGTTTTTCATCAGCCTCTTGCTTATTGAGTTCTTGCAATCGCCTAGTTTCATTTTCAGCGTGTTTGCCAGATTGCTCAAGTCTAGAATATACTCCTATTAAAGAAAAAGAAAAATGCAAAGAGAATATTTTACTTTTCTGAGTTCGATTTTGGTCTGTTGCGGCTGTAACTTTTCGACTTGGAACCTTCATGTTTTTGCTTATCTTTATCGTCTTTATCCCTGTTCTTTTCTTTTTTTTCATATTTGGAATCGTCTTTGTCATGATGAGAGTGATTTTCATACTTCTTATTGCTTTTATTTTTAGGCTGATCATATGCACCGAAAAACTCATATTCGTACTCATTGCTATATTGGCGATGACCACCACCTCTGCCACCACCTCTACGTGGTCGACCACGCTCTTCCCAACCGCCTCGATAGCCACCTCTATATCTGCTCATAATGGTATTTTTTTCCAGAGAAAGACAGAAGCTTTATCATACCTTCCCGTATAAGACTGAGAACGCAAACAAGATAAAATCATTAAATTTAATGAAAGCATTACTTCGTAAAAAAAAGAAGCCGAGCATAAATCACGGCTAAAACGAAATAAACATCGCTGATTAAGTGAAATTAATTTTGAAATAAGTGATTATAAATAATGCTTCAGTGTCTATAATCGTTTAAGAAAATGTAACCTACATCCTATAGAAAACAGGAAATTCCAATAATTCTATGATTTCAAATACCTCGTTAGAGTGTTGAAAACAAACATGGCGTACACATTCCTATTTTCGTAAAAAGTATTTTTTTTATCAAATTTGTATACACAATCATTAGAATTTGAGTAGTTTGATACCTTTGTGATTTTAATAGAAGTATTATAGTGCGAAACGCAGACGCGGGAAATTTCAAAATTACTACTACGCAAACCATTACTTATTATGTTGCAAAGGGAATTATCATATATTACGTGTTTCATAGTAAACGAAATAAAAATGTCTTCTCAAGATGAAAGCTGTATTAAATCAATAAGACAATGGGACAGTACGGTCATAAATTTGCTGTAACAGCTGAGATCATTTTAGGAATTTTGCAATTTGCTCTGCTGGTATATTTAGAGCTTTTGCTTTGAGCCTTAAGTTAACATCCTCAGTTAACAGTATCACTTTTCTATGTATGTGACGAGGTCCATTTTGTTTATCATCAGTTACTTCATCAGATTTAGAGCAGTAGTGTAAACAGCATTGCAGAATAGTATCGTCATTTTGTTTCTAAAGTAAAGACAGTTTGTATATAAAATTTTTTATGCAGTATTACTCAATCAAATAAAATATGCTTACCTCATCTCTGCTTACGTCATGCAAAAAGTCCAATCTATCCAAACGAGAACCGCTAGCCGTAAGAGCATATACATGCGTATATTTACTCCTAGTGTTTTTATGGAAAATAGTCTCTTTTAAGTATTGTAGAGTAATTATGGCTCCTTTAGCAGCTTTATTGTCAGGTCCCCTAGCTGATAGGACAGTTAATTCGTGAATTATCACAAGTGGGACAACTATAGTGTAGCGTTTCTTTTCATCCTCAATAAATTTCTTAACTCTATTGAGACAATGAACATAGCAGTTGGTGTCAAATATCAGAATTCTTGGTTGAACGTGAAGCTTTACATCATTGACCCTTTCTCTTTCGAAAAATTCGGCCGTTTCTTTCTTGAGCTTCTTTTGTAATTGTATCTGTCGAGCAGTTTCTCTCCTTCTTGCTCTTAGTTCTCTTATTTCCTGAGACACATCATACATATTTTCTTCAGCAATTTCTCTTCTCTCCAAATCTTCGAATCCTTCCTCCTCTACCTCTTCCACAATAACTTCTACATTTGAACTCTCTTCATTTTCTTCCGCTATGTCTTCTTCTGGTTCAACTACTTGAACGGGTACAATACACCCTTCAGCATCGTATGTTAGCACTGGAGGATCCAATCCACAAAAATAAAAACTATACTGTTTTAAAGAGTTAATCAGACAAACAAGATAAGCAGCATCATCATTAACTTTTTCCTCAACGAAACAATCATCAAAAGGTGTTGGAACAAAAATTGAAAATCCATCTAAAATCTCACTCTTTTCAATTATAGCTTTACAATTATCAGGTGACGATTTTGCTTGAAAAATTTTAATGGATGTCGTTTTCACTTTCTCAATACTATTAAAAAACGTAGCCAAAGCTGCCCAAAACTTCTGAAGATTTAATTGATAATTAGGCGAGTTCCATATATCAGGCAGAGAGATAATCCAATCAAAATGATATTTTATACTTGTGAGAAGGGGTGTGCAGTGTCTGTTGACGATATAATCCTTTTTACTTTCTCTGGATGGTCCTTTTTCTAGCATTTTAGATGTAAAATCACATAGAACTTGAAGGATGTCTAAGATTTCGGCTAAAACCATAGAAACTCGTTGCTGATTATCTTTTTTCTGCATTAGATAACTGACTAAATACGTTTCTATCACCAGAATTCTGGTGAAAAAATGATCGTCGTTCAATTTCTGGAAAGCCAACATATCTTTTATGTCACTTATTAACTTCGAATGAAGAGTCGGAATCGTTTCTAAGCTTGTTCGACTATAGATTCTGCTGTAGATATACAAGATCCTCAGAGTTACTAGCTTGCTTAGTTTCTGTAAAAAAGAACACTATTTGCAAGAAAGAGTTGTTTTTGTTTAACATACCCCTGGTGAGTCTAAATTAATATTTTGGCTTGTCCATAGTTTGCGAAAAGCTGCCATCTTCCCATCTATCGAATGAAACATATGAGTTATTTTATCTTCGACAGTAGGGAATGGATGTCTTATGGCAAGAGCTCTTATGTAGTAAAACATTGTCAACAATTCGTTATTCTGAAAGACTTTTCAGGTTATTATAAATGCTAAAAACAGACTTGTATAAAACTATCTAATTTAATTGTAGCTAGTACCTTTTGAAGGGAAATTACGGCTAATTGATGATGAGGTTTACCACTATGCTTGAGAACACTGCAAGCAGCTTCATACGACTTAATTGCATGAGAAAAGTCTTTAGCATTGGAAAAGGTTTGCAAGTAGCGCTCTAAATCTCCTTGAGATATATAAAGTCGATGCAGTAGACCACTTAAGTTGGTTGAACTCGGTAGCTTTTCCTTAAAAAGTTCCTTAAATTTGGTGATAATATTCCTGTATGTGTAAACACCAGTCAAAGTCAGAACGTCATGTTCTAATCTGGCTCCACATTTTTCCATCTCTTTGACCTTTTTATAGAAAACTTCAAGGAAAAGAAATTGATCTATAGACTCAGTATATGCATAATTGGGAAAACATGCCACTAAAAAGGCATAACACGTCACTTGTCGAACTCTCAACGTCCAAGTTTGACGAAAACTTTCAGGGTTGAAACTTCTATAATTTTGCAGTTCTTTAGTATATTTTACAGCAGCTTGACTAGCTTGAGTTCGACTCTCTTTTGACGCATATCTAATTGTAAGAAAATGACAAGTTACTTTTTCATAACCCTTTATTCTAGGCAAATGCTACTAACTGTAATATAGTATCTACATCATCCTTCCAAAATGAAAAGAAACAAGAGCTTTCAATATCCTCACCAAGGATATCCTGCATGTAATCCTCGAACGATGTGTATCCTTCAACATTTACATTTTCATTCTTTATTGATAGCGGATAAAAGTTTGGGAGTGTTTTAGATTCCATCGAGTTACCACCATAAGATGATTTTAATTTGGATGCGGGTATTAAGTCAGGGTCATCCAAAACTCTACTAGGGTCACTCCTGATTGCCCTTTCCAAACTTCTTCTATGCGATTCACTTAAATTTTGTGATTTATTAGACTTTTGAAGAGATAACAATCCTCCTCTATTCTTATTAGTTCGCCTGCGATCGTGCTCACGATCAGGATTATTTCTCTTTGACTCAGCGCTTTTTCTAGATTCTTTAGATTCTGAATATTTCGAGTTACTAAATGTCAAAGTTTGCAGTCGGCCATCAACTTCGTGAATGTCTATAGGAGATTCTCCCTTCTTCATTTTAGAACCTCTTCCTCTGGAAACTTTAGACCTATTTGTACTTTTAGATTTGCTTGATCCTTCATCTGTTTTACATGAAGGATTTCTTCGAGATCCAGCTTCTGATTTTCGAGATGGTGGAACGTAATATTCCTGGTCAGTCTTTTTGCCTATAATAAAATATTTATTAAAAGTGATATACATATTTATTCCAAAATATACCTTTAGGTTCTTTCGAACTTTGTCGTTTAGAATCTAAAAATATAAAATAAGTCCCTTATTAAATAAAAACAAAATTGAACAGGAAAGTTATCTAAGCAAAAGAGCGATAATATAGAATTTCAACATTATTCAAAATTATTCAGGTCACAGCGATTTTTTAAACACTATATAAATGCGAAAAGCACCTTTTTCATTTTCCATATTGTTTGCGAAATGATTTGAATAATCCACTAGTTCTGTATAAGTGAGAAACACAATTCTACTTTCATTATCATTTTGTTTTTCGCTCGCCATCTTTGAAAGAATAGATTCGTCAGACCGGCAACTCTCGCATTTATTTAGCGGGAAAAAGTTATGGCGGTTATTAGAATTTGTTAGTAACATTCATTTTTAATGTATAAGGTTAAAGTCTCAGTTGTTGAAGTTTCTAAAAAAACTAAAATGTGTAAAATAGGCTTTATTGAAGTATATTATTATTGTGAGATGTAAATGTTAAATATAAAACTTTAAAATAAAATATTGTAGATAAATTTTATGTAAAACACATTAAAACATAGAAAAAATAGTTATTATTTATTTAAATTTTGGTTTCTTAACCATCATATACACTGGATGAATATAAGCGAAAACTTGAATACCAAGAATCAGTAATTGCATCTACAAGATGTATACAGTATATATATATATATATGTCAAATAAAATTTGTAGAAAAAAAAAACAAATACAAACCTTCAGTGTCGATTGTAAAAATTTGTCTTCAATTGTGAAAAGACCCAATTGAGATAGACCGAAGAGAGCAACAGTTGCTTGTGTAAGTCCTACAAGTAGCCCGAAGTATTTAGTAGGAAATCTGTTCGAAATGAAATAGTTAATACTTTCATATTTTAAAAATAAATTAGATAATAAATATACATTTCACTAATAACCACTGGTACGATTGGGTACAAAAAATTTCTTGAAATAATATAAAAAATATACGCAAAGTAATTGGATATTAAAGATCTTGTTATCAGACAAATTGTAAGAAGAATACTTGAACTGCAACAGCCAATTTGCAGAAATCCCAATGAGGTAATGGATCCTAAAATTATGAAAGAAGGAATGTAAAGAGTGTTACGTACCAAACAAAAATGTTTAACATACCTCTCGATTTATCAATTATATAACCGCCTAGTGGTGCAGTAATAAAACTGGATAGTTGTATTATGGAAAATATAGTTGTGTGATGTGACACAATATTTTCCTCATTTTTACTTAAGCTATTCAATTGGCTGTTTAGCCTCATAACAAAATACACAAGTCGTGTGTGAATCAAACAGGAGTACAATAAATGTAAACACATAAATAAACTACGTACAATGTTTTTTAATTCACCTTTTTGATTATTACTATTGTTGTTTATTATAGCATTGTCTTTTTCTAATGTATTCTCACGTACTTTAGCATTCAATTGATTTAATCGATTCGCTGTTAGAACTCCACTTGTTAATGTATTATTCGTTATTCTCTTTATGAGTGTCTCAACGGGTCTCCCTTTGTATACTCTTTTGTATGGAAGTATCGCAATTGACATAATGGAGCTAGGAACTAATAGTACAATCATAAACACAATGTAGTACTTCAATGGATATCCCAATTCGAATATAACCTATTTTATGTGTAAAGCCTCGGTTTAAAATTTGTGTTATATGTAAAGATATTACCTTAGCTATTTCAAAAATTCCCATTGAACTGTTAAAAAGTCCACCGTAGAATGAAAGAATCATTGATTTTCTCTCAGGTATTAAGTCCGCTAATGGATAATGTGCACATTGAGAGAACCAACCCCCCACAGAAATCGAGACCATAGCCAATGTTAATAGAGGAAAAGATATATCTATATTATAATAAAGTGAATAAAAGCTCTTTTTAAGTGTTTTAAAGTTGTTTCTTCAGATATTTACCTTTATCAGCTATTAACAAAATCAAATAACCAATTAGGAACAATACTCTAAAATTAGATTTTACTATAAGTCAGGTTTCGTTTAAGTTTTATAATTATTAATAATTTTTTATTAACTTGTAAATAGAGCCAACAACAAAGAGACCATACTTATCATATAGTGAACCTGCAAGTATTCCGGAAACCCCTCCTAAGCATACTGAAAGTGTAAATATGAAAGCAAACTTCTCTTCCTGATTATCGCAATTAGCTATCGTTGAATTAGAGAAAGAATGGGTGGAATTTTTGCAATTTCCGGCCAAAACACCTTCCTTTTTAAATATATATACTAGAGAATTCCAGCCAAAAATTACCCCACCAAAGAGTAAAAGTTCGATGCTGCAAAAGAAAACGATTATTAAGTTCTTTCTATCAAACATAATGCTCTTTGTTACTTGTTTTTGTGAATAAAGAAATTAGTCAACTATCATATAATATAGGTTGAAGCTATTTACATACTTTAGCAGAGGAATGATTGTATTTAAATGAAAATAAGACTAATGAATATTGATATGATTGCTCTTCTCCTATCAATCTTAACAAAATACAGATAAATCATAGTATCCAATTCGTTACATTGTAGTGTTGTATTAATTAAGTTATTATGTAATCTTTTCAAAGTGGAACTCTTTGAAGAAGATCTGAAAGAATTCGTAATTTAAAAGAAAACACATTTCCATAGAATTCGTTATATGCTATTTATTTGTAACATCTGGATAAGAGAAGAGAGAGAGAGAGAGAAGGAGAGAGAAAGAGATCCAAAATAAACAGTAACATAAAATAACAAGTAAACTCGTTCCATAAAGAAAAAAATATTGTCTTTGAACACACTAGATTTATCGATATTTTCTGCTATTGTTTGAAAAAATGAAAGGCTATTTTACTTCTCTATTCTAACCGATATCCTTGTTCCAATTAAACTTATCAATAAAGACACAGTATATAGAATTTTCATTTATATATATATATTGTAAATTTAACTTTTTGTAGTTTTCTATTCATTAGAAATACTACTAGAATAAAGAGTGGATAAAAATACAGATGCATTTTATATGTATTATAAGGTGGGACTAATTTCTGTTGCTATTGCAGTGCTGATGAATGGGTGTGTAGCAATGGAGGCGGCGGGAATTGTTGGGATGGAAATAGATTCGGCTATTTTACCCCCGAAAAAGCAAAGATCGTACAATGAAACAACAATTCAACGAAGCCGTTCTTCTCTTGAGCAGATGCTTTCCATGGGGTTTTCAAAACAAAGAGCGTAAGTACTAGACTAATACTATTGAAGTTCCTGTATTCGTCCGGTTCTTATATTTCGAATCATAAAATTCTTTCTGCTATTTATTTGTAATTTTTTAATACTTTTATTAGACAAAAGGCTTTGGCGGCAACTGGAGACAAAGGAGTGCAATTGGCTTCAGATTGGTTATTGTCACACGTCCACGATCCATTGCTTGATGATGATAGCCCAAGGGAGTACATTGTTTATCTTTGTCCAGTTGGTGAACTTCAAAAGCAATTACTCGATATGTGGAGGAAAAGCAAGCAGTGTGGCTGGATGGCATCTCATAATTACTTTCCTCACGTTACGCTTTGTAGTTTCTTTAAAGCGGAAAACCATCAAGTCGCTAAACTACACGCAGCTCTAAGAGTTTCGGCGGAATCGCTAAATAAAGACGTCACAGAAATTAAGTTAGATTACTTTTCCAGTTGTAATTTTATAGGTCTATTTATCGATGATAAAGCTATTGATGGATTGGTTCAAGTTATGTCTCAGTTTGAAAAAAAAGCAGCTTCTTTCGGTGTTCAGATACGAAAGAAAAAAGATCTACATTTATCTTTAGCATATCAATTTATGGTAATTAGTAACCAAAGTATTAAAGCTGTTTAATATAAAGTTTTCTGTTTTATAATCGCATAGCCTGAAAAGATTGAAAGACTAGAATATCTTGCAAGATCTATAGAACTTGATGCTCCGTGTCGCTGGGATATTAGATTATATTCAAGGGATTCAAGAATAGCCCATTGCTCGGTACTTAATCTTTTTAACTCTTCTTTTTTTCTAATCTTGAATGAGATATTTAAGATTTATAATTTCTATTGAATTATATGATTAACAGCAATTGAGAAGAGTTATTCATCCACACTTTCCTCGGGAAAACGATGAGCTTCAATTAATAGAAGGTGACTTTCTCAGCTTGCAGGCCGATAAGGCTGTCGATGATAATCTCGATGAATGGTACGAAGGAACATCTTGGTTGACCGGTTGTTCTGGTCTCTTTCCCGGAAACTTTACAGAAAAAACAGCTGCTAGTGAAACTTGGACAATGCACAGATCGTATCCTATAATCGGATCCAGTGGAGAGTGGAAAAGAGTCGATGATCAACAAGATATTGCAAACTGGGATGAAACGAGCTCTTTGTATGAGAGGGTTAGTCATAAATAAATAACAAAGTTATTTGTGTATTTTAAGATATCCATTTGATGTTAATAAAGGTTAAGCGGAGTACGCTATCTCTTAATGAACCAACTGAGAGGATTCCATCACCACATTTATTGAAACCTGTAGATGGAAAAGCGGCTGTTTTCAACAACTTTGAACCATTACCTCTAAAAACTTCTTCTCAAGGACCTAGGCAATTGTACATAGTAAGACATGGAGAGAGAATCGATTTTACATTTGGTAAAGAATGGATAGATGTTTCCTTTGATGCATCCGGAAATTATATCAGACATGATCTCAATATGCCACGAAGTTTGCCGAAGAGAGCACCTCAGGATTTTCAACATGATGCTCCTTTGACAATACAAGGCACATTCCAGAGTAGAATTCTTGGCGAAGCCCTCAAAGATATGTCGATTAGCATTGATCATGTGTACGTTTCGCCATCTCTTAGGTGTGTTCAAACGGCTGCGTGTTTATTGGAGGCATTGAATCTCGAGGATAAACTGCTAAATATTGAACCTGCTTTATTTGAATATATGGGTTGGTACCCGAGTACATCACCAGTTTGGATGAATAGTAACGAACTAAGAAAAGCTGGTTATAAAGCAAATCTAGAATACGTCCCAGCAAAAATTAAATTGAATACGAACGAAACAATAGACACCTTTTACAAAAGAAGTTATTCAATCATTAAAAAAATTTTATCTGAAACAGAAGATAAAGGTGGTAATGTCCTTGTAGTGGCTCATGCGCCATCCTTAGACAGCTGTACAAGGCAGTTAGTAGGACGACCTCCAAGAACCCAATCGGAAATGCATGAAGTCCTAACCAAGATACCTTACTGTTCTGTTGCCGTTTGTCAACAAGATTTAAATATTGTTGATAAATGGCAACTGATTGAACCTCCAATAATGACTTTTGCTCACACAAGTAACCCAAAATACGTTTGGAAAGCATTAACAAATTAAAATAGCGCTTTAAATTCAATACAAATTAAATATTTTTATTTGACGAAAGGCTAATAAATATTCAAATAGTGAATTATTTAAATTTTTATTATCGTTTAATGACCAATTAAAACACTTCTATACCTTTAAAAGTAACAGCAGTAAAAGATAAGTGTCCTTACCTTAATTGAAACTAAAAGGTATTTTCAACCTGTTAAGTTAGATTAAGGTAACACATGTTTGAAAACCTCGTACATTTAATATCTTCAAATAATTACATAGCTATATATTAATATTAATATACATATTTATGTATTACATGCATATGTGCATGTATTATGTTTATTTATTGCAAGTATATACAAATGTAATATGTATGCATATGTACTGAATATACAGTATGTATATATTATGCTTATATACAATGTGCATAAAATATAAGTATTAAAATGTATATAGACATTTTAAAAGAAGATCTCCATCCATCGACAGAATACTAGAAAATGACAAATTGAAAGGTTGAATTCTTGGCGTCCTCATTAAAACGGAGAAAACAATCGAAGAAACTACAGTATATATCAGGTTTACGAATATTTGCTATTGAAATTTGAGTTTTTCTTTGTCCCAATTTTTTTATATAGCTTTACAATAAAATACAATCTAAACAGGCGAATATGTATTAAACTTTATATAACATCTTTTCACACACTATCCCACTTCGATCCTCAGTAAAAATGAGTAATCAGGAAGAAAACAGCTTAAAAAAAGTGATCAATCTCTGGTCTGGTAAGTTTTAACATTCATTAACTGTGATTAAGCTAGATGAACTTGCTAATTTGAATAGGTATTGCCGTGGTTTTTGGTAATATTGTTGGTAGTGGAATCTTCATTTCTCCTAAAGGAGTATTATTGCATTCTGGTAGGAAAGCTAATTTCTAAGGAACAAGCATTTTAAATTGTTAATTGTTAACTTATCATTTACCAGGATCGGTTGGACTATCCCTAATTTTTTGGGCACTATGTGGAGTTATTTCAATGCTCGGCGCCCTAACTTTTGCCGAATTAGGTACACTTATTCATAAAAGTGGTGGAATGTTTGCTTATATACAAGCAGGTTAGTTTTCTATACATAATATTCTTTCGTATAACAACAATAGTCGTTTTTCTCTCTCTCTATTCTCTAGCATTTGGAAATTTGATCGCTTTTATTTACTTGTGGGCAACATTAGTAATTATTTTGCCAACGACAACTGCTATTATAGGACAACTTTGTGGACAATACATTCTACAACCAATTTTCTCTGATTGTCAAGTACCCGACTTACCACCCAAACTAGTAGCTGCATGTGCAATAGCTTTATTAGTAGTAATCAATTCATTAAAAGTTGAATACGCGACTAGAATTCAAAACTTTTTCTCTATACTAAAACTTTTATCACTGGCGTGCATTTTCATTGGAGGTTTAGTTAATTTATGTTTTGGACATACGGAAAATCTACAAAATGGATTTGCCAAGAGTACGACTAGTCCAAGCGAAATTGCATTAGCTCTTTATGTAGGTATGTTTTCTTATGGTGGATGGTATACTTTGAACTTTCTTACCGAGGAAATGGAAAAGCCAGAAAAGTAGTTTTTTTGTATATATTATACTGCATATAGATAGTATTTCATTATTCCTTTTTCAATTTTTCAATTTTCTATATCTTAGGAATTTGCCTAAGGCAATCGTCATTGGGTTAACTATGGTTACAGCTATATATATATTAACAAATATATCCTACTTTTCGGTACTTAGTGCGGATGAACTTCTAAAATCAGACGCTGTTGCTATGGTAAATACTACATCTTATACAATAATTGCTTTTAATAAATTAATGGACTTTTTTTTACACAAAAAGTCATTTATGGAAAAGTTACTACCGAAGGCAAAACTTCTAATATCAATTGCGGTTGCCTGTTCTGTTTTTGGCAGTCTTAATGGTTTGATATTAGCATCTTCAAGGTAACAATATTCCTTAACAACTTAATCACGATAACATATTTAAATATTGATTATATCAGAGTGTACTTCGTTGGAGCTAGGGATGGTTTACTACCTAATATTGTTTCCTGTCTACATGACAAGAGAAGAACGCCTTTACCAGCAGTAACACTGCAGGTAAACGACATTTGCTTTGAACAAAGACTATATAACGATAAATAATATTACTTTTGCAGGGACTGTTATCAATTATCATGTTATTTGCTGGTGACATCTTTAAATTGATTAATTACGTAATATTTATCGATAGTGTAGCCTTCTTTGCCACAACTCTTGCATTGTTTTTCCTTCGGAGAAAGATGCCCGATGCACCTAGACCTATCAAAGTAAATACTTTAAATATATACACTGTATACAGTATATATATTGTATAATCAAAATAATCCTCTATTTTCAGGTTCCCATTATAATTCCAATAATTTTCCTTATCATTTGCGTGTTTCTAATTTTCGTTCCTATAATAGTTAAACCCGATACAGTTTTGGTAAGCATTATAGTATTGGCGCTTGCTGTACCGGCGTACATTATTGGAGTTATGTGGGAGAAAAAACCCAAGATTTATAAAGTTTACATGAGTAAATTTGTTTTTCCAAAGATTCTATTCTGTACGAAGATTAATAGCTTTTTTCCCATTTCCTTAGCTAATCTTACAATCTTTCTACAAAAGTTATTCCTTCTCTGTCCTCAGAAGAATACTTCATAAAGAATAGAGACAAAATTTACGATTTAAACTGGGTGAGCACAAACAGTTAAGGATGACAATTATTTATTTTAAATAGTCGTAAAACAAAATTAAATACGAGAATAACTTTTTTAAATGCAGATATTTTTCACGTACACTTACACATACGCACATATACACATATGAATGGACTCTCTTCGTTTTTCTTCTATAATCTTTCTGCTATGCTGTAAATGGCTATAAAGTAAGAATAACAAAAATAATATATGGAAGGTGTTGATACTGGTTTCAATTTCTTCAAGTTTTCACTAAGAATATATGTTGTTCGTATTTGTTGAAGCATTTATAACCTAGGAGACAAAGAAATGTGAAAATTAGCTTTGCTTAGTTCTGTTGTGTTCGAACTGTAAGTTCTGGAAATTTTCGAAATTGCATTTATTTTAGTAGATTGTCATTTTAGCCGAAATATTTAATAGAAATAAAATTTGAAAAGGTTATATGGTTCCTTGGTACTTAAAAAAATTAAGTCTCTTAAATAAGAATCAAATGACCTAGAAAAAAGCAAAACCTCTCTATCTGAAAAATTTTCTAACCATGATAATTTATTATCAGGAAAGCTTTCGTGATTTTTTCTCTGCTCAAATGGTAATAAATTTGTAAATATGGTTGTAGTTTGGTGTTTCTAAACATAAACTCTAGGTGGCACTTACCGCTGGTCTTCGGGGATGACCTGCCAAGAAACCAAAGACAGAGAAAAGCAAAAAAGCCGATAATAGCATTAGCCAAGTTAAAGGCTAGTAAAGATACGGGACCGTATCTATGGAACAACTAAAAGAAATAGCGTTAAATTTTTAGAACTAAAAAAGTAGGTTATATATATAACTTATTCTTCTTACATTTCCTAGAATAACTGGGAATATACTTTCTCCAAGTGCTGCCATTATTACAAGAAATGCTGTTGTAGACGCTAATTGATATTCATAATTAAGATAGCATTATTGCAAATTGAACACAAACATGATAAGTCAACATATTTTTCTGCTAAGGAATAGCATCCGGGTGTCAAGCTACTCAGAGATAAACCAAATATTGCAGTTCCAACGTATAATACAATATGATCGTGTCTAAAGCATGTCATAATGAGCAATGCCATACAACAGCCAAACTATAAGGAGAGGAATGAGACTCAAATCTTTTAAATATTGAAGGAAAGTACTTACTAAGCTGGATGATATTAAATAAGCAGAGGTGAACTTGGCAACGAAAAATATAGCGATGAAACGACCAAGTGTAAATGTTCCCTTTTTAATTTTGGATAAAGAAAATAACATTTCAATATTTCATATCTTTGAAAGAGACAAATCGATTAGATTAACTTAAGAAGAAGAATTTATAGTTTTCTCTTTTTTCCCTCCTTTTCCTCCATCTTTAGAATGGATATGAACAGAAAAGACAATATTGGAAAGAAATATCCTATGCAATATATTATTTATCTTTAATAATTATTTACTATGGCTTTGAATTTTTGCTATCCCGTCCCTCATCACTTCGGTTTTAGTGGTTTTAATTAATTAACCATAGGAAAAAGAAGTATTGAGATTATTTAATCTACTTATATTGTGTACTAGACCTTTACTGTTTGCTTAAAGAATTCTAGGAATATGAATTATCATAATATGTTATAACAGTTGTTTTTTTACCCAAAAACAAGCATTTAGATAGGCGCTTTCTGTTACTTCCATCTTTGCTATACTTCTCACTGAGTATGAAAATATGTATCCACCAAACGATGACTCCATACCTGTAGAATAAGATTTTCATCCGTTAATATATATACATCAGTATGAATACTCTATAACGCTATTAGAACCATTCAAGAAGAAGAGCACTAGACTAGAGAAACAGATGATGGTTAAAACATAGCAGTTTGGTACTGGAGAGCATAACTTATTAGTTACTTCTTTTCCTTGGGAATTCTCCTCTTGGTCTTAAATGTAAAAAATTAATTATTTTATAATGGAAATTACTAGAAGAATGATTATGTATAATCAGTAGAATCATTCAAAATTACCTTCTTCTTCATTCGCATTAGCCACAACTTTCAGCGATAGTTCTTCATTTGCTTTGTCCACTTTATTCTCTGTTAAAATTAAGTAGATAAGCATAAGCACTACAGGTAATTGAATTGAAGCTAAAATCCAATAGGCAAATTTCACTTCAGTCCTATTTCGAGCCTTATCCAAGCCTTCTCTTAAATGATTAAAAGTTGATAAATTTCTATGTCTCCTTATAATCGTCATATTCTATTGGAAATCATCTTTATTTAAGTTATTATGATATATAGAAAAATTATCTTTCTCAACTTGAATTATTGCACTGCAATCTTCATTTAAAATGAATGGTTCAGCAATTATAGGACAAAGAAAAGCTCCAAGACCATAGGAACAATGCATTGCCTGTAAAAATGGAGCAACAGAGTCTTGATAAAGTTGAAGCATTTTCCAATTAGCTAAAGTGTCTATAGATCCCATGAATAAACCCATAATGGCCAGCAATAAAGCCAATTTCCATAATTCTTTACAAAAGCTGATCTGTCACATGAAATAAAATATGATTTGAAAGGTAATAATGATGATAATAATGATAATTATAAGTACAGAGAAGCATATTTACCAAGGACATAAGGATTGGTATACATAGAATAGAGATGGTCAGAGTAACGTGTGAATTTATCCTATAATTAATTAATAAATAATAAATATGCACAGGTATACTGAAATATCCACGAGACTATCATATTATATAAATATTAAATATTAGTTTGCATGCATTATATATATATTACGCATTGTTTAATTCCACTGTATTAAAAATGATAACATTTTTGTTATTTGATTTTAGCTTTAAATACAGTATATATCATTTATAAATTAATAAATATATGCATATATTTTATAGATAATGTATAATGAATTACTTATGAGAAAATCCACCAGAAATCAAAGCTCCTATTAGCGTAAAGAAGAGCTGGGCGAAAAATATCCAACTAAGTAAATCTTGGGTTGTTGAGGTTAAACAACTTAAATCTAGTAGGGTAGGACCTAAAAAGCCAACAGATATTCCAAACGATAAAAATACACTGCAATAAGCAATAGTTGGTTTCCAATTTCGTTTAAATAGTCGACAATAGTCCACTCTGTTATCTGATCTTTTTTCCCTATTTTCAAACATTTTTGAAGGATAATTAGCACCATAGGTTATTGGACTAGAGCTGTCCAATACTTGTTTATTTTCCTCTTCAATCATCTTTTACTATTAGATATATTTCTTTTCAGATTTCTTATAGATCTTTGATGCTTGTTAAGTGCCCGATTGTAAGTGAATAATAAATTATTTAAACCAGTAACGACACCTAGTCAAAATATCAATTTTATCTGTAGGAGACTTTTTTTAGCGAATTTACTAGCATAATTGACTTAAATTGGCGCTATTATTATAGATTATGTAATAGTCTCTTTATATATATATCTTACTTTTTCTTAATTGATACAACTGCAAAAGAAGATACTAGAAAACAAACAAGTTGAAAGTTTATCGTTTCCTTCTACCATACGTTTTAAGAAAAATGGCAATATCTCTCAAGTGTAGTGCAACTTTGGAAGAGAGTGCATTTCATTAGTTTATATTCAATATCTATAGGCTTATAAAATTTATACATAAAGTTTAAAAAGTTTTTAAGAAAGTATGATAAGCAGAGAGAGATAGAGAGAGAGAGAGAGAGAAAGTAGAGTAGGATGGAGTATGATATGAGAGAAAGAGATACTGATGAGAAAAAAAAGAAACTAATGAAAAACTATTCGATATGTCAGCTTTGAATATTGTATTTGGCTTTAAAACACCTCTTATAATCGATAAATAACTGTAACAGACTTGAATATATGTTATACGAATTGAATATTAATAAATCGTCTTCTTAAAAGAAACCAAAAGAAATTGTTATATAACGTTATCTTTTCCAATTATCTTAATACTGTATGCTACGTGATTCTATAAGTGTAACAGGTTGTGTAATCTCCAGCCTAGCTGATCTTTAACACTCAAATCTTACACTCTCCTTTTAATTCAAATAATAAAATGATGATTACTGATGACGTAATTAGAATATTCTTTTCAATATATAGAATAATAAGATAAAATATTACTGTACATTTATACATCTGGCGGTAAATCGTTCATACGAGAAAGTTTTATGCGTAGATGGGCAAACTATTTTCAATATATTTTGTATTTAAAACGGAAGTAATAACTTTTAAAACGCATTTGTTTGTCTGTATTTACGAAAGAATTAAACATTTAGTATGATCAGTATTTTGTTTTATCACATGACTTTAGAATAATAGAATTATATGGTAAATAGCAAATGAAATTTATTAGGTTTGTGATAATCTGAAAGGAATGAGGACAAATCAATTTTCTAAAGACAAACTTGATGTTTTTAATCGGAAAATTAGACTATACATTCTAATTTTAATGTTTTAAATTTGGATTATTATTGAATGTAGTTCAAAGTACAGTTAATTCCGACTAAGATTAAATCCATTACTTTTAGAAAATTGTTACTAAAACACAATTTTCCATATCTCATTAAAACTTTCATTCTATGAAAATGAAATTTTATTCATGTGTTTTGTAAGGTTTAAAAAAGAGGCTATAACCTCTTCTTATTTGTCTTCTTTACAGTTTCTTCAGCAGACTAAATGGAAAATAATAAAGAGAAATTAAAATTATTGTATGATACTACATTCTATCTAATTTTGATATGAACAATTTAAAATAAAACTTTTAGCATGCACAACATCATAGTAGCAAAAAGACAAATTTTTTTCTAATGAAGTTTAGCTTTTCCACCACCTAATTTCTTTTTTCTAGCTACCATCATATGTTTCATTAAAAATGAAATTCCTAAATAGAAAGAAAATAATTGTAAATATATATTGAATATTCATGAGTTGAAATTTGTAATATTGTTAAACAAACCTATAAAAAGTCCAACAAGATGAACTTTTAAATAATATGGAAAGTAGAAGGAGAAATTGAATACATTAGGCAGAGAAATAGACCATTTTTCAGTTTCTTCGAAATACGAAATCGCTCTTAGGAAGAGAAGAGCTAAATATTTTAATAATAAAATTTACGGCATATTACAGGTAATTCCATTATTGCAGTATTTTCAGTAAATTACCTTCACTTACTCCACCCATAGAATACAATGGAATCCATATGGTGTATCGTAACCAAGTTAACCATTTATATTCCTTTTTCAATAAGGTAAACATGTAGTATGGAAACCTTTAAAAGCAGGAATTCATATAAAATTAATTCTAACAATAGATTGAAGTATATAAAGTTTTACCTGACTGCTTCAACTATCGACCATGCAAAAAATAAATACCAATTAAGACTATTATTGTGTAGTCGTTCTTCTGATGATAACACAACAAACAAAGCAAAATTACGACCAAAAACTTGCATCAAAGGTGCAACGATAGATCCTTTTGTAAGGCCTAATAAAGAATGTACGATTTCCATACACGACGCAATTTGACATAATTTCAATGGCTTCTCCACAAATTTATATGCCAGATTTAAAGAACCTAAACAAAATATATACAAAATAAATACAGATATACTGTAATTAAGATTAAGATTTCACTAATTACCTTCGGAACTTTTTACACTCATACACGCAAATAATCCCAGAATTACATAGTTATATCCAATCCATTGAAACATACTAAATAAGAATAAATAAACTATTCGAAATTTAATTTTAGAACTTTTATCTGCTTCTTTATTGTCTTTTAATAAATCATCTAGTTTTCTCAAATCTTCAAAGCTAGGCTTCTTTTCATCTTCTGAATCACTATAGTGAACTTTGTCAAAGTCTATTTTCAACCAAAACAATTTTTTTTGTTCAAAAGTCAATCTTTGCCATGTTTCTTCTCCTACTTTTCGAAGGTCAAATAAAACATTAAGAGGTTTAGCTTGCCATGTCGAATTCTAAAAAAATTAAAAAGTTATTTAATCGTAAATAAAGATACATTTTATATCAAAAGATAATATGTTTTCAAAGTTCACTGTTTTTATCATAGACCATTTTTCTTAATAAATAATTTCATTAGTTAACTTTTATAAAAAAGAAATCTTTTCCTTTTAGAATATAAATCATAGTCTACTATAATATGTTTGTTAATTAGTTAGAATATTAAAAACCGTCTATGTACAAGTATTTAAGATTAATTTAAACTAAGAGAATTAATTTGTTAATTTTTTTAAATAGCGTTAATTATTAAAAAGTATGGTTTAAATAACACCTCTGGATCAATTGGTAAATAAAAAACGATTTCAAATTCGTATTTGTTTATTCCATTGTTTGGTGAACGAGTTGTTGCTGAGAACGTAACTTTGTCTTCGGTGATTTCCACATTAGGACCATCCTACAATATATATTTTTCAAACATTATTTTAAAAATATCAATTAACAACAGTTAAATACTAACAATAATATTTTGCAAATCAACTTTCAAAGAAATTTGGCTTTTATTTTGTCCCCAGAAGACAGTCGGTTTTTTGACCTCAGCCATGTTGGAATGTTTCGTAATTTTCTTTTGATAAGGATCGTGTTTAATTATCAGAGTACACTACAGTTTCTGAACATTTCTTATTAATTCTTTTTAAATATTTAGTTTATAATATTTTATTTTTATATAAACTATGCAAAGTATAGTATCTCAAAAGAAACTTGTAAATCTAACATTTTTCTTCGATTTCCCACTATTTGTGTAGAAGAAATATATCTTTATTTTTTTTATATTACTCTAATATCATTGAAGAACGATAATTTAAATTTTAGCAAAGTAATTCAACTCAATTGGGAAAGCATATGTTTTGTAAATATTAAAAAATATATCAACAATGACTTAAAGAGCTTATTATATTATCGCTCGGTTATGTTTGAAAAATAGATATACCCATGTTACTGTATTTAAAAAGTAACTAAATAGAGTTAAATTAGAAAAAGTAGTTCAAGCGTTGTTCATGTGTGATAGTTTTTTGAAAAATCAATCAAAATAGTAAAGCTTTCATCGTTAATTGAAAAAATTTGAAAAAATTAAAAATATTATTCTACAGTTTTATTTAAGCAAAGATTTTTATTACTTTAATTGTATGGCATTTGATAGCAAATGTATATCAAAATTAATACAAGCTTCATTTAATATTCAACTGTAACAGCTTTTGTCTTCAAATATTCATTCAGTGCTTCTTGGCCTAATTAAGAAAAAGACATTTAAAATTTTACGGAATGCTTATAAATATATTAAGACGTTATAATTACCCAAATCTTTGCCAAATCCAGATTGCTTAAATCCTCCAAAAGGAGCGGCAACATCGGTTTTATTGTAGGTATTAACGAAAACAGTGCCTGCTTGAATGTTGTCGGCTACATATAGCGCTTTATTAATATCATTGGAGAATACACCAGACGCCAGACCAAATTCCGTATTGTTAGCTCTCTTTAACATATCATCCATTTCACTTTCACGGAATTTGGATATAATCATGATAGGTCCAAAAGATTCTTCTTGAGCTACCATCATATGATCTTCAACGTCGGTAAAAATAGTTGGTTCCATAAATAAGCCGGGCATGTCAGCTCGCTTTCCACCGTATACCAATGTAGCGCCCTCTTGAACACCAATGTCACAGTACTCAAGAAGTTTATCCAAATGAGCTTTGTGGTTCTGAGGTCCGTGATCTGTATCTCTATTCAGAGGATTTCCAATTTTCATTTTCTTCACTTCAGCAACAACTCTTTCAACAAATTCATCATGAATTTTTTCTTCCACAAACAAACGACCAGCAGCAATGCAATTTTCTCCCTTGTTAAAGAAAACTCCACTACATGCGTTTCGAACAGCTTTATCCATATCACAATCACTGAAAATCATAAGGGGAGATTTTCCGCCCAACTCCAAAGATACTTTTTTAATGTTGCTTGCGCAGCTTTCCATGATAGTTTTTCCAATCGGGGTTGAGCCAGTGAAACCTAGCTTCCTAACTTTCGGATGATCGGCAATAGCTTGTCCGCAAACAGATCCCGATCCTGGAACAACATTTACTACACCTGGGGGAAAACCAGCCTTGGCAGCCAATTCGCAAAATTTTAACGAAGTAAGAGGTGTTACTTGAGCTGGTTTTAGAACAACTGTATTTCCTGCTGCGAGGCACGCAGCCATTTTCCAGGCAAGCATCATAAGTGGATAATTCCATGGCGTAATAATACCACATACTCCAATTGGTTCCCTTTTGGTGTATGTCAAATTTTTGTTTGGTCTAGCATTGTTTATTGGGATAGTTGTACCTTGAATCTTATCGCACCATCCAGCAAAGTATCTAAAAGTGTCGACTGACATACCAATATGAGTTTTGAGAGCAAGAGTATAAACAGCCCCGCTATCCATAGACTCAAGAGTTGCCAACTCTTCTTTGTGTTGGTCCATTAAATCTGCTAATCTGTACATAAGTTGACCTCTATCTCTAGCATTCATTTTTCCCCATTCTCCCTCTTCAAATGCTTTTCTCGCAGCTTCAACTGCCTTGTCAACATCTTTTTTTGTTGCCTTGGAAACTTTAGTTATGACTTTTTCAGTTGTTGGGTCGATTGTTTCGAAAGTATTTCCATCCGAAGAATCCATAAATTTATTGTTAATGAAGATTTGATTTGGAAAACTTAGATCCATATCATTGGCATGGATTTTGACAGCATCATACTCGATTTCGGCAACTGCATCGCCTCCTCTACCTTTGAGGATAACAGCTCTAACAAATTCGTCAAAAGAAGTTGCCATATAAACTTCCTCATTGGCCAAAGTAATACCATCGCAACGTGATTTTACTTCTTCAACGAGACGTACAACTTCCATAGAACCGGCGCCCATCTTGAAGAAATCAGAATCACCCACGATATTATCATTACTCAAAATTCCTTTCCAAATATCCTATAGATGAAATAATTAAAATATAAAACTTTATTATATCACAATAAATTCAGCTAACTGAAAATTTGCATTACCTTAATTGTATTTTCATATTGTTTTTCTTCTTCAGTAAATTCAATTACAACGGCTTCTTCATCTTCACCAAACTTACTAGCTTTGATCATCTTTCCATTCTCGAATTGCAATTGAGCAACACTTAACTTTTTATAAAAAAAATTTAATATAATGAGTCTTGCTATTAAAAGTGAAAAAATTAAGAGCTCTTACCCATTTTCCGTCAGTTCCTTGTATAGCTAAGCCATCACTATGTACGATTGCTGGAGATGTTAATCCGTTGATTTTCAATATTTCTCCAGTAGGTGGTTCTCCAATCCACATACTTGAACCGTACATGGTAACTTTTTCGCCGTTTATTATACCCCACGCACCAGGAACTTTATCGTGTCCTCTGATGAAATTATGAATGGACCAGGCAGAGTTGTTAAAGTTAATTTCAGCTGTGTTTTTTCTGCAAAGAGGATCGTAAGTTGCCCCTTCTTCAGTTTGCACAAGTTTCGGAGCAGTTTCTGCGGCAACCATGTCAACGGCTTCTCCCATTGCCTTAATACCTTCTGGATAAAGGAAGCGATTGTATAGACGGTCTACAGTATCTGCAGCTTCAATTGTGCACTGCCTTTGAAGCAGAATTGGTCCGGTATCTAGCCCGTCATCAGCCCAAAAAATGGAAAATCCACCTTTCTTATCACCTTCAATTAGTGTCCAATTGATAGCTGATCCACCTCTATGTCTGGGAAGTATCGAAGGGTGATAGCAAATACTTTGATGTTTAGGATGAGTAATAACTTCCATTGGTATAAATTGAGTACAAAATGGGAGAACGTTTAAATTTGCACCCACACTCTTGTATTGATCGAGAACATCTGGCAGGGCTTGTCCCTTTTGCCTCCAGCGTTTAAACTTAAAAACCGGAGTACCATCTTCTTCCGCAACGGCAGCTGTTATTATTAAAAATTTTATAAATACAGAAATAAATGTAGAATTTCACATTGAGTGCCCTTTAAACTGAAGACATAAGCATACCTAATGGATCAGGTCGTCCTTGAATGTCAGGCACAGTGAAAACTCCAACAATGTTATGCTTAGACTTAACGAGATTGTACACTTCAGCTCCAAATTGACTTTGACCTATAATTGCAACTTTCAGTTGGTCAAGCCGTCTCTATTATATAGGCAAAAAAGGAAAGGAAAAGTCTAATTAATAAAAACTTAAATTTTCATCATATCTATAAATTGATATCACTATTGGTATGTGATATTTAATCACTTACAGCTGCAGTTGAGAATCTACGTATACTTTTGCTTATAGACCACATAATTTGTTAAAATAGACCAACCACGTTTTCGAGTTAGGATTCTGGACTACGCGAACGAAATGGAATACCATTTCGACTTTAGCAGCTACGCAGTGTTCTTATGAATAAGAACGTCAGACGTTTCACTCTATTAATTATTACAGGGAAATTTTTATGGCCGAGTTTTCATGATTAAATTAAAATAATAGCAAGTATCGATACTTGAAGAGATAGTCTTATCAGGACACAGATATTAAGCTTCGAAGGAGATCGCGCCGAAAGCTGGTGAGAGAGCAATGAAGTTGAAAACGATCACAATTTCAACAGTTGGAACTTTTTCTGCAATCATTGGACTTATTCTTCTAATAAGAACACTGTCGATTAAACCTAGACCTCAGGCGAGGGTTGTTTGTAAAAAACAAGACAGAGATTACATTCATGTGAATGGGGATAGACTGATCCGATTTCAGGATGCTCTCAAATTTAGAACAATATCTCGGGAATGGGGAGATCAAGAGTTCCAGGAATTGAAAAAATTACAACAATTCATATATAAAAGTGAGTATTATACATATAACGTGATCAGGTCAATATCCGATGTATGTCCTATAATGATGTCATAGGTCAAAAACTTGTTTCACCAGTCATTGACTTGATTATTGGGTAATAAATTCGACGTAACGAATGTCATATACATCTTCAAATAAAAATGCATACTGTAGTAATTTGCATTGTCTCAGAAAAAGGGAATATTCACAACTACAGACTGTCTGTAAAGCTAAAACAACTTATGTAGCACGTAGATGAGATTTTTTACCAAAGAATATTTTATAATAACCATTCTGGAGAATCAATTTATACAATATTTTATAAATAGTTACTCAATCATTAAATCATAAAAAAAAAAGAATGAGGAAAATTCCAAGGACAAGTACTTGACCGATGACAAGGTCTTTGACATTTATTTCAATAATATATTTCAATTTGTTACTGATTGAACCTATGTGACACATAATTTACATTCACAAATTTTAAAGCTTAATCATTTAAAGTGAGTAGCATCTATTTTACAACTAATATGTTTTGGTTGTAAAATATTTACCATATATATACTTTATTATTCCATTTAAAAAAAGAGACTTATAAATAGACTTTTCTCAATTATTCAATGAAACTAGGCGTAGTTTCTGTATCTATGCAAACCTATTAATTTAGTAGGACTTATAGAGATAAATAAGAAAAAAATTGATTTTTTTGTGCGCAAAATTTAAGCATTTAGAGGAATTCTTCCTTTTCTGTTACAATTGACTAACAAAAAATTTATTCATTGTAACAGTACACTATTTATAAATAGCTATGTGTTATAATCACATACAAAGAATAGCATACTTCCAAGTAATTCTTAAGTTACTACACAACAAATGTCATTCAACCTTGGAAATTTTTTTCTAACCTAATTATCAACTTGAAGTGTGCTTTTTAAGAAAAAAAAAGAGTATTCATTTCAATCAATTATTATGTAATATTATGTATTCATTTTGAAGTTACTTTCAAAAATTTGGGGGCAATGCTCTATAAAGCGGGCATTGCCTCTTCGTGTTATCTGTAGGATATCAGGTTATTTTCTATATTCTTTTTATAATATTTTAATGCCATTTACCGGGTTAGTAAACTGAAAATTTAATGATTTTTAGTACAGGAAGCTGTTACTGCAATTATTACATTCATTTCTTAAAATAGCTAATCATCATTATATTTTTAACTTGACAGGCTTTCCTCTGCTACATAATAGCTCGCTGGTCGAGTTTGAAATTGTCAATGAATATAGTCTTTTATATAAAATTGAGGGAAAAAATTCTTCCCTGAAGCCGTTCATGCTAACAGCTCATATGGATGTAGTTCCCATCGCTGAAAGTGAAAATGAATGGGTAAGTAATGCTTGTTTTCTTCCCCTATCTGTTCCCTTAGAAAGATAAAACCCCAAGAGAGGTAGTACTGTAAACGTTTGGTTTGTAGTCTTTCGGATTACCATTTAAATACATTCTTTGAGCGGAGAATACAGTTTCATAGCTCTTCTCGTTTAATAATTTCATCCAACTTTTGTTGGCAGAGTAGGCATGTAAATAGAATTTATTACCTTCTGGTAACCCTTTGCCTAATTCTGAGAGTATGCCCATAGCTATTTCATCACTATCGGCATATAGAGGCCCTATAAAATGCATAACGCATCCTTCAGTTGGCCTCCTCTGCCCATATCCTACAATTTTTCCTTTTGCAAAAGCCACAACGGAACGACTGCCCTCAATATCGAATAGCCATTTTAACAGAAAAGCTCTTCTTATTGGATAATTTGCCTGGATGTAGCAGTTGTTGTCGTAATCAATAATATCATCAAAATGCTTTTTAGTAATCGTTTCGAAAGTAATATTTTCAGTTTTAACCTTTTTTATTGAGGTATTTCGGTTAGAGTCGGGTTTTCCATATAAAAATGAATATACTCAATTTTTAAATTACAAAAGTGCAATGACCTTATTTATATCTGTTTTCTTTTTCTTACTATCTCTCTCCACCCACTCAATCTATCTCCTACCCTCTCTTACTCTCTCTCTGGCTCTCTCTCTCTGTCTCTCTCTCGATTCGTCTATCTCTGTGGCTATGCCTGCCTGCTGCCTAAATCAATTATCTTTGGCTCTCTTGTACTTTATACAAAGACATATAAATATTTTTTTTAAAGACATATTCTGAGCGAGAATTCTACATAGATCATTTTGTAGTATCGAATTACACCAATCTAAATTTTTCAAGCCAAAAAGAATTATTTCTACCTCTTTACCTTATTATGTCTATTTATACAAGATTATTCCTCAATTTCTCCTACTATTTTTGTGATTTTGTTATTTGCTCATATAGTGAATCATAGGGGAAAAGAATGGGAGCAATAATCGATTGCCGCTCGAGGGAAATACCTCAATACGAGACGGTCCGCTAAGTCGAACAATTTGAAAGGGAGCCTTAATGTAGCCAAATTTTGCCTCATTAGCAGTTTTACTATCGTCAGTCGCGTCAACAACTAATATATTGTTGCCAACATGATCTCTAGCCACTTGGTCTCTCAAGCGAGTGCCAAAACCCCTCTTCCTATACTCCTTTTTAACATAATAGTAACTACCGAAAAATATCCCTGTACCAACAGCTGTTCGAAAGGCGCTGGCGACTGTAACACCGTCTATTTCGCCCATATAGAACCCTGAATTCCTGGGGAAAGTCTTAAGAGCCACTAACAAATCGTGCCTACAAACGTTCGAATAAGAGGAGGCGAACCACTGTTGGTTGTTTTACAAATATGAGTTTAAGGCCTATAGCAATTTTAAAAAATGCTCCGTCTTTCCTCATTTTTCTCTTCCTTTTATTTTAAATACTTACATTTTGCACGGTTTCCGCGTCTTCGAGTGTCATTTCTCTGACATTATAACCGTCATCAAACGACTTGATAACTTTAGCGTTTTCTATCTTTGTTGGTATCGATTCCGTTGTCATTTTTTAAATTTGTTTTTGAGTGCTGTTTACACTAGCAGCAAGACATAGAGGAGAATCCTACGATTTTCAAACGCTTATATTTAGGCCTGATGATATTTGATACTTAAATGGTTTAACCTGGTTTAAAATCTTCCGATTCTTACAGATCGCTCCGCCCTTCTCTGGGGAGATAATAGACGGATTCATTTACAGCAGAGGTACAATAGATGATAAGAATATGGTTATGGTTAGTTTTGGCTCTAAAAGTTAACTTGTATAAATAATTACTGAATCGTATTGTCTTCCTCTAAGGCTATTTTGGAGGCTGTATCGTTCGCTTTGGAATCAGGTTTCGAATTCGAAAGGACTTTATATTTAGCGTTTGGGCACGATGAAGAGGTCGGAGGCTTCACAGGTGCCAAACGTATTGGTGAACTATTGGGTAAACGAGGAGTTGAGTTGGAATACTTATTGGACGAAGGAACATTTATCATTGATGATGTTGTTCCAAAATACTTACTGGATAGTCCAGTTGCTATGTAAGATATTTTAATTGTTTTAAGCTTCATCAATAGTAATGCTATTATTAATAGTTCACTTAAAATTAAGAAGATTAGTTTACTAATTGCAAACAACAATCCAATTTGCAGGATCAGTGTTGCTGAAAAAGGAATTGTCACATTAAACTTATCAGTTACAACTGAAGGAGGCCACTCGTCTATGCCACCGCGTGAAAATTCAATCGTTATACTCTCCCAAGCAATTGAACGCCTTCACAATCAACTACAACCAAATCTTTTTGGATCAGGACCCGAGAGACAATTCGTTGAACATCTCGCTCCATACGTTAGTTATTACTTCCTTTATATTCCAGAACATGTAAATGACAGTTTTAAAATTGTTTTCAAACAGTTACCTTTTTACGCACGAGTCATTGCAGCAAATCTATGGCTCTTTAGACCGTTGGTTGCATATGCGTTTGGCAGAAAACCGTCAACCGATTCCATTTGTCGCACAACTACTGCAGTAACAAAGTTCAAATCTGGAATAAAAGATAATGTAGTTTCCCCAAAAGCTGAGGCTTGTGTCAATCATAGAATACATCCTGCTGATAGCGTGAAAGACGTATTAGATAGAGATATTAGAATAATTGGCGATAGTAGGATAAAAACAACAGTTAAAGTTTCTTTAGACCCTTCTCCAGTTTCTCCTTCTGATGAAACAGCTTTTGGTTATCATGCCATAGCCGAAAGTCTCAACCAAGTATTCTCAGATATTAAACTTATAACCGCTCCGTCCACAATGGTGGCCAATACAGATACACGGCATTACTGGCATCTAACACATAATATTTATCGCTTCTCACCAAGTAAAATGAAAATGGCCGATTTAAAAAGATTTCACGGTGTAAACGAAAGAATAGGAGTCAAGAATTATGAACAAACAGTTAATTTTTATTATCATTTGATCCTCAATTCAAATTCTGAACGTTTAAGAATAGTTGAACCACATGAAGAGTTGTAGATAAAATTGTATCTAGTTATTAATTAAATCATTAATTAACTGTCTACGTCAACGTGCGTATGCATATATGTACATTATTACAAACACACACAGACCGACACACAGCATGATAAGACTTAGATCTTATCTATAGGAATAACACGATTGAAGATTTTCAATTTTAATTTAATAATTAAAAAAAGGAAGAAAAAAAGATGAAAAAAGAAAGAAAACCAGATAAAAAATTAATAAAAAACCCTTAGATTATAACATTGTCATTGTAATGTTTTCATATACAGAAGCTTGAAAGAGCAGAGAGTTAATTATACCTTCTGTTTTTACACTTACAGGACAAAAACATTTATTTTTTCCTAAATCTTCCAATGCTTCAAAAAAAGATTATTTAATTCATTTACCTTATCCTATTCCTACCCTTGTTCGCTTTTAACTTGTCGTTTGTATATAAATTTATATACAGTATGTTAGATGTATGCATATATATATAATAGTCAATTATGTGATCAGTATATTCGATGTAAAGGAAAAAAGGAAGGATTTTATCAATGTACTGAATGAATGCTAGACTAGCAAACCTTTAAAATTTTTTCTGCATTAAACTTAAAAATCTTCCATTAAAGAATATTTTCACAGAACGTTACTATTTTAAATACTGATATTATTTACACATGGAAAATATTTCCCTGTAAATTGCCTTCCTCTGATTCCCTCTCGCTCTATCCCAATTTTTAGTTTTAACAATTTCTTATGCAATTTGTTAGTTGTTCGTTCTGAAATGCGTAAAAGCAACGTGTAAACTTTTCTTTTACATTTCTTTTTTGAATAAAAGTAGCCCATAGGTAACAAACGAAACTTGATTAATAGAACATTTAGATAATTAAATACAATTTTTTTTATCTCATTGATGTATGAAAGAACCCTTATTCCTGGCTTTAATTAAATCTAGAAAAACACGACGTCTTTAATGAATAAATTCTCAGTATGATACTTTTTTGTTCTTATTATAGTTGAAAACTCTTCTAATTTACCTTTAAAGCATATATAAAGTTAAATGCGGTGTTTTATATATTCTAGGTTTTAATTAGAATTTTTAATTCATTAGCAAAATAGTTTATAGTATCTAAGTGCTAAGAAGATACAAAATATACACTTGGCTTGTTGATCAAAAGTTGTACGTTGGCGTTACCTGATACACAACTAAGACACTAGCAAGTAGATTAAAGCTAAATCAAGTGCAAAGTTTAGCTTCGTATAAAAGGCTACGTGGAAGAAATGTAAGGCAATTGGAATTGGGAAATGAATCAAACAACAGAGGAAACTTGTAAATTCAGCGAGATCGTATTCGGTCCAGATAAAGAATATAGTCATCAAATAGGCGTTATAATTGGTTTTGGTATATTAATAATTTGTACAGTCTTTGGTAATTTGGGAATTATAATAGCATTAGTATTCGATTCAAAACTGCAAGACGTTGGTGGTAACATATACTACATCTCTTTAGCCATAGCTGACTTCTTTGTTGGGATATTTGTTATGCCTCCAATGTTGGTGTACACTTTAGTATCCTGTTGGCCCTGGGGTGTTATAGCATGTGATTTATGGGTTTCCATTGACTATTTATCCTGTACGGCTAGCTTCTTCACACTAGCAGCAATAGCTGCCGATCGTCACTCAGCAATTACACAACCTCTAATGCATATGAAAATGTGGAGTAAATCGAGATTAAGGAATTTAATAGTCCTTATATGGTTTTGCGCTGCCATTGCCTGGGTACCAGCTATTTATATTATTAGACGTCTTAGAGACGGTTCTATCCACAATGTTAAAGAAACAGCTTGCGACTATTCCGTAAATCAATGGTACGCCTTAGTTTCAGCAAGCGTCGTTTACTATATTCCAATAATTCTTATGTGTACATTGTATATTCTTTTATATAAGGCAATTAATCAAGAACTAACCAAAAAAGTCTCGGATGAAAAAGATCAAGGTCAACGGATGATTAAACAAAAACGAGCCGCTATTATGCTTGGAATTATTATATTAGTATTTTTACTATGTTGGTTACCTTGGACTATAGTTTGGCCAATAATGACATTTCACGAAAATTGGATCCCAAATTGGTTGTATGAATGGGCATCGTGGGCAGCTTATATTAATTCCGGTATCAACCCTTTTGTTTATGTCTTCAGTAATAGAGATTTTCGTATGGCCTTCAGTCGTATTGGTCGCAGAATTTGTGGCTAACTTCAATTAAAAGTCATTTATTTTACATGCAAATCTTTATTAAATACTTATCTTAACTTAAAGTAAATATCTTACACGAAATAATTGTGTCAGTATACATAAAAAGCCACTTTTTATGATTGTTATTGCACAAGTTTTTTTGTTATTCAATATATATATATCTATATATATATATATATATACTAGCGACATCTATATGTAATATTCGAAAACACCGGTGGACCTTCCGGCTAACCATAATACGAGAGTTCCTATCTGTATAAATACACGAATAAAGTAAACTATCAACCTTTGAGTTAGATTCTATTCGTACACGAAATATATTTATTAGATCGTAGTCTATACTCATTTCCTAAAGGTTAAAATAAGTTACTGTATAAGGTCTATATCAATTTCCGCTCGGATCATTGATCTCGTACTCCACTATTCATGTTGAAGAAAGATAAGAGAGTAAGAAAATGTGGAAGTTTTGATACAATTAATAATCTTAGGAGTTCATCACAATATGAGGTATATCTCATTTGAATTATGTTTTAAAATTGACTAAAACCTTTATTAATGACCACAGAGAAAGAAAAAACTTACCACTGGTGGTGGATTTAGTGACTTTAGTGACTTCAGTAGTCACTCTCAACCTTCCATTAGAAAATTTAGATCAGCTAATCCTGATTTGGAGACGCATACTTCAAAAGTAATTAGGAGAAGAAATCAGAAAGTTGTGGCAGAATGCTCTTGGGCAGAGAAGAATACTCCTAGGCATTTGGTAAGCAAATTATTAAAATCCAAATCTAATTTACAGCTTAATCGTTGATAGGCCGATTTGGCTGTTCATAAGAAAAAGGTGTCGAGTGTCCAAGAGCTCTTGGATTGGTGTTTTAGCTCTAATCTTAAAACCGTAAGTTCTTTTATTATACGACCAAATCGTCGACAGTATAGAATATATGTCTATATGTTTTCAGGCTCCGATTATTATTCTCTCCGGTCCAACTGGATGTGGGAAAACTACAACATTATTATTATTGTGCAAATCAATGAAAATAGAAGTCAGTACTTGGGAAGTCCCACCTAATTTTAACATGGAAGATAATCAGATTGATAGAGAATTAGATGGTTGGTGTTAATCTATAGATAATCATTGTTTAATTATTCAATTGATTGTTATAATAAAATTTTTAGAATATGGAAGAATCGAATACGGAGAGAAACAAATGGAAATTTTTTCTGATTTTCTTTTCAAATCGAATGAATTTCAAACACTTTTTCGATATTCAAAAGAAAGTTTATTATCTGGTGTGAAGAAAATAAATCTAGTTGAGGTAATAAAAGTATTAACCATAGTTATTGTTTATTAATATATCAAAATATATTCATTTATATATTTTACAAATAGGATTTACTACCAGTATTCTTTGAAAACTTGAATGAATTCCACAACGTACTCAGGTAAAGAAAACGTAATAAGAAAATAGAGTTAACATATATAATATTGTATTTTGTGTGTATTTCGATATATAAGTATATGCACTTTTTAGAGAGTATAAACGGTGCGGAACAACGCCATTAGTATTTATAATAAGCGATAGCTCATCCTCTGAGTGGAATATGCAAAAATTGTTTAATCCTTCAACTACTGGTGATTTAAGTATTATTAATATAAGGTTTGTAAATAAAGGTTAAAAATTATCATGTTTTTTTTTTAATTTACGGTTTTCTCTTATTTTTATTCATCTGTTACAGTTTTAACGCAATCGCTCCAACGATTCTGTATAAAAGTTTAAATAGAATAGCTAATTTAGAGAAATCTCAGGTTGGACTATAGTCATTTTATAGGACATTGTAAAAAATCACTTTACTCTTATAGGATGAGTCTTTGCAATTACCTGATAAACGTTTAATCGAAGATATAATAGCATCCAATCCTGGCGATATTAGATGCTGTATTAATGCTCTACAAATTGCTATGGTATCAGGTAATTTCAAAATAATTGATTATATTTGTATATTGTTTTTTATGAAATACTTTCTCTATTAAACCTAGACAAAGGATTAAATACAAAATCCACGAAAGAATATGTACATTCTTCGAAAGGAAGAGATTCCGGTTTGTTTCTTTTTCATGCTTTAGGCAAAATACTATACGCCAAGAGAGAAGAAATACATATTATAAAAGAAGTAAAAGAAGAATCGGAACCACCTGCCGAACTATACCGAAAGCCTTTGAAAGAGAATCCTGAGGTAAAGTTTTTTATTATATATAACATTTTTACGGAAATATCTATTATCTTATTCAGGAGGTATTCGAAAGAGTTGGATTAACTGCCGACTGCTTTAGCTCCTTTCTGCAGCAAAATTATCTTGATTTTTATGGAGATATATACGATATAGCCAATACTGCAGAAGCTTTTTCTGTAGTTGATACTATGGTCTCAAATTGGAATGTTAGTAAACTTCTCAGCATAAATTCCCTAAATAGCACATTGTAAGAGAAATTTTAATCCTTCCAGACAAGATCCTCTCTTGAGGGAACGATTGCAAGCTATGCATCTCGTAGTATAATGTTTTACAATACAAAGAAACGTGCTAATTATCCAACTAACTCGAAAAAGAAATTACAACCCTTGAAAAAGCCTCTATTCATGACTGTTAGAAATCAAATGGGAGAGAATAAACAAAATATTGAAAGGCTATTTCAATGTAAGCTACTATTAATTAAACAACTTATTTATAACTCGTCTACTAGGCTTTTTATATCTTTTAAGCTGGATATTGGAAGCCTCTGAATATTGCAACGGAATTAATACCATTTATTAAAAATTGCAATTGTTGCATGTGTACAATGGCGCAAAAATCCTGCATATCACGAAGTTTTTCATTTCGTGGAAATCTAGGTTAGCTTTCAAATATAGAATTTACAGGAAAAGAAATTAAAGATATTTCGCTTACAGTAAACAAAAGCCTTGATCAAATGGAAGCAGTCGATATGGAAGTTACTGATAAAATAGCTTATTCAAAGAGAAGTTTTGAAGTTAAAGATCAATTGCCTAAAACCCCAGACCCACCTGTTAACGATCCTGAATTGAAGATCGAAGAATTTGACTCCGATTGACAAAAAATATTAAGATAGGAGTAATTTTTTATAATATAAGCATGCAATAATGTACAACGACACGTAAAACGAGTTTTCGCGTTAAACTGCCAAACATCTTGAGTTATTCATTCTCCTGACATCTCTTCTGAAGTCTCTACATATACAGTTGGTTGTCCACCCACTGTGGCAACTTGTTGTAACTGAAATATTTGATTTCCTCCCGCATGGATTTGCGAACCGGTAGACTTGTTTAATTGTTGCTGTATAGCTTGCAATTGTTCTGGAGTTATCTATATATTTGAAATTGAAAATATTTTTTAAAGCTATTGCGATAACTATACAAAATCAAATCAGACAAGAAACACTTACACTTATAGCTGACATAGCAGTTGAGTCAGTTCCGGTACCCGATGGAATCATCAGCTGTTGAACAACTTGAGAAGTTCCCGATACGTTGCTAGCATTAGAGACTGGTAGTTGAATAATTTGAGATATTGTACCAGACGATCCATCAGTAGTCTGGTTGCCCGCTAGTTGAACTTGTAATTGTTGTACTGGTTTAAAACGAAAAAGAATTAAATTAAGAAAAACAAGTGAACTTTTTCACTAGCTACCTTGATTTGAATTTGATCCACTTTGGACAGTTTTAATTTGTGACTGAAGAGATTGCAACTGCTCCGTCGTTAACTGTTAATGTAAAAGTAAAAGAAAGTTGTTTTTTTGAAAAAATATGAATAATAATCTATAAATATCTATTATCTAAAACAATTTGCGTGCAATACCATCGAATAAGAATTTAAATATCCTATAGAAAATAGCTATTACATCAACCTACTACGCTATTCATCTAACAGAGATACCACTAAACAGCTTATTTAAAATGGTTATTACTGTAACGGCTGACATATTATTCCCGTCAGAACCACCAGTGGAAGGTACAAGTACTTGCTGAACAACCTAATTAAAACCGTGCTTGTATAAAATGATATTTTAAACTTATAATAGAGAGGCTAAGTCTTTACCAAAAAAATATTCTATTCTACTAACCTGAGATTGACAGGATGTCTGGGGTAATTGAATTATTTGGGACATATTTTCCTGATTGCCCAATTGTATTTGAATAGGTTGTGTTGTGGCTTTTGAATACAGGAATAAATTTATTAGAGGACTGAATCGCTTATACATACAATAAAAATTGAATATAACAAACGAACAAAAATACCTTGATGACTCTGCTGTTGTTGCGGTAGAGTTATGTAGTACTGAATATCATTTCCCGATCTAGGTGTGCCTTCATCCTTTGTTTAGGGATAAAAAAATGAAATAGTATCTTCCAAGGAAAAAGATAATGTGTCAACAGCTTACCACTTTTGTTTTTCCATCTTCACGAGGGACTATATCAATTAGAAAATCAAAAGTATCGCACTTGGATATGGCGAGTGCAACGTCATTTTTCTGAAGAGTTCTTCGTTTATTTTCCTCTGTATGTATCCAAGCTCGTAACGTTAGTTCGTGAATAAACAGCTCTGCTGCTTTTGAAAATAAAACTGGTGCTTCGGCGCTTATCATTTTTACATCTTCGTCTAATTTCATTATCTTCTTGATTCTTGCCAAAGGCAACTCAGGAGATTTGAAGAAAGTTTTTTGCTGTTTTCGTAAAAAAAAGTTAAATAAGATCTTGTTCTTGTCTAATATATTAATCGAAATACTTTATTCCCATCGTGAGGATCCAAATTTGTCATATCTTGTAAACATTGGGTCCAAAATTCTTTCAAGCTTTTTTGTCCTTCGCTTTCCGGAAAGAGGTGAATGGTATCCGACATGTTTCAAGCTAAAAATTAAGGTAAATACTAGTATATATAAGATGAATCTCCATAGAGTAAAATATACCAGCACAATGAAAGACGACTAGAAAGTTATCGAGACCCATTCGTGAAAAATACAGTCTTATTATTAAAAATAAGAGGCATGAGAAGCTTATTAGAGTATTGTTATTGTTTTATATTACTATAAAAACATTTAGTGTCCCGATTAAATAATTCGAAATTTCGTGATTGGAAGAAGACTGAAAATTCACGTCGGTCATTTGACAATGTGCGGCCAATCATGGTGCTTTGTTATGAAACAGCCAATGAACAGTTTTTTATCTGATTTTAAGTTGGAAAGAACCTAGAAGTTACCCATCAAATGCATAAACTATTTTAAACAAATAAAATATGTAAACTGGATCTGAAAAAGCGCTTCAAATACCTGATATATTTGTTTTTCGAGTAGGATAATTATGAAAACAAAATGTCGCCTAAGCGTATCCCGCAACCTATCTAAAATTATATCCAGTAGACGGGTTACTTGTACTGGCAGAAACTGGTAGAAGAAATATTCGTTCACTATTCAAAATGTTTGTTTTATTGGTAGTAAGGGGTCTGAAATGAAATGCATTAACTTATATTAGTAAATATCTAACACACTAGAAACTCAATATAGCAAGTAAAGTATCAACCGTTAGCCACTCAATATTCTAAGATAATTAAAAAGACTCAAATTTTAATTCAATACATTTTCATAGCAAAATAGACTTCGTTTATAATTAACTATTGGCTTTTAAATTTATGTCCTAGCTATAGTGACTTTCAGAATTAAGCACTAATTGAGTTTTTCGTTTACTTTGAGATTGATCGGTTTAAAGTTAATCTATGAGGGTTTCCCAAGCAGAAGAATCTATTTTGTTATATGGGTTGATCTCTATCGTCCTCTTATTGGCATAGGCTATTTCCATTTCTCAATGCATTACATAATAGCTAAAAAAATGTTTTTCTTTGTGTTTAAATCAGCTTATGAAACATAGCTTATAGTGATAAAATTTCTTCAGACCTTGCTGTTAGCTTCTGTTTTTTTGAGTCGTTGTTCAAACAATTAGGCTGTATAGCTTAAACATTACATAAGAGAGAATGGCTGATTTTAATCTTAACCATACAAGACCTCTCAAAAAAATCTTTACCGATTTCTGCCCTGTAAAATTTGTATTAAGCGAATAAACTTTTGAGAATTTTTGAGCGAAAAAATGATGAATTACTAAAATTTATCAATGAAAAGTTATATTTCCGAAAATTCTCACATGTAAACAATCTAATTTTGTGAATGAAATTTATAAAATTGCTATGACTCTGAACTGAAATAAAAAGTGAAGGGTTATAGGCTGAAAGGCAAAATATACCTGACTCTTCTCTTCGATTAATTATTTACGATTCGCCAAGGAATTCAGAAATGTAAAACATACCTATTTTCATATACGAAAAACGGTATCAGTCAGGAAGGAAAACTCACGTTTCCACTCCAATATAAAGTACATTTTTTTGTTATTAATAGCATAATCTTCAAATGTTGAATTGTAAATCACATATTTTTGTTAAATTCATATGTAACATTTGTACTATACTTCCTTTTGTATTGGATTCACTTCTTTGATTAATATCGAATTATCGCTCATTTTACCCATGGCAGATCTAGAAATGACTAAAGGTCGTAAGGGACATATAGAACTGGGTGATATCACCCAGCATAATGTAAACCAATTGAAGAGATTGAATCAAGTCATCTTCCCAGTAACCTACAATAACAACTTTTATAAAGATGTGCTTGAAGTCGGCTCATTGGCCCAGCTAGCCTATTATAATGATATTGTGGTCGGCGGAGTCTGCTGTCGCGTAGATAAATCTCAGGATGGTCAAAAAAAGTTATACATCATGACTCTTGGTTGTCTAGCACCTTATAGAAGATTAGGTATCGGAACCGTAATGGTGGAACATGTTTTAGGAATTTGTGAAAAAGATGGAACATACAATAGCGTTTACTTGTAAATATATTTACTTTATACTACTTAGAATGAGAGTAAAATACGAATTTGTTTTTTTTTTTATTTTTTTAGGCACGTTCAAGTAAACAACGATGATGCGATTGAATTTTATAAGAAGTTTGATTTTGAAGTAACAGAGAAAAGAGAAAATTATTATAAAAGAATTGAACCCCCTGATGCCTATGTTCTAGAAAAGAAATTTCGTACTAATTAATTTAAAGAAATTTTATCAAACCGATCTGTAAATTTGCTTTTTTTTAAATCGACGATTACATAACAATACAGTAAAAACTGCACAGGAACGTCAGTTCGTAAACATACAAAAATAAATAATTTACCATAAATTATGAACTTTCCGTTATCGTTGTGTTAATCAAAGCAAAATACTTTTTGTTTTCTGCAAATTGATAACGATTAAATACTTGTTTTTTTTGTCTTTAAAATGAAAGTATTCTGAATGGGCTTCAAGCTTTCGTTAAATTTTTATAGAACTAGAACATTCACTTGCAAAAGATATCGGTACCTCTTTCACTGGCCATCGATATAGATGTTGTATAAATAATACGCAGAAAATGACACAGCAGCAATGGCAATGGTTGTATGCAGTATTTTCCTCCTTGAATCATCCTTACGTACTAAAACGACTGGGGCATTACTTGTTAAATGATGCAAGGGTAATTTTTGTAGTTTTCTAGAGTCCTTTTCCACTTGATATTTACAACAAGGATCATACTGCCAAGATGCCATATACAATCCAGCACAAACGAAACTCACAAAACCGAGAGGAACATAGGCTTTTGGAACATAATTTGGTATTGCAAGTGATAAAGAGAATACACCAGTTAGTACGGACGTTTTATGAAGAAAATTTCCTATCATTATCCATTTTGCAGTTTCGGCACCCAACACGCTGGGTTCAATAATAATAACAGATACAGCCTTTTCTAACGCTTCCTCCAGTTTTACTTCAAAATGTTCACTAGCTGCACCATTTTCGTATATTTCTCGAATTATCGAGTATGTCTGCTTGGAGCTGAAGAGGACAAGTCGCTACTTTAGTATATGTTAAAGGGTCATTTCGTAAGATAGGTCAAGTAAGTTCAAAGGCAAAACGAACTCGTTCGTTTAAAAACGTATTCATTATACGACCCCTATCCTCTTAAAAATTACAATATTGTTTAAGTTCCATTTAAGTGTTCGTATATTCAAGAAAAAATGTCAATTTGTCTAAAATGAAAGTTTTATTAACAATTTTACAAACCTTTCACCACTATCCGCCATTTTCGGTCTTACCGGTTTTTTACGTCTTATTTTGGCGCCCGTCGAGTTCTTTTTTCAAATTTGGAATAATAAACTGGTATTAATATTAATTAAAAGCGCCCTCTCTTCGATTAGAAGAAAAAGTTTTATAGAGCTTAAAATGCGAGGAATGCTTGTTTCAAGTGACAAGAGTACATTTCATGAGTTAAAATATAAGAAAAGTGAAATATGATGACTACTGATCTATGAAGAAATAAAGCAGATCTATACTAACCTTATCGCGAATCGTTTAACCAGACCTTCTTTAGTTTTAATGATAGAATCTTTGATCTAAGTCGTAAATCTTTTGTAGCCTACGAGAATAACACAGAGATTTTATATTAATCATTAAAATTCTTAAAAAGTCTCTTTTCTCTTCAAAATAAAGTCGTATAAAAATAAAATATCTTGCCTGAATTAGCGTAATACAATACTTCTATTGTCTTTTGTAAAATTAATCGACTGCATCAAAATATATCAAGAAACGAAGAGCATTCTTAAAATATTTGGCAGAGAGTTATAGATCCTTGAGAGACAAGAAAAGATGTCGATTTAATTGAGTACTTGATTATTTTATATGGTTTGATAGCAATGCATGATTATTCACCCAGGGGCGAGGGTATCTTTTCTATCTGCATTCTTTGATTTTGAATTACCTAAAAAGTACTATCAATTCACAAACCGTCTATGTCAAAAAGTAACAATAGCGAATAAAAGAGAGCTTTTCTTTATCAATAGTTGAAGTCAAAGAAGACAACGAAACCATCGCTAAGGAAAGAGCTCTTCCGATCAACGATACACTATTTACTATACATCGTATGGAGGTTATTAAAGGATATCTAAGGAATGGTGGAAATTCGTTAGTAATGAGTAATTCTCGAGGAATTGAGAAGAAATGGAGATGGATATGCTGTATACAGGGTATATATTCAAATGATAAATATATTGACATTAAGCAAAACTATGTCAACATGAGTGTTTTTTGTTACTTTGATTGCGTATGGTAGCTCGCTATACAAAAATCCTATCACTTTACATCTAAGGTTTCAATAATCGAACATAAGAGTAAAAGGGGGCAGCAATAATTACTTTTTTTTTCATCTATACCGCTTGTTATACGTATACAAATATAAGATATATACCATATATACATCTATATATACACTGTATATATAAAATATTGGTACCAACATACGAAAATATCTAACTATAGGAGAGATAAATGCAATCAATTATATAAATAATTTATTATGTTTAAAGTGTTACATTAGGTTACAAATGTTCATTTTAAGAATATCAATAAAATTAATAGCTGCTTTTTTCTACCAAGAATTACTCAGGGCTCGTGTTCTTGAGAATAACTTACTTAAGATGCTTTTTCTAACTTCGGGCTTTCTTACCGTTGATTTATTATTACCGGTTTCTTCTGTATCGTTTGATGCGTATTTATTTATATTGTAGAGCCATCTATTTATGATTAAATTATTAAAAATGATAATAATAAATTAAGACAAACTTTTGACAAGCATCTACATTTCCAAAGCGAATGTATAGGGTAAGTTTATTTCCGAAAGAGTTCCTCTTAGGCAGTAAAATAAGGATTGAATCCGAATAACAGCTCTCCTCAATAATCCAATCGGATAGGGATTGATTGAAGAATTCTTTCGAGTTCTATAAATAAATTATGAATATTCATTTGTCTTATTTAAAGAGTTGAGAAGGAGGGATAAGGGGAGGGCATTATAATATTTAATATTAATTACCTCTCTCTGATGGTAGAAATTTAATAAACCTTGGTTATTATTCTCAATAATTAATGATAAATATTTTCGCTTATTCCACTTTCTACCATCCTTACTAATATCAACCATTTGAATCTAAAAGCATAACGAAATAAAGTGAAAATTTCTATATAAATATTTATAAAAGTCATTCTATGCATTGATTTATTAACATTTTCCTCGTCGTCTGCACTCAAACTGTTGTTTGCAGTATTCTGCTTTCGTCTTGACGAACATTTAAATATTTTACCACTTTTCATTGAATTTACGTGATGATTTTCGCAATAGATTCTTAGCTATAAAAGAAAGAAACAATTGAAAAAATTATCGATTACCAGAGGAAATTTTATGAATAAATTACCATATCGATACTATCTTTAGATTGTCTTTTATAATCGTTGATTACTCTATTTAAATCATTTAGAAATTCTTTATTCCTGGAGAAAAGCGGTAAGATAAAAAAAAAATACTATTTTAATTAAATTTTTAAGTATTGTTGCAGAGAGACGTTTTTACTCTGTTGTAAAGATGAATGAATGATTTGTTGAAACCATTAAGAATGTTGTATATGGAACTTTCTCATCCGAATTAATTTCGGTTATCTAAAAGGGGTAACGCTAAGTTATGAATAGATAATGAAATTGACTAAAATTTACCTTATTAAGGTCGTAAAAGCGAATTTGATGTTTAATACGATACTTTTCACCATTTAGAGTTCGTATTTTAGACGTAATCAATAAAATATCGTTAAACTAAGTATAAAAAACAAACTTTTAATTAATTAAAAAACAACAAAATACAAACAATATATAGAAATCTTTCATAAGTTTTACTATGTTTTTCATCAATCTGCTTAAGCTTTACAGGATTCTCTCTCTTATAATATGGTTTTGTGGAATCTGGTACAAACCATGCAGGAAACCTTTTATCTCTAAGTGGAAAAGCAAACTTTTTCTTCTTAGTCATTTCTAATGAATTAGCAATTTTGTTCATTTCTTCTGCAATTACCTATGTATGTTATTGTTTTTATTATTGATGTTTATTTATTAATGATTAATAATTAATTTAATTATATACTTACATATTGAGGCACTAATTTATTGCCTGTTGTTAAAATATGCTTTATCAATTCAGTTATTTCTGTCGGTAAATGAAAACTACTACAAATACGTTCAATTGATTAATTAAGTAAGTAATGTTTAACCTAAAACTCCTTTTTTCTCTTCGTCCAATTCCCCAATAGGAGTTTTCGGTTCAAGTTTCTCTAAAATTTTCCTATAATCTTCAAAGCAAACTTTCATTTTTGATAAAAGATAACAAGGGGATCTTATTATCTCTCTTAGGCTGTTTGTTGAATTTTGTTGATATTCTTTCTACAAAGAGTTAATTACTTTTTATATTTTTTTTACGAAAAGATAATGGGAGATAATCACAGTTTGTTTAATACGATTTTCAATTTTTTGATAGGATTCGCTCTGTTGAAGATTCTCTTCTATTGCTGTATCTGTTGTAGATATTCTTGCTATGCATTCCACGTACATTTTAAAGTAATGGGCCTTCGATTGAAATTCTTTAATTATCCTCCTTCTTAACTCCGTTTTACTTTCGTTTTCCTCCTTCCTACACAATGGATAATAATTCAATCAATCTTCTTTATTATTTATTAAAGAGAAGGAAATCAAACCATTTGGATAAATGCACTCTTAAAAACTCAACCAAATTCTTATGAAAACCAATGCATGTTTCGTATTGAGCTAGTGGCCCATTTTTAAAGATTTTTATAAAACTTTCCTCCAATTTCCTCTCTGTTTGCAATTGTTCGCTAAAAGTCTAAAAGAATGAATGAAAGATAGTCATTCTATTCTATTCTCCCCTGATAAAATATCAAAACCTTATATATCTTCAGCTTTGTTAAATGAGAAACATTAATATTCAGAATGTTCATATATAAATTATATAAATCATCTTCCCTTTTATCCTATAGAGAAAGAAGAGTGACAAAACATGTAAATAGGTTATTTTTTTAGCAGGCTTTTATATTTATTTGTTGTTTTTTTCTTTTTTAAAAGAAAACTTGTCCTTACTTTTTCCTGTATGGAGGAGCCATCACTTTGCCTATTGGGAATCAATTAACTAAGAATCTGACGTCGTTTTATTTATAAATAAGAAATTTACATCTCAGTTATTCCATCTTCACCTTTTCCCTCTGCTTCTTCTTCTTCTTCTTCTCTTCCCTCTTCTTCTTCTTCTGTTTCTAAATCCTCTGAAGATGATATACAAGCTCTCTTTCGATTATCGTATGAGTAATCATCTTCCCATATTTCATAATCTGGACTATTCTCTAATAAAGCGTTTGTTTAAATTAATTAAAAAACATTATTGTCTTCAATCGGAAATATTAGAAGGTAGTTGGTTTAGACATAAGAAAAAGGGAGAGGACGAAGTACTCAATGATTTTGTTACAATTAAAGAACATAAATTTTCCTTGTATATTAATCTTCTTGAATTGTAATTTGATACAAACCTGTAGAGGATCTTCTATTGATTTCATAGTCCACTTTTTGTTTACAATCTTTAACCTTGTATTCTGCTATTAGAGTAATTTAGAATAATAATATTTATATTTATACAATATATATATATATATATTAATATTACTATACAAAGATATCGAAAAGGAGAAAGAGAAAAGGGATAGAAAGACTGGTAAAGAAACAAAAGCCGTTATTTATTTTTTAAGTTAAATTCCCTTGTGGAAAAAAGACAACAATTGACTTACTGTTGGGTACGAGCCTAATACTAGTTTCTTGTTTGTCCAGGATATCTTCTCTTCCATTTTCGTTCATCTTTTAGATAATGAAGAACAATTGAAGTCTTAAAGACTTTAAAAGGATATTCTATAGGATTTAACTTGTAAAGTGTATGTTCTTTTTTTTTCAACAACATAAAATACAAAATGGATTTATGCTCTGTTTTGTTACATTCTAGACAAATGCTTAAGATGGCCTAAAATACTAATAATACCAGTATCACACAGACAGGCCAGTATGTAACATTAAAAGTTAAAATACAAAAGACTTTCTTGTTACGTAACAGAATCGACTTCCGCTTTATTCTTTAATGTTTTTTTTATCTTACTTTCTTTGACTTTGCCTTTTTTCTTAGTACTTAATTATAGGACAATCTTTAAATAGAATGGGTAATTACGTCCTTCGTTTAGGATACACAGAGCTTATTCTAATTAGAGTCATTAAAAACACTTTTGTGTTTCGAATTTGTCGTGACTGCAATGCTTGACTGCAATTTATTTGTCAAAATGTAATTATAATAATTGTATTTGTATAAAAAAAAATCATTCAAAATTACAATTGTAACATCTTTAAACATTAAAAAAAATATTTAATAATAATAATAATCATAATTATTGAATTTCTTTTTGTAAATCAAAAAGTTCATTTGGGGAATAACAATATAATTCTGCATATTCTGCAAAATGAATCAAGATACGAAACAAACAATCCAAACTTAATCAAATTAAACATAATGATCTATCTGTCCACCGGGTGGATCATCTAAAAAATAAGATATTTAAAGAAGCTATTAGTGAAGATGCTATTAATTTATACATATAATTTTCTAGTACTTTTAATGCTATTAAGTGGTACGTACCAAATTGGAAAGTTTTAAGGTTAACAGCGGCTAAATTACTTTGGCTAGAAGATTGACTGTCCTGCTTAACACTATGCAAGTCATAAACGTCGACCCCATTAGGGTAATCTTGGGAGAGAAAAAATTATCATATAAAGTATAGCAAATTAATTAGGCAATGGAAACTTACAGACATAAGAAGGATAATAATTGCCATCATCACCATTTTGAGAATTAACGATATCCGGATAAACTTGTTCGTCTTGTTGGTAGAAATTGGGATCAACATCGTCATCGTACTGTTTTAAGTATTATACGTATTTATATTTATATATACAGTATACATACGTATATACGTATGAATGTATGTATGTATGTATGTATGTATGTATATATGTATGCATAAATATGTGTACGACTATTAAAGTAGAGTAATCTTAAGTCATAAAAATCTGGTAGTTTTATCGGTTTGATCTTACTTCATAGGCGTCTTCATTTGTAGGATAGACATCCGGTACTTTACTATAAGACGACGTAATATCAGGTAGAGGCTTTACAATGACGGGCGAATGATCTGCATTTGACGACCCTGAGCTTTCGCTACGGCTTGTTAAAGAATTCTTTTTTCTTCGACGAACGCAAAAAAAGATAAGCACCACATTACAGCCAATTAATACGGCCGTCGCTACACATATAATCAATATGATAGTTAGCGGAGTATCATCGTTACGCTGACCGGGTGCTAACTCCTCCCAATCAATGTCAGCTAATGTTACTTTTTTTGGAGAAGTAAACCCACTAGAACCCTTTGCATTTCGCGATCGTACACTAATAGAGTATTTTCTGCCAGGTTTTAAATCTGTATAAAATCTCTCTTAGATACTTATTATTCAGTCAAATTTTAAATACTTTCAAGTGCACACTTGGTGCTCTTTCCTACTATTTTAATAGCTTCAATCTTTTCTTTTTCTTCGAAGACAGCGTATTTCACCTGCAAGGAGAGTTAGACAAAAAGTTTTTTATGACGTTCTTTTAGATGTCGTAATAATATACTTACTTCAAAGGTCTGTTCTAATCCCCCATTGAATCCAGCCGACCATGAAACGGTCAAACTTCTCGGGGTAAGTTCAGAGAAAGAGAGGTTAAATGGCTTATCAGGGGGGCCTGCAAAACGGGGGCATTTAACGAGATTTTATCGAAGACTTCATTAGTCTGTAAGAAAGTAAGCTAAGCCTACTCACCCACTAGGGCAAGCTCAACGGTTTTCGTATCATTTCCTAGGAGGTTGCTAGCCTGGCATAGATAAAAACCATAATCTTCTCTCGATAACTTATCTATCTTCAAATTTCCTTTTGTGCAAATAAAATCTTATTTACATAATTGTCATTAAAAAAGAGAAACAAAATAACTAATACCTGAATTTTTCAAGGAGAATTTACCAGATATTTTAATCGGTGTACGTTCGGGTAACTACAAGTAAATGAAAAGCAGCTTTGTTTTTAATCTATATCTTTGCTATTTTATTAAACAGCCTTTTTACCTTAAACCAGTTGTATTTAACAGATGGACGTCCGATAGCTTTACAGATCAAAGTCGTCGATTTGGTATAGTCTGCCGCGAACTTCTTGTCGGACGATTGTATAATAGGCGGATCTGCTCAGCGGGAAGGGTTAAAAAAATATTTTTCTTCAAGTTAATTCTTATCTTTATTTTTAATAAGATAATTGATCTTACAATTAACAGAAATAGAAAAGTTTTGAGGCTTAGACACTCCAGCCGTATTATAGCTATGGCACTGGTATTGGCCGTCGTCTTGTCTCAATGCGGACGTCAAATTCAATTGATTGACAACAATACTGCCTTGATTAAAGACCTAAGGGCAACATTAACAGATACAGACGAATTACGTAATTCAATTGCGGAATAGTACCTGTTGCGTGAAACGACGTGTATCCAAGACGCCGTTCTTCTTTCTCCAGTACACGTTCTTATGACCAGGAGTAGGTCGTCCCTCTGAGTGGCAAGTGAGGATAAGGCTTTGTGTAACATTTAAGACTATATTCGTTTTTCCTATGGCTTTTATTTCGGGTTTATCTGAGTAATTCGATATCATCAGTTAATTTTTTTCTTATACAACTAACTATAACATCAAATATCAACTTACAATTGACCGTTATTCGGAATGTTGCCTGGGTATTCCCGTGTGAATTTGACACAATAAATGTGAATAGACTTCCTGAAAAAGGCAAATTTTCTAAGGTAATTCTAAAACGTTCTTAGGCTTATTTTCATCAGTGTTTAACTTACCGTGATCGTATCTTTTCAATTTCAACAAATTCAAAAAGCGATTGGATATAACTCGATAATGACTTTTGGGAACGATACTTCCATTTTTCAGTAGAGAATAAGAATAGACAGACGGTCTTCCATTTATGCTGAAGACTATGCTTAAAGCTTTATTTTCTATTGCCGTAAAATTCTCATTCGGTTTCGAAATCCAAAACGGTTTAGCTATTTAATGGAAATTAAAAAAAATTAATTGAATGAGATATCGAGTTCATACAGAGCTAATTGAGAGAAAGAAGGTGATAATTGATTAGAATTGTAACATTTTAATTAATTTTGAAGGATACTATTAAACAAATTTACTTACAATCAACTCGGAAACTTAACTCATCGACGATTTCATAAGTTGGATGGAATGTTGTGGGATGATATTTTGCTAAGCATTTTAATGTCTGAAAGTGGCCTAGAATAAGCGGAAATCGAAAGTATGAAGACAATTACCCGAAACATTAAACCATTGTTCATATATAAATCCAATACACTTGTCGTTAAAAAGGGTTTACCCGCTGATGACAATCTTTTCCACGTTGTTGTAACATTTTTCTGCAACAATATCGTCAGAATTTAATGATTTACCATTACTTAATTGCTTTCGCCTTAATTTATTAACCCTTATTATGGTTTCATTCAATCGGAAAGTTACGTTCGGATGAGGATTCCCACCTTCAACAGTACAAATGAACCTGGTCGTTTCATGTAACTTTGACATTTTATTGCTTGTTAAAGTGATATTATCCGGAAAATCTGTTGAAGCAAAAGGTTATATGATAAATTGCTGTAAATACGGACATAATTAAAAAATAGTGTTATTTACAAGTAATATTAAACGTTTTATATGCTGCATATTCACTTTCGCTACCCGTTGCCATAACGTTTTTGCCGACACACCTGGCATAAATAAATCGAAATAATAGGATAATTAATTTATACTGTATACAAGTTTATATTTTCCAGAAGATACAAACGAATATGTTTTTCCATTATCTTCCTTTCTAAATGTAATAGTTAACTTAGAGCAAACATCATTATTGGTTCTACCAGTTCTTTCTGATTCTTCGCATGAAAATGCTTGCTTTTTGGAAGGAACGCCGTCTAATAGTGAAAATTAAGTAGATATCTCTATATTTATAGCAGTAGGCAAGCAAATTATGGGTAAATCACCTTCCTTCCAAGTGATAGAGGGCCTGGGATATCCACCATCCGAGTTGCATATTAAATCGACCGTAGAGCCTTTCTCATAAATCTCGTTACTCTTTTGGAATTTTACGTTTAGCGTTGGCTTCTTTGGAGGGTCTGTTTAGGAGAGAAAGGGAGGAGTGTAAATACAAAAATAGAAAAAAGATAGGTGGAGAACGATGGGGTGCCGCGTTTTTTTCTAATTAACGCCCCCCGCACACTGACAGCATTGAGTGATGTTCTTCGTATCGGAATGTTGTCCATTGCAACTGCAAGAAACTATGGAAATCTTCCCAACAACTTTAATGCTATGTCGAAGATATGTTGTGTAGGTGTGCTGTGAATATATCAAGTATTGCATAACATGAAAGTAGATTCTGTAGCAACTAAATACTCTACTTACCGGATCTGCGTCTTGATCACTTTCTGATAAAGAATCCTTTACAATCTGATCATTGTGCATAAGCGTTACTTTGAACGCAGGGTTACTTGGCCCGCAAAAACACTCTACAATAGCCGAATCTTTTTTCTTACAAAGAGAGTTAAAATTCACGAAAATTTTTGGTTTGGGAGGTTTAACTGTTCAATAAAGACGAGTAAGTATTGAAAAGGTAATGAAAAGAGGGGAAAAAAATCCCGAATAGAAACATATTCTAGTTTTACACTCACAAAGGACGTTCAAAGAGAAAGCCGCCTTCTTATTATCACCGTTGAAGCAGGCGATTTCTTTCCCATTTAAAGATTTTTTGACTTTTAGGCTTAAATTTCTATTTTTTTTAACAAAGGTTTAAAAAAAGCAAATGTGTTCAAAATAATAATATACCGTGTACGAATTATTTTGCCTTCTAAAGATTTAATGACTGAAAAGTCTGAGGTGATTACCCTTCCGTCTTCTGTCCAATATACTATGAAAGAAATACAATTTATCTTATTTATAATGTATCAGTGTACATAAAAAAGAAAGTTAAATGAATAAATTAAGGAAATGTACCTCTGGCGTTTCGAGAATTTCCCCCTTCCACAGTGCACACTAAACGAAGCGTCTCGCCTTCTCTTGCACTGATGACACTGTCTATCAGTTTGCTACTTGCGTCCTTAATGACCGGTTTCTCTTGAGGGACTGGAATTTAAAAGCCTGATATAAGAAATTTACAAAACTTAATTGTAAAGTTACCAGAAAATTCCATAATTAAAGATTTTCCATCAATAGTCTCACCATTGTCGATTCGAGCACTACACGTAAAGTTAATTGAACCCGACAATGGTGAAAATTCTTGTAACAAGACGGATTTGAAATTGCAGAGTTTGGGTTTATTATTAACAAAATTTGAAGCATCTAACGGCGTCAAGCAGCTATCTTGGCTTGTTGAAAACTCTCTATTGGACAATTTACGACCGTTTTTGTACCAATTGAAATAAACTAAATAGGAGAAAAGATAGTAAAGATATATTTAAATATGGAGGGCATATCGAATAGAGAAAAGATGAATAGAGGCCTCAATTACCTTTCGGACGGGCGCCGTCCGCTGTACAAACGAGATGATAAGGACCGCTCCCGCCGTTTCTCTTTGCCTTGAGGCAAGACTTGATTCGGTCATCCCAATCGTAGCAATCTTGTAAATTCTTCGGTTTAATTGCGACGTGCTTAGGCTTAACTGAGTGAAGGAATGCGTAAATTTTAAGAGGAAAAAGGTGAAGAAAACTAAATGACGAACCTCTTATGTCAACCATAGCTTTCTCCACACTCATACCAGCTTGGCATTCCAATTTACCGAGGTGTAAATCAATAGTTGCATTAAAAATATCGGCATAAGAAGTTCCGTCGGCACCCGAACTTATGATCAGATTTTCTAGGCCGAGTGTATTAGCTATAAAAATAGGGAGAAAAGGCGTGAAAAGGGTGAACAAAAAAGGCGGGAGTAAATACTCGAAACTCACCCTTCACGTCATTTATTTTCCATAAGTAATCATCCTCTCCCTCCTTAAGACACTCAAATCTCTTTCTGCCGCCCACATCAATTGTTGCGTCTCTTGGTTTTTTAATGAACTTGTTAGAAGAGTCTAATATCGAGAAAGGATTAAATGTTGTTTAATGCCTGTTAATATATTTATAGAGTGTATATATGAACGGTTTCGACGTCGTTTATCGACGACATTTACTTAGTACTATACTCTTATTATAGTAAACCTTATGTACAAAAGACCCCGTCTCAAAAGGCTAGCGACTAAGCGTCAATTAGAACCTGTAAACATTACTAGAAGGCGTCGGGTACACAAATCAACAGAATTTGAACGTGACACGACAATACAACAGAACATTAAAAGCATCTTTTCATCCTTTTTATCGACCCGCTACCGTTTTTCCATTGGGCCAAAAAAGAAATCCTAAATGCATATTATACAAAAAAGAAGGAACGCGAGAAAAGTAAAGAAAAACGGAGTAAGCGAATAAGCTGGGGGTGAGAGGGAGAGAAAAAAGAAATTGGCAAAAATACCGTTAATTTCGCGAAGACGAGTTAGCGAGTATGGTGCCATAAATATTTATATCTAGTTACCAAAACGACATAAAAGTTGAAAAATAACATAAGAATAAGGGCTAGGACATTTAAACAGGAAAAAAGAAATAGCGAAAAGATAAAGGAATTAGAAAGAAAAAAACACAGATAGGGATTTTAAGGCGGACGAAGAAAGTTGGGGTTAAGAAAAAAGTTTTTTTTTGGCCATCGCCGACCAGATGTTCTTGTTTATACACACGGTGTCTACTTTGAGGCAAACAAACACCTTATTGCTCAATTTCCTACCTTCTCTACCGTCAAAAGCGTAAAGCGTTCAGGCAGAGAGATTTTTAAAAGATGTCAGCCTATAGATCTAATTTCTTTATTACCTACTGCCCGCCGCGTTTTATAACGTCGAAGTTTTTAAAAATAGTGTGAGGCGAAATTCGATACTGTTCGAAAAACCTTCTTACATGATCGCTGTTTAAAAAGGGCCGGCGGCTAAAAGGTAAGCAACAAGTAGCGCGTGGTATGGTGCTGACAGACGCTAAAAGAGCGATGCAGGGCTCCGGCTATCTCACCCTCGCCTTCATTTGCATACGACCCCAGTATTTACTCGAGTTCCAGTTAGTAAACAGGGAGCAGTACGAACGAGGGGAGGAACGAAGAATAGGGATAAGAAGCGGCGCCGGCGGGCTAGGCGTTATTACTGTTTATTGAGTATCGCAATAACGAAAAATATTTTTTCAGACCATCTTCCTTCTTAAATATCTTAAATGTTCTAAAATACTAACGCAAAGTATAGTTTTAACTGAGTTTAACAATTCCTATTTCGTATTATCAATTGGTTGAATAATTGAATCAGAAAGGGAAGATGGAATCCAATAAAGAATATAACTATGTCCATAAATAAATAAAAATTCTCCACCTATTTGTCACGCGCGCACCTCTAAACCGACGATTCGCTCTTATTACTACAATCGTAGAACCTCTTTACGATTCATTTCCGATTCACAATATATGGCCCATAAATACTTTAAACGCTTTATAATATAACTGTCTTTTTTTTCTTCTTCTCACAACTCCGCCCCCTTAGAATTACGTAAGCTACGCCCTTTATCACAGTCAGGTATAAACTCCAATTAAAAACCGCTTAATTAAAAAAAACACACCCTCTCAAAGAATCTAAACAGAAATAATAATGACAATTATCATATCTTAATTTCTTCTTTATACAAAGTTGAAAATATTAATTGAGGATTGAAGGAATTTTTTTTTAAAGTACAAAATAGGGGTTCATTTCGATCCCACTTCTTGCTGGATGTATAAACGAGGCTGCCAAACGCAGCATGCGACCCCCTTAAATGAGAAATACCCCGCTTTCTATTGCCATTTCACGGTTCAACTTGCTAAATAAGTAAAAATAAGCTAGAGCAGTGCTGCCGACTCATCTCGTAGAAAAACACTTGGAAAATTATAGGAAAAGTTTGGGGAATGTGGATATTTACATTCCAATTTTTTCTTTGTTATAATTTCTTTCTGCAGAAATAATAAAGGAGGAGAGAGAAATCTTAATCATTCTCATTCAATTCGGGTGCTATTCTTGAACGCACGGTAACAGTCATAAAAAGCCTAAGCTTTATACACTTTTATATATATATAAGGACATACGAAAACGGTACGTATTTGAAAGAAGAAAAAAGAGAAAAAAACGCTTGAATAACCCGTACAATAATGTGTTCAGCCATCAGAACGCCTGCTCTAGGGGTGATTGTTGTGTCAAGTATATAGGCCAAAGAGAACGTAATGTACTTAGCTGGTGTTCTCGGCCGTTGATGTACTAAAATTTAATATCATATTTGAAATCACCATTAAAGAATCATACATTTTAATTATGTATAACTAATTAAAATTTTTTTTTTGTACTTGATAAAAGTCGGCTTCCTTATCTTTCATCTCTTTGTTCATTTACGCAAAAAATATTATGGAACAAAAAATCCGAGTAGAAAGGAATTAGTGAAATACATACATAATCAAATAGGTAAATTAGCGCAATAGACCGGTAAGGCGTTACGCGATAAGCACGTCGTTAGACTACTTAACGTCTTGTTTTTATAGTTGTTCAAATCTGTTCGTTTTATTATTTCTACTATAATAAAAAACAATTAACTTACTACAGAGTCCAATAGCCACTACAATCAACCATAGAATCGGCATCCTACAGCGAAGCAGCACAGAGGCCGGGAACTATCATGAACTTTTTCTTCAAAGAATCTTCTCTATGTGCATATGTATATATACATCGATATATACATATATGAACAAATGTTTACGAATAGAACAAAACGTGTTGTTCCAAGATATCCTTTCGTTATTCCTTTATATTTCTTTAAGAAATTTGGGTACAAAAATAAAAAAAACTTTCGGAGAAAGAATCCGTCCTTCTTGCCTACATCGTCTATTTAACGGGACTAATTGAAGAGCACTGAGCTGAAAAACCGATTTTATCGCAAGTTCGCTTCACCGATAGGTAGCGCTTCAACATCTCTTTGTAGGTGGCGCTTGTAATAAGATTAATGGGTGAAGATTCTTTTTTATCAAATGCTGCTTATAAATAAATAAACGTCCGTTCGTCCGTAGACCCTCCACAAAAGGAATAGGGGCAAATTTTGAATTATTAAAACTTGTATTTGTTGAAATACGTAACCATAACGGGTAGCAAATAGCAAAAAGTATGATAGTAACTCAGTTGTAGAGTTTGTAGTAGGGTGTATAGGCCTGATTTATTGCGAGCAACCCTAATTGAGTAGTTTTCTCCTTCGGGCCTTCGGGGTCAGTCGGTCAATCGGTGTTGGAAATATTTTCTTTACGATTGACTCAGATGAATTTAACGCAGAGTTATCTGCAGTTTTCAATAAAAAATTGTGAGAAAAGTGCTAAATTAGGCCTAAATTTTGGCGAACTATGTTAAAAATGAAAGTAATTCTCCTTAAACACACATCAGTACACAGTCAAAATCGTCACGTTGCATACTACTTTCTTTAATTTTGAACACCGAGAGTTAATTACTGTTCAAATTTGCATAAAAAATAACTTTTTGTCGGCTAACGATTGTTTATTATGTAAATAATATCTGAATGAGCGTCGCCTTCACATTAAAGAGAATATTGTTTTCCAGCTTTTTAATCTTATTATGCCTGGAAAAATAGAAATCGATACATTTCAATTCGCTGGACTGGACAAATAACATATTTTTGTTTTCTTTTTTCGTTCATTCAAAAAATCTGTTGAGTGAAAAATGTGAAAAGAAGATTAGGCAATTCCAATGACAAAAAGAGGATGCGTAAGGGATTATTTCTTATATCCTATTGTTCAGCTCTTAAAAAATTCAAGAGGGCGACTATGAATATTAACGCAATTTAAATATAGAATAATCTGTTCGTTAATAATTTACTTTTCCTATTCAAAGAAATCTTTAGCATTTTTGTTACTCCGCCTGTAAACCGAGAGGTTAGTGTCTGATGTCGTTCCATTTAAATGAAAATGTCAAATAAAAAATTCCCAATAGCGGGAATATATGAATAAATTCTCCTTAATGGAATGTATGTATTTATTGGAGATGTCAAATTGTTCGCGTGTCGGAAAAAGAACTACAACTGCGTGAAAAACCACCCGCTGAAGTACCTATTTAGGCCAATAATTTTTTCTCCTCTCCGAACCCTGAATTACAGTACGGCATATTTTTCATTATTAGACAACCTTTAATATCCGGTCGAAAAGAACTGCGTCTTAAAATTCATTCTATTTAAAAATTCAAAGGCTGAGTACGTGCACTTGTGGCTTAGGTAGAGGAATGATTAAGTAGTTTAAAAGAAATATAAAGTTATATATAAATAGATAAATATATGCTGTATATATGTCTATGCGTGCGAAAAGATTGCTACGGCGAAAGATATTGATCATAGGGAGTAATAAATTTAAAAGGAAAAAAAAGGGAAAGAAAATTGAAAGGAACAATTTTGTAGTCGGTACTAATGATATCCACTTATGCGATTAAGCAAGTGTTCGGTACCTTTCCGGGTCATCGAGGGGAATACGAAGCGGTCAATTTTACTCTTTTTATACCCCCATTCACAATTGACCTCGCCAGGTGTATATGACTAGGCGATTCAACATCAAAGTTACAAGGCCTGCCCGCCGCAAATATTTCTTACACTCAAAAACAGATTTAAAAGTAATAACCAGGATGTTTCAACAAAACAGACGCCTATGAAAACAAATTATATCAAATTTTTATGCAAAGGGATTAAGTTTTTGAGTCCAACTTTTCTCTTCTGTAACAATATCTTCAATATCACCGCTTTTTAGCTTCTTTATTAATTCTTGTAGGAAATATTCTTTCATAGGTCTTGTTAGCTTTTTTGTTCGATCTTCCTCCAATTTAATTTGCTTTTCTTCGGCTTCCTCAATTGTTAGACCAACCCATTCAGCCTCCTCAATAGGCACTTCGTACTGTTTATATTTCTCATATAGCGTAGGTGACAATTCCTTCTTAGCAATTTTATGCAATAACATCTGCTTTAATTTCATAGCAAGGTTTGATACAAGATCACTTTCCGGGGTTTTCAAAATATAATGATCGAAACCGTACGCTTCATCAATTTTTAGCAATGTCCTACGAGTAACTGTAATTGCCATATACTTATCCAAAATTTCACTATAGAGAACGTGTCTTTCCAATTTCGGTAATGATATAAAAGGTGCGCGAGGTTTATCGGGACGGTTATTCTTTGATTTAAGACCGTCAATTATACCTTCTCCTCCCCAAATACCCTTATGTGCCTCTAAAGGGAAAGTTAACGGTATTGGGTAATTAATTATTCTGGTTGAATGTCCCCATTCATCTACTTTATATTTGTCTGTTTTAGGTATCCAATTAATTGGCTCTGGCTGTCTTACGAAAGATTCCAAATAACGCCTTTTATAGTGATCTGGAAATCTAGATCTAACACCTTTATTCCACGGCCATATTCCTTTTACTAATTTGGCAAAGTCATTATTATATCTACTTGCTAAGTGATCGATCCTTGGAGGCATGCTTGAACCTAACAGAAGGCGATATTAGAAGATTCTCATCAATTATTTCTTTCAAATGATACCTTGGCATGCAATTATATATTTTCTAATCAAAATGTTGTAAAATTATTACCTGAGTGTATTTATTTTATCGATTGTATCTAATTATTTACAGCAAAAACAACGATTTGTGTCAGGAAATCGACTCGGTTTAAACGTCCTTTACTTAGGTCAGAAATATGTAAAAAATATTCTTGCAAATAAGATTGCTTCAAAAAATTAAAAATATAGGAAAGGTATAAATTATTTAAAAAGTCAATTATTATATATTTTTAATCAGAAAAGCTGCCAAAATGAAATAAAACATAGTCACGTGATGATCATCATGTGATGATGGGCGCCAAATTCAAATGTTCTTTTTCAGCTGGTTAATTCATCATAGCGATTCTTCAGATATCAATTTTACTTTGATAAAAGTTCACAATTTTTCTTGTCAATGTATAATAGTAAATAGTCTATTTCACTAAATCTTTTGATATGGAACAGAAAATAGTCTGCACCTTAGAGATATAACAGACTGTTGATGTCCCGGGGTATACGTATATCCCGTCTGTAAACAACTTTATGTATTTCTTTTACATTTGAACCTTATCATTTATTTCTACCAGAGAATGAATGCCTTTAAGAAATAGGTGCTTAGTGATATTTAGTTGTGCATGGCGCCAAGTTTAGTTCTTACACTTTTAACATTGTTTATTGCAATCCGCATGTATACTATGTACACCAATGATCAATTATAAAAACAAATGTCCGTAACGGAGTAAAATATGAGATGTTAGAGATTATACAGCTGTACCACGCTCAAAGTTCTGTCGAATTTCGGCTGTATGTTCTCCGTAAAATCGCTCTAGTTTCTTATTGAATTTAGCATTTCTATCATTGATATAATCAATATCAGCGTCATCATCATGAACTCTTCTCCTGCTGTATTTCTGCCTCTTTTCTTGCCTATGAATTGAAGATTTGTTCCTTGTATAAAAAAAAGTTATGCATCAAGATAAGAACTCACTGTTTACTCAAATCTGACACCATCCTGTCTATCCCCTCTTTACTATCTTTATGATTCAATACGCCAAGAGTGTTGGTTCCCGGATAGAAGGCATCTCCCCTGAAAAGTAAAATACTTAAAACAAATAAAATTACGAATTTTAACTAACAGTTTCGTTTTTTCTTCTTCATATTCTTCGAAGTCAGGTTTCATTTGACGTGTCAATCGTGAATATTGACGAAATGTAGATTGTTCAAAACCTTCAAGTTGTACATGACAATATTATTTAGATAAATATTTACTTGTAAAAAACTCACTTGAAAACCCTTCATCTGGATTTTTCTTTCTCTGTTTTTTTAGGTCTTTTCTTTCAGCATCTTCAGCGGATAGTTCCAACATTTTGACACGACCATAAGACATACCGCGTTCCTCACATGCCTGTGATCACTTTTGTTGATAGGTTGTACAGTGATTAGAGTATGTGCTTACCTTTCTTCTTTCTTCTTCGGTATCCTCCCAATCAACCTTCTTTCTCTTTGCGTCCCAATTTGAGGGAAGATTTTTCATTTTATCCTCTTCAACAACAGCAACATGGTTCATTTTTCTGGCTTCATTCTAAATTTTAAACAAAAGCTCTAGTAAATGTGTTTTGCAACAGAAATTTAAATTATTACTCGTTTCATCTGAAGCTGTCTTAAGCGGGCAATACGCTGTTCTCTCGTTGAATCTTTGGACTTCTGTATATAACAATTATAACGATTATTTAAGTTATCATCTAGTCAACTGATTATAGTATAAAAAAGGAAAAAATAAATTTTGCGACTTACATCTGCCATATTTACTCTCGTATGTTTTACGAATTTAAGTGAAATATTACAGAGTTAACCAGTTTTCAATTAAGACGGGTCCGAGAGTCTGGTCTGATGTTTCGGCATGTGTTTAAGAGTTGAATACCGCTCCTCGCTAAAATTGTGTAGAACTGCCATTTTGTACGGATCTTCCAAGTTTGGAAGAGAATTTTTCTTCAAATAACTGCTGTTCTGCTTTAATTTTCTAGAATTTGAGAAAAATAAACGGTACATTGAAAAATTTATTTGATATCTAACTATTTCTTATTTCATTTTATTTTTTTATAATAAAAAATATCAATCGTTTTATAATCAGTAGGTATACCATACAAATCGACTGATTCTAAATTGAATCACGAAATGATCTTAAACCAGCGGTAGTAAAGCGAGTACAGAAGTAATTTAATCGATTATATGTCAATCAGAATGTATTATATTAGATTGATATTAATTTTATCGTTTTATTAAAAAAGTTACGTGTAGTTGACAAACCGAATGATCTTATCATGCGCATGCGCATTTTTTAGAAGTTATTGATTAAGATACCAAATTACGCATAAATTGGTTCATTAAACTATTATATTAATGCAGTTGATGGACGGAAGCGTTAAATCCGAAGGGGCGGCCCTGCTGCCACCAGAGGTAAATCTTCTATCTACCTTAGCACATCTCTAATCATTTTCTGATAATAGGAAGTTGGTTATATAGCTGATAAAACAGTCAAAGCGGAGAGACGCCTAGGCACGTCTCCATACGACGTTGACGCATGGAATGTCTTAGTCCGTGATGCTCAGGTAAATGAAAACGGACTGCCCTGGTTAAATTAGTTCAACGAAAAAAGACTAATGAAAAATATCATCTTTCTCAGACGAAGAATATTGCAGATGCTAGGAAGATATATGAAAGAGTTGTCGTACAGTTTCCGAATTGTGGCCGCTATTGGAAGATGTACATTGAACATGAGGTTGGGTTTTAGTGTATTGTGTGGAATTTAAAGTAGGCAAAATAATTGAGCAGTGTAGGCGTAGACTTGATGAAGTTGATGAAGACGCTCGAAAAGCGTTAAGGCGTTACTGAGATTTTGAGACGAAATTGTTTTATGTACTTGTCAACGTAATTGCATAGAACATATTGAATTAAAGACTTATGGATGAAATGTATACCTCGTTGCAGTGCGAATGAGAGAAGCTCATTCTCTAGTTGACCATATATACCCTAATCTTTCCCTAAAATTTTTTTATGGAAATAATTTCTTAAATCAATAGACTTTCTTGATAATCGGAAAGATAAGTGTCGCTTATATTTTCCATCGATTTGGCAACGTGCTCATGATTCAACTTTACTTCGCGTAACCCAAACAATGTATAGTATATTAAAACTGTAAAGATAATACTGTATTTCTTCACTCTTTCGTGAATGGTGAAAATGAATTTCTATCCTACTTCTTTATGTGGCAAAACCTCCCTTTCGATTTTTTTCCCACTTATTATTCTTTAATTGTTTATGGTATGTTTCAATATTTTTTGTAACGGATTACTCTTAGTCTCTTATATTAAGGAAAATGGGAAAACTAGCTACTTCTCTTTCATAGTCGGATTAATTTACTACTTTTATGTAAAGGCAATTTGGTTTTCCAAAAATTTTCCATTAAGTGCTTGCTAAATTTCCAAAATATAATCCTGATCGAAAGCCATTGGCTGTTCTCATAAAAATAATTCTCCTTTGCTGACAAAACTTTTTCTTTTAGGGAGCTTCTATTTAATTGTTCTATATTATAATACGCTGCAAGTAGTAGCTCTTTTTTATGTCAAACCTCGAATGTACGCAAATGTCTTTTGAAAAGCAGTTTTCTTCAAGAGGATACTCTTACAAATGATATTTAAAATTTAAATAGTGCATTTATCATTCTTAAATATGTTTAAGAAAAATAACCGGCTTATCAGCCATAATGCATCGACTGTAATTTGTTTCGATTTAAATTTCGATAAATAAGAATTTTCGATATCCGGGCTGTTTTATTTCGATCTTCAAAAATGAACGATAAAGCTGGCTTGAAGTGTAATTGCCGCGTCGTATTTTACCGCGTTGCATATCTATTTCCTTTATGACTTTATAATCGTTTTACTTCCTTTCTTGAATGCTTTTACCTCTTGTTATACAAGGTGCCCCAGTGTTTATTTTCCAAAAATATTCAATCTTTTGAAGATTTTTTCCTTGATTTCTTTGATGTTATTCGAATATCTTCTTAAGCTGAACAATATAATAATTTCTTTGCAACCACAAACTGGCTATAAAAGTCAATCTTTCTTTTTAATGAAGAAGTGTGAAACATACAAGCATTGCTCAAATGTTTTTACTAGAGAAGAGAATGTAGGGTGAATAACAGTCAGAATGCGTGTAATTAAAAATAAATAGGCTGGAAAGGCGATCACTGCGCTTTATTAAGTCATTTAGCATTAGATGATTATTTTTCCATTAGAGTTAACAACTACAAGTAAAAGAATTGTATTATTCTTCACCGGTTAAATCCTGAATATTTTGCCAAAAATATTTCAATTCCTTTTTATAGAAAAGGTAAATATTCATATTCAAGATACTCAAACGTACAAAGGAACTTTTTGTTTAGAGTAGCATTTTACCTTTTTGAAATCACTAAATCTAAACCAAATTTTTCAATGTGATAAGATAAGATGATTGAATTACATTTTAATCAAAAAAATTTTACTGTTTTCCCTTTTTTTTTATTTTATTAAATTTGTAAACTACTTTATTAATTCCTTTTTAAATTTATTTCACAAAGTAACAAAAGTTTTTTTATCTGATTTGAGGACAATAAATGTAGATTTTTTTTTTCAACCTTCTTTTTACAGATGAGAAGCCATAATTTCGAAAAAGTTGAAAAGGTATAGTCGCCTATACAAAAATAATAAAATTTTACCTAAAGGCTAATTTTTTAAGTAAATTTATGATAATAATTCAATACAGCTCTTTCAACGCTGTCTAGTGAAAGTCTTAAATATAGACTTGTGGAAGACGTACTTAAATTATATTAGGGAAACAAAGATGAAATTGTCATCTTTCCGGTGTGTAAAAATTCTTTAAAAAAAATTCATAGATAATTAAACGAGAAAAGAATAATTTGCGTCATAATTAATTAAACAGAGAAAAAATGGCTCAGGCTTACGACTTTGCACTGGAAAAAATCGGAATGGATATAAATTCGTTTTCAATCTGGAGTGATTATATTAGATTTTTAAAATCTGTGTAAGTAACACGCAACTAGCTTATTACCGATAGCTCCCTCTACCGGAGTACGAAATGACTTATGCAACATAATTTTCTTATTTGCATAAGTCATCAAATTATCAAAAAAAAAAATAAAATCTGCTGCAATTGAAGAATTAATTGTTTTACATATACAAGTTTATTTGAACTACATTCTTTAAATTTGTAGAGAGGCTGTAGGATCTTATGCTGAGAATCAACGAATAACGGCTGTAAGAAGGATTTATCAAAAAGGAGTCATTACTCCTCTGAGTCATATTGAGCAATTATGGAAGGAATATTGTATTTGGGAACAGGTAAATTATGTAACAAATGTTTGTTTGTCAAAATATTTCTAATTTTCAAATGTAAAGAAAGCTTATCCTTTTCTTATATGAATTCTAGTTTACTCGAATATTCCCGAATTATTTTTATCCCTACAATCAATTCTTCCATACCGCTATCCTTCTTCGGTATCTTCTCTAACTGCTCATTGAGATATCTCAATTTCTCTTCTTTTCAATTAATCTAATAGAATCTCTCTTTTTAAGTTTTTGTTGAACCCTTTCGACTAATTGAAATCATTTGATTTATTTCCTTCTTATTTTTTTATCAGTCAGATAGTAAATTTTTGATTGCAAATGACGAAAATGTTTTGCTATTTAGGCTTTAAATCCAATACTGGCAAAAAAGATGCAAGAAGAAAGAGGACGTGACTATATGAATGCAAAAAGAGTTAGTAAGGAATTAGAAGCAATAACAAAGGGAATTAACAGGAATGCACCATCTGTACCGCCGCAAAATATACCCGAAGAGCAAAAACAGGTAAATCAAACATTTTTGTTGTAGAATTATCATGAGCAACTAAGGAAATTTCTCTAAAGGTTGAATTATGGAAAAAATATATAATCTGGGAAAAGAACAATCCACTGAGAACTGAAGATAAAATTCTCTGCACAAAAAGAGGTAATTTGGAAAGATCACGGACAGAGATCTGATTCTTTACGTGGAAGTTAAGGATAAATAAAACATTTTATTCATACTTTCAGTTATGTTCGCCTACGAGCAATGTTTATTGTGTCTGAGTCATTATCCCAATATTTGGCTTGATGCAGCAGCTTATCTTGAAGAAGCCAGTCGACTACTTATCGAAAAGGGTGACCAACAATCTGGTAGAACGTTTTCTGAAGAGGCAGCTTTGATGTACGAAAGAGCAATTAGCGGTGTGCTGAAAAAGAATACCCTACTTTTTTGTGCTTATGCTGATTTTGAAGAGGTTTGTTTAAATTTTTTAATATCATTCAAAAATCCTATGTGTTGTTCCTTAAATAATGGAAACAGAATCGGAATAAGCATGATAAAGTTCATTCGATCTATAAGAGACTTATTGATACACCGGACTGTAACCCTACACTTCCATACATTATGTACATGAGGTTCTGCAGGCGAGCTGAAGGAATTAAATCCGCCCGAAACGTTTTTAAACTAGCAAGGGAGGACGCGCGAATTAGTCATCATATTTTTATCGTTGCTGCTGACATGGAATACTTTTGTAACAAAGACAAGAGTGTCGCTTTCAAAATTTTTGAATTGGGCTTGAAAAAATTTTTCTCAAATCCTGATTATGTACGCATGTATTTGGATTTCATGTCGCATTTAAATGAGGACAACAATACTCGTGTTTTATATGAGAGAGTTTTGCAGCAACTTGATTCTTCAAAATCCCAGTAAGCTTATTGAATTTATTGCTATAATTGATCTAACTTGTAAGTATTTCTAGTGAAATATGGAATAAATTCCTGCATTTTGAATCTACTGTCGGAGATATGGCTTCAATGAGAAAAGTTGAGAAACGTCGGGCACAAGTTTTACAATCGGTCAGATAATTTTTACGGTGTAATTACTTGCTAACTTTGCTTTTTTTATAAATAGGAATATGAAGGCAGGGAAACAGCTCTTCTAGTTGATCGATACAAGTACTTAGATTTATTACCATGTGATTCACAATCTTTACGTTGTTTAGGATATACGGTAACCGTTTCAATGCTCTAAATTTATCAGTATTGATTATATTACCATCAATTTTATAGCAACAGCAAGATAGATCAAATCATGTTGTTCACTCTTCTATAATTGCTGATAAATCGGATACGATTAAAAAAGAAGAAGGAAGAGCGGAAAAAAGTTATGCAAGACCTGATTTAACCTGCTTCATTCCATTTAAACCAAAACGTTCCCGTAAGTCTTCGAATTTTGTATATTTAGGAAAATAATATAATCTTGGCACGTATAGATTTTGGAGCTGCTATTCATCCTCCTGGCGTTTTTTCACTTCCGTCGTCTGCCTGTGATCTTTTGCAACGTCTACCTCCGCCCGAAAGTTTCCAGGGACCATTTGTTGTTATGGAAAAATTTATGGAACACATGATGATGATTCCGGTTCCAGATGGTAAGTCTATTAAAACTTAAATGCTTGATTAATAACTTGTTTTTGACTGCAGGAGGTGTAACAAATGGCGAAACCGTAACAGTCAATAAAGTTGATCCAGGGACTCAATTATCTATAGACATAGCTTCAGGAAGAAAGAGAAAGGTGGTAGTAAAAGAAAATGACGACAGCGATGAGGACACAACTACAGCTCCTCCTACAAATGACATATACAGATCAAGACATCAGAAAAAAGCGCGATAACTTTTTTCTTATATAAAAACATTTTATCTTTCTTGTTTTATTTAACTTAAAAAGTGTACAAATTGAATAATTTTTATAAAGTGTCTATTGTATTATGAGTGCTTTCCGTTATCGTAAAGACCCTTTTTGACCCGTTACGTTGAAACAAGATAAGTTGTGGAGCGATTTTCATAAAGTTATTCTACTTTAATTCTTTTTTGCCAAAAACGAATTTGCGATTCGATCATTGATTGTTCGAAGGACGTATGGCGCGAGGAGACGTCTAGAATATGATTGATTGCTATGTAAAGAAAAAGATCACGTTTAACTAAGAATATGTAATGCGGAGTTTTCCGTTGTCAGCATTATTTTTTTCGTTTCATACAATTAAAAGAGTTTAGAAAGAAGCAAATCCAGATAGACAAATAAATCCAACTAAAATAATTGAAAAGAAAAACAGATAGATATATAGAAAGAGAATAATACAATAGATAATAAGATTTTCAAAGACAGTTCTTTTCTCCTTCAATAATTTAGGAAGGATACATCATGGCAACAAACTCTTGATAATTAACGAAACCGTCACCGTCTAAATCAGTCTCGCGAATCATTTCATCAACCTCTTCGTCAGTCATTTTTTCACCAAGATTAGCCATAACGTAACGTAGCTCAGAAGCTGAAATTAACCCATTACCATCTCGATCAAATACTTTAAAGGCAGCTCTCATTTCTTCTTCACTCGGCGTGTCCTTCACCTTCTTAGCCATCATCATCAAAAATTCGGGAAAGTCGATTATACCATTGCCGTCGGAGTCAATCTCATTTATCATCTTTTCTAGTTGGGTTTCACTCGGTATCTGACCCAGAGATCTCATGACAGTTCCAAGCTCTCTCGTTGTTATACAACCATCGCCGTCTTTATCGAATAAAGAAAAAGCTTCTTTAAATTCCGCAATTTGTTCTTCTGTCAAGTCCATCTAATTTATTATTATATAGTATTACAAATGATGAAACATAGTTTGTATACTATATAAAAAACAAAATTAATACTAACTATTTGAAATAAATCGAACACCACTTGAAAGTTCTGGATAACTTTCGCTAGTTTAAAGTAATTCTTGTTAACAGCCACTGTATTCCCACTTTCCGCCAACCACTGAATGGTAGAAACGGAAAGAGAGAAGGCGAAAGAGAGAACGAAAAGTAGACAGTAATAAAGAGGCGCACGATAAGGAAACGGACGGGAAATGTAAGCGTTTGTCAGATAAACGGCACTGAATATTGCTTTTACTGGTAGCAGGCGCTAGTGGATATAAGAATTTGGGTCGTTTCTAAAGAATTTTCTCACCTACGCATCCTATATCATGATAGGTGAGAAAAATCAGATCTCTGTTTCTCTTTAAATAAATATCAAAACCAACAGAGCTATGAATGTTTATTAGTATTTATAAGTCATTTATAAGAATCAAGTGTCAATTTTTTCCCTTTCCCACGGTCCTGTCCAATAACAATAAAAAAAATAATAATATAAGCACAATAAAAAAAAGAGCGAATAGCACGAGATGATAAGATCGCAGTCGTGATCAGACGATAGGTAAATCTTCAATGCGGGTGCCTTTAGCCCGTTCAGATTTATCCTTGTTGAATATACGATCAGCTTTAAAAACGATAACACTACCAAGTAAATTAAATATCATTGCTAAAGATACTAAGTAGGACAATTCAGTTTTAACACTTCTATTTAGTGCTTTCCAAAGGAATGTTGCAATAAAGCCGAAGCCATTAACAATACCTGTAATCCCGGATATAGCATTATGTTTTTCACCAAATTCTGTAAGTAATTTATTGTAATTAAATTTAACTAGAACTAATTAAAATTTAAATTATCGTACCTGCTGCTATTGATCCACCTAGAAAATAATCACAGCCAAAGCTAGTAGTACCTGCTAATGATAACCATATAACGGAAGATGAAGGAATAAAACATCTTGTGCAAAAGAAACTAGCAAGAAAAAATGAACTGATAAGCATGGAGGCGGATACGACATTTAGAGCTGTCCCCTTGAGCTTTCTAAAAGTTTAATATCTTAAAATAAAGTGTTAATAAAAAAGGTTATTCTGACTTTTACAAACCTGTCTGTAATAAAACCTAGGAGTCCAGAGTAAATAGCACTGCCCACTACTAACGGTAGACTGGAATAGAACCCTTTGGAAATTAATCCTAAGATCATACCCTGAAAAAATTTCAAGCAAAACATTCCAAAAGATATTTCTTTCACAAGCCTGTACGTGATAATTTAATAAACAAATACAGTATATACGATACTACGAAACATTATAGTATGGCTTACTTTAAATTAATAATAGAAATAGGATTAATCTGACGGATTATCTTATCCGTACCTTCTGTATTATGTTGTAAAGCTACTTGGAATGAAAGTTTATACTAAGAGAGACCATTCAATAAAATAACAATTAAACCTTTTTTTGGAATATCTATTGATATTTTATTTCTTTCCTCGAAGAAAAGGAATACAATTATACTAAGGAGCATCTGTTGGCGAATATTTCTTTTTAAGAATGTCTTTTATATAAAAATTGGTGAACTTACAATAGTAGGAGATATAATAAAAATTAATTGTCTGGAAATGAATACAGAGCGTGGGAGGATGATTTCCATATTGCTACCAAAGATTATAAAACTACCAAATATTCCAAAGATAAGATTTCTGCTTCTATCTGGAAGCCAAGATGAAAGAATTTTCGCGCAATTTGGCCAAGAAAGTGCCTTCAAGGTGAAAAATTACAATTTAATTAGAGTAATATATCTTTTTCTCAATTACTTGAGCAAATCGAGCCAAAAAGATAAGGAAACCAATTCCTGTTATGGAATGTACAATACAAAGTTGGAAAACGATCTGTAGCAAGATAGTAAGAGAGAATGCATTTATGACAGCTTAATAAAATAGTAACATCGCATGAATACAAACCATTGAGGTGGCTGAGACTAAAAGCATTAACGATAATGCTTTTCGTGCACTGTAAACATCTCCAATAGATGACAGAAATATCTATTAAATCAATATTTATAAAAAGCTGCCATCTTAAATTAACGAATGAATAATATATATATATATAAATATATATCACCTGTGCGAATGCGTATGGTTCAAAAGAAAGTACATCATTAATATCTGCAGAAACATGTCGAAAATTTATCAAGTGCTTTTGGCTATCTGTAATCTGAAAGACAGCGAGATGTCAAATAAGTAAACTGATTTTTGTTTATGTCTTCCACCTGTTTGGTTTGCTTTTCTGTCCATAAGTTTAAAATAGTTACAATACATGCAATGAAAAATATTAGTGTCTGTCTTGAATTCAGTGATGTTTCTAGATATTTCATAATTCTTGCCTTAAGATTATAAATGGTAAGTAAAAAGTTAAAAACGCAGTATTGTTTCTCTCAAGAATGACGAAATGCTTATAATCTGAAATGAAAACTGGTAAACAATGTGGGTATTTTACCTGATTTAACAATTAACGAGTATTGTTCTTCAGTAAATTATTAAACTAAAAAAGAATTTCCCACTCATGGTTTGTCAAAAAACGTGGCAAAATTTTCAGTTGAATCTGTTAATAATTTAAATCCGCCTTAGACCTTTATGAATATTTTATCAAAATATTCGAAGAATAATTTTTAAATTTTGGCGGATCTTGCAAAATTCTTTTCGGATTTTTTTTATAATTCAATTTTTACAACAATAATATCCCTCTCTATTTTTTACATGTCAGATATTTAAATAAATATTTTCCGGAAGTGGTACTAGGGCGATAGTTTCGCAGTGACAAAGTAACAAACGCGACCCTGACGGAACAAACTAGACATCATCCAGCTGCCAAGGTAAGCTTTACACTTTAAAACTATGACTAATAGGTTTATGAAAGTAGTATCTATCATGTATAATCGCTTCTGATATAAAATATCTGAGAACGGTGCGTTAATAAGAAAAAAACTGATGGTCTGCTAGATGGCGTTCACTATCGAATAAAATTTGTTCTTTTTAAATATTACTTTCTTTATAAGTTTAAATGTCGTTTTATTGGCGAAAGTTATCGTTGTTCTTTAATTGGTATCAGTTTAAAGAGAGCAAGATAAGTGGGATAAAAGTTGTTAAGGGTAAAAAATCCGTGCGATAAAATCGTCACCCGTTAATCCTCTCTCAACCCGCTTAATTTACTAAAGTACATTCGTAAAAAAAGAATTTGAATAATTTATAGGCAAACGTTTGCTCAGGTCTGTACACTTTTTACGGCCTGGCCAATAATTACAAATATATCGCTAAGCTGAGAAAAATAGGTATAAGTAAAGAAATTTCATTCTTTACGTAGATTAAAAGCACCGCTAATTCCCAGTATATTATTCTCGCGTTTAACGTGCTTCGCACGTGCAACGAATGGTTAACATATGGCGAGAAAAAAGGGAAAAGGGTAGGGCTAATCTTTAATTCGGACCTTATCTCATTTCTTTTTCCTATTAGTTCTGTTTGAATCGGTTATCGAAGTTACGCTGATTGATAAGCGGCGTATGATTAAGGGTTGGCTTAGTAACAAGATGAGCGTATTATTGCAAATTCGACTAAATTCGACTTAGCGTCTATAGAATTGCTTTTCGTCATTATTCGATTGTATGTTTTTCGAAGTTATAGAAACGATACAGCTATTCCTCTTTTTCTATTTTATAAGGCCTATATTTTATTGCCTATTATATACGCATAACACATAATTAAGGAGATATATCGTGCTTATCAGCATAATTGATTGTAAGTTGGGTATACACATACTTGTGTATGTGTGTACGTTGGAAGAAATTAAGGACCGTCTATGAATCAATAAATTGGCGTGGTTTGCCTAGCTGCACGTGATGTTGAGTCGTTAATGTCGGGTCGGTTTATTATGGATTTTTTTTAACTTTTTCCTTTTTTATTCGTATTCGTTCAATAAGGCATGATAACGGTTGAAAAGGCCCTTTTAATGTCGAATAATGTATTCTGTTTGTGACGTCGTGGGTGGTAAAGTTGAAGACGATAAGTTTCTGGATTCTTTTTGCGAAGTCTTGTCACTCATCTTATCTATCTATTCCCTATTTTGCTGTCTCTTCCTCCTTCAGTACAAAATATAGGCTCTCTGCTAACTGCTCCTCTATGTAGATATATTGCAATTGATCAATCTAGTGATCGTCTTTTTCCTAACGTTGTCCACTGGAGTGATGTGAATGGTATTTGAATATACTGTATATTAATCTGTTATACAACTGCGGTAAATTGCCCTTCGTTTCAAATTATAGGCTTAATGTAGCAGTAATAATTCCCTCGACAACCACTACCGGCAGGGTTCAGGTGTCTTTATACAATCCATCATAAAAATGGTAATTTTTAGTGTTTCTACTCGGTTTGCTGCAAACACGAACGTTTGTGCTTTTTTTTCTCGTTTTTTTGTTTTTATATATTTCAACTATTCACGGAACATAAAATGTCTAAATAGTTTTTTCTTAATGAACGAGAATACAAAATAAAGAATAGTCTATTATCAGGCAAGTACACAGGTTGTAATTGAATGATAATTGAATTGGAACGTTCCGAATTGATTATCGGCGTTCTACCCAATTCGAATGATACGGAAATATATATTTTCACTAGCTATAATATTTCATTTATATAAACAATTTCGTTTTTTATATCTTTTTTGGAAAAGAGAAAGTAAAATAATTGAAAAACGGACTAGTTTACAGCCAATGACTGATTGGCTTTGAATTACTAAAATTATAATATAGCCAGTTTATTCTAATTTATTTTTTAAAAGTCATGAGATTGCGAATGCAAAAAGATTAATCTCTTTCCGTTTTGTTTCATTTCTCGATTGCGTATTTTATCGGTCGTATTTCCCTCCTACTCTCTCTATAGTCATTCTTTCTCTTTTTATTCCCTTTCTCTCTATCCTTTCGGTTCGTTGGATTAATATATCCCATAGGAGTCAAAAATCGACTTCGTTTTTTAAAAGAGCGAACACCCGCGCTAGAGAGGGGCGATAGGGGGTCGAGAGCAAGGGGGAGGCGAATGGAACAAAAAGAGAAAGAAAGAAGCGTCCATCGTGCTAAGAATAAATTAATTTCTAGTGCGAAATCTGTAGGGTTTTGCCGTCACATCGAATATGAACGAGTTAGTGGTTTAATGTTTTTTGGCCGTTCGAAAAAAAAGAAAAAAAATCTGGAGTATTTGTCTGCGGATGATGGCCACAGTTTGTAATAATATCTGCGAAACTCGTGTACAGGAATAAATTTGTGTATTATATGTTTCTTTCTTTTTTAATATATTATTTATCTCTTTGCCGTTACTTTTGTAAAGTGGTATACTGTATAGACCTATATTAAATTGTCTGTCGCTTTGTTTGTTCCGCGGACAAATCGATCGTTCTTCTCTCCCACACACACAATATATCTAGAATATCTATCTATATATATATATATATATATATATATATATATATATATATTAGAACACATAAACATATATACTAATATATATATATATATATATATATATATACCCGCACGTACATATACACCCTCACACACATTCTTTCTCTCTTGCTCTTTTTACTAGCAGTGTGAAAAGAACATTATCGCTATCGGAACGCCGGCCAATCAGACCTGAAGGATTTGTAGTCACGTGACCTAGCATTTGCAGCTCAGACCGCAGTAGCCTGATATAAACAGCATCCTGCGTTATATTACTAAAAAGCGATTCGTGTCTAATAGCGAAAGGTATATTGCTGTTAATAAATGTGCGTTTGTGTATAATAAAGGATTATATAATCGGAATGCACGTGCCTGTTCTCTTTGAATTGCGCGGATAACTGATTTCTTAGAGATATCGTTAATACATTATTAAGGGTAAAGTATATAGAATTATATTGTCTCTTATCTATATTTTTTATCTAACCAGCTGCCGTCTTTATGGTTCAGTAGTCGTCTTCTTGCAGTCTAAATATTTATGCGTTACATAAAGCAAACCTTTTACATAGATCCCGACATATTGGATTGTATGTAGTAGGAGCTCTTGGTTTTTTTTTCTTTTATTTTTCAATTCTTATCCAAATGGTCTCTTAGGGCAGGAGACGAAATTCGAATTAAGATATATAAATGAAAAGGAAATGAACGAATCTATGTATCAGTAAAGGTCATCTGCCGTGTCGATTGAATCATTAAAGTAATTATTTGGACGACATGAGTTGTTATATAACAAGCTGAAGAATTTATTAGACATAAATTAACAAGGAAAAAAAAAACAATAGATAAACGGGAAAGTGTTATTTTCAAGCGTAAAACATATACACAACAGTTAGATGCGAGGTTATCGGTAAAAAAATGACCATTAATTAGTGAAGTGTTTATCTCCACGTATCGAGTATCTTCGATATAAGCGGTGAAACGTAAATAACAGCGTATAGTTGTGTATCGACAGACTAATTCCTTAAATTTCTACTTCTGGACAATAAGCTGACATTAGAGTGCTCTATTTATTCTCATCCGAATTGTTCTCTTTCCTATAAAGCTATCCTCTAATCAGGAATTGTATGCAATATAATATCTAGCTATCTCTATATATTTATATATAAACATGTTTGTTGTATAAATGTATGGATATTTTCCTATTTTAGCGATATACATGTTGGTTATATTTGTACATATTTTTAGTATCTATACTTTTTTTATATAATATTAATATATTATGTATAAGAAGTTAGCCAAAAGCTCTGCTACGCATTAACCTCATTTTTTTCTCCCCGCCTTTTCCAGCGCAACCGCTGACTGGCCAACTCTTCGCGAAAGGGAAAGGAATGCTTAGGAGTTTATAGTAATTAGCCACAGTCGTGAATCAGTTGGAAAGAAGAAAAGAAACTTCAATTGGAGTGGTTTCTCGACTCCCATTTCTTCTTTTCATAAATTTTCCCGGTCTTAATGGCAGCAAGGATCCTATTCGTCTGCTCTTTGCTGGCGGCGTCTAGCTGGGGCAATGAGTTTTTAATGAAAAGAGATGTGGGACCAGTTGAATTATTATGGGGTGTACCCGATAAGGCGGCTTATGTTGGCAAACTGTTTGAACTTTTAATACCCAAGGATGCTTTTAAAGGAGACGTCTTAAGATATGAGGTAAATCATTCGTTTTTTTCTTATAATGGGTAATAAAAGTTGTTTACATTAAGTTAGTTCCTACTTAGGAGACTAGAAGAGAACTGCTTCAAGTGTTTTTTTTTCCTTTATTTGAATCGTTGAAGGTGTCTGAAAAAGATGCCCAAAATGCTAAGCCCTCCGGCTTGATAAGAGGTAGTGGGTGGTGATAGATGAATTTCGTTTCTTTTTCTCTTTATCCTTCTATAGCTTTTTTCCGATTGAAAGATGATGCCGATATTACTTGAGGCAGTTTATATTTGAAATAATACGCCTTCTATTTCAATACTAAGGGAATTGTTTAACATTTAGACCTTTTAGTTCCCTTTGTATTTTGAAATGTTTATAAATATTATTTTTCTTGAAGGCCGCCGGCGACGCAGGACCTTTTTGTTTAAATAACTGAGAATGAAAGACGTCTTTCTATACTAGATTTAAACTAATTCTACGATACCAAATAAAAATTTATTAGGTATCGTGTTCTAATGTTAAAAGTGAACAAACACGAGAAAATTTGCCCTTCTTGCCTTACGCTCCCTTCACTTTACATTGCAGGGCGGCTTTTTTTTTGACCGAGACTAATCCCCACAACGGCTTTCTCGCTCTAATTATGTTTACGCTGGCCCGAGTAGTTTATTCGTTCGTGCTACGAGCTTACGATTCTGTAATGGCTTTAGTAGTTGCACAGTAAATTTTGCCTCTTTCTCTTTTCGTTCGCCCAGCAAACAAAACGTGCTGGGGCGTTTCCCATCTTCTAATACAACCGACATGATTTAATCTAGCCAACAACTCCCCTTAGGACGATCTTCGATTTTATCTGGAAGCGGTTTTATATTGTTGACCATATATTAATTAAATCTCTAATTAATTTTAGTTCGGTTCCGATTTTTGACTTATTTTTTATGTATTTCGAAAGGATAACATTTTAAAAAACCATTTCCAACTTTGTTCATAAAAAAGTTAAGTAACCTTGAAGAAAATTGACAAACGTCTAGTCCTTTCTCAGTCTATTTTCATATATGTATATATTAATCATAAGTCTATTTAATTTCTTCTATACTCAAAATCTAGAAATATCAAATCTAATTTATTTAGCTATTCACAAAAGAGGTACTTCAAAAGATTTTACTCATAGAAAAACATGAGAAATATAGAGAGAATTGTATCATTTGATGATTGAAATATCTCCGCCTGATAAAGCACATAATCACGGAAGACTATCTGTCGGTTAATTAACGTTCGTTGAGAGTTTTCGAAATATATTTAACTGAACTTTATTGACTATACGTCAAATAATATAAAACTCATTTATTTCCACTTCAGTTTCGTTCCGCTGAAAATTCCACTTCCCCTCTTGCGGGATGGTTAAAGTACAATGCTACCTCGAAAATTTTGCAAGGCGTTCCGCAATTAACAGACACCCGTCAACATTTCGTCCATGTAAATGCTCACGGGTCGTCATCAAAAGCTCATGACGTCTTTACGATAGCCGTCCTTCAACCCGAAACCGATTGTCCTGAAATATCTACAATGGTTAAAATTGTATTAGATGCTGTTGAGAAAGAAGTGGTCTCGAACGACTACCTTTTAATAAAGAAATTAGCTCACCATTTGAATATCTCCACTGGAGATGTTTCTTTATTGAGAAGAGACGATTCTGAATTACTGGGCGAGTCCTTAATTTCCGGACCAGGAAACGTTTTCTCATTGGACGCCGGCAAAGGAACCGCTCTATCCTGGGGTGTCGGATGTGGGAAAGTTCGTGCAAAGCACGTAAAATATTTGGAAAGCTTAGGAGAGCTAGCAAAAAATGGTACTCTAGCTAAAATACTCGGTAGAAATATCCGAGGTTGGTCCGTAAATAATGTTAAGGTTGTGAAATCAAAAAGGAGGAGGAGAGAAATTAGACACAATAATAAAAATGGTAATATTGTATCTTCTAAAAATAATGAAGAAATCGAAGGATCGGGCCCTGAATGGCCAACTACGAGTCCATCAATAATTACTACTTCTGGCTCAGCAAGTACTCACAAATGCCGACATCACCATTGCGATCACACAAGAAAAACTACATTGGGCACTACAGTATCTGTTGAAGATATCGATCTTATTAGGCCTACAGCGGTTGTTACCGAAGAGGAAATGTCATCTAGTGTTGTACTAGAGAGTGTTGCCCCGATTTCTACAGAAAAGCCAAGTTCCACTACACAGAAGACAACAACGCCTTTCAATAATAACCCAGTTCTTGGTCCTGATTTTAACAAATTTGATTTACCGTATGCCATGCCTGGAAAGGTGTTTCGTTATCTCATACCAGAAAACGCATTCTCTGATATCGAAGAGGGAACTACTAGAAATTTACAGCTAGTGTTGAAAAGTGCAGATCACTGGGAAATAGACCCGATCCACTGGTTACAATTAGATGAAGAAAATCAAACTCTTTGGGGTATGCCTACGGAAGATGATCATGCTAAGATCGGGTATATATTGTCGGCTGTTGATAAGGGTGGGAAAGTAGCACATGCTACATTTTTTGTTAATATTGAAAAGGCTCCTCGAGAAGAATATACAACTCACGAATTTTCTATTGTTATCGATTATAATTTTGAAGATTTTAGATTGGGAGGCAGTCGAAATCGAGTTGAATTGGCAGAGAAAATAAGTAAATATTTACATCCAAAAGAACGAGAGAATACAGTTCGAATGTTGCAAATTCGTAGAGGCTCTGTTCTTTTCACCTGGAGGGATAGTTCCATCGATGGTTCCATAGCTGAAATGTCGAAGCGTACGTCCTGTCCTGTCCGCCGTATTAAGAGAAATATTTTAAAAATGGTTGACTGCGAACCTGGCATGATAAATTGTGTTGTTAGGAAGGATTTTTTGAGAGCAATGAGACCGTGGGATATTAAGTTATTCTCATTTCAAGCTGTTGGAAAATGTTCTCTTGGGTATGATTTAAAGCCGTTAGAAGTTGCTGTAGTAAAAGATAAGATTGAAAAAACAAAACCACCTCGTCCCGCTGCCACTGAAACAACTTTGACAATTATAATAGCATCAAGTTTGATAGCGTTTGTTCTGCTGTTTGGAGCAATTGTTGCTTGTATCCTTTACAGAGCTAAAAGGAAAGGTAAAATGAGTGTAACCGATAAACAAACGTTCGTGAGTAAAGGTATACCGGTCATTTTTGCTGACGAACTTGACGATAACCCACAATCAGTAACAAAACCTCTGATTTTGGCCAACGAAAAACCACCAGAAACTGATCCTGATCAGGGTAGATATATGCGTCCATCAACATTTAGCAGTGGAACTTCATCATTTGGTCAAAGGCCTTCACCACCTGCTCCAAGTCGTCAACCACCTCCCTACGTACCACCTTAAGAGAAAAAAAAAAACACCAAGAAAATTCTAAGAAAATGATTTTAGGAAGGAAGAGAAATGAAGAAAAAGAGGCAAATAAACCTCTTTGATTTTTTTTCCTTATTAAATTTATTTTAAAAATTCGTCCCTTTTACAACAGTCTATAGAAATGTTATATCTTATATATATATACAGTATATATAGCTTATACATTTTTTGAGGCATTTATTCAGGCGTTATATTAAGTTTTAGAGAGATTAGGCCTATGTTAGGAACAGAATTACTTTTGTTTTTTCTTTTTTTTATTTTTGGTGCTGACAGTGTACGTAACAGTCGTGTTCAAGTGTTTGTTCTTTTTTTATAAAACACGATTATGCGATTAGTCACGAAGAATGTTATTATCATTACAAAAGCATAATATACACTTTAATATTATTATTATTATTATTATTATTATTATAATTATATGTAACATTATTTACATTTTACGTATGATATACGTTATTACTGTTTAGAATATTCGTGCATGACGAAATTTTATTATTTTACTAGTCGAAATTAAGGTCATAATACAAACAATTTAATACGTTGAATAATAAAATGATAATTTCTGATTCATATAAGTTTTTAGTGAAATCGCTAGAAATGGAGAAATATAGAGACGGAGCTGGGTGAAAAAATGCGAAGGATGCCTAACGCTCTTAAGGGCCTAAAACTTTCATACTATATGAAAAGCTACTTAAAAGCCCTTTATGGTCGAATTATCTTATTCCTCCATTAAGGAGCTGTCATATGCTAAATATTTCTAATACTAGTGAAATTCACTTTAATTTAGAGATAGATAATGTGTTTTTACGTTTTAAGTATAAAAAATTCGCTTATAAGCTTCTCCCTGCAGATGTTAAAAGTCCTTTTCCTAAAGCTAACCACAGAGAAGAGGGGGATACAAATTGCGAGGTTCTCATAAATCGGAAGTAATTTGTTTCCGGTTCGCCCCTCTTAGGTTGACTTATATCCGGCTTTGCCGAATATTAGTAAACCCGGTTTTGCAGTCAGTCAAAGTCCTTAATAAAAAATAGACGATATATTGTCTAGAGTTATATATTACTTACTTATTAATTAATACTAATCGATAGTGTAATATAAATAATAAGAATAATATTTAAATGGCAAAATGGAGTCTTTTTCCGATGCCTTATTGATATTTGCATCCATCATTGATATAAATTTTTTATCGTTTATGTAAGATTAGTAAAATTTTCATAAAGAAACACAACTGTATGCTATTCATATCAATAAATCGTTTATAAAACTGTAAAATTACATATTATAATTTCAAGTAGCATTATTAATATATAGATAGATAATATTGATCTTGTTGCACAACTAAAAAAAATCCCCTTCTCTGACCTTCTTCGTCTATTGGCATCAAGGTGAGCACTAAGGGCGTCTCTAGCAACGACTGTATCCCTGCTGCAAAGAAATAAAAAAAAACACTTTTTATTCCTTCTTTTTTCATTAGAAACGCTTTGTGCATACTGAAAAAGTTTGCTGCTGTTAAGAAATATATACTTACACACTCCACCAACTACTGCAATCGCCAACGTATTCGCAAGCTCTTTGAGAAAATTTCACCTTACTATAGATCATTTTTAATCTACGTTCATAAATTGACCTAATTCTAACTTTATTACAAAATCCATCTTCGAATCTACCTTTACCCATTCTTACTCTGCAGGATTTAGCACAACATTCCATTCTCCTTTGAAACTCTACATATGTATACTCAACAAACACGTAACGATACATTAACCATCCAGTATTATCTTGACACCATGTTATATAACCAAATGTTGCAGAGTGTACAACAGGCGAACTTTTTTCGATTAGAAGGTTAATAATCTAAAAATAGAAATGAGATAATTGAATATAAACCCCTTAATTAGGCTGATTATATAAAGACCTTATTCGTACAGTCGTCCCTATTGTAAATTAGACGCTGACAGATTACTTTATTAGTAATTTTCGAAATGAAATATTCATCATTTAAATGATTAGCTTCCAATGATAAAACGCCGTAAATTCTAATTAATTCAACTTTATCCCAATTTAAATAAGATTTATTTATAGTTTTATTACTTTCAACCGTTTTATCTGAAATGATAAAGAGGAAGACTTTTTTGAAATTTTCTTGAGATTCTATAAAAATCTTTCGAATGTATTGAAATTTTGGTTTAAGATCATCATGGCAGTAAGAATAAGAGAATAACCTTTCCAATTCGACCTTGTAAATGTCTGCAGTATTTACCATCATAGTTTCAACATATCTTGCAAAGTTGGAAGTTGTTTCGTAAGAAATCTTTAGGGTTATATAAAAAGAAGAAGATTATTACACAGTTGTTGATTAAAACAAAGATTGCGTAATATTATTATTGCTTACGTCTAATTCGTGGTTTGTTAATGGACCGCATGGTGGCCAATAGGTATTTTTAAGATAAATAATTGGTGGTTCGTTATTTGGACCTCTTCTCATTCTACCGTTTATTACTATAGTATTCCTAGAGCAATCGTGAATCCAAAATCTACTCTTAACCCAGTATCCAATGTCTATATTAAAGCTTAGACCCTTAAAGAGACGTATGTCGAATAAAGAAGATTGATTTCTGTTAGAAGTGCACGAAATATGCATCTCTTTCTTTCTAAGTAAATTTAAGTTAGGTCTACAAAGCCATCTAAAACCTCTTGCATAATCAGGATGACTTTGGCATTCAATAGAGAATTTCCTTTTCGTTATATTACAAAAGCATCTAATACAAAGAAGACTATTTATTTTTACAACTAATTTTTACGGTTTCCTCTACAAAAGTAACGAATTTTTCAATTAGTTAATTACGTATCTAACCTATATTCTATTGGTACGTAACTGTATCTGCCTAATTTATCTGGCTCTGGTAGCTCTTTCGTTAGTTCAGCTGCCGGTGTTGAAGAAATATTATCGAAGTAGTATAATGCCCACTTTATAGATTTATCCCTATTTGATTCAGGTCTAGAACTCAATATATTCGATATCCAAACGATCATTATAATAGATAGTATTGGAAGAAATCGTAAAGTCTTAAATCTCATTGTTAATTATGTACCGATGAAGAAAAATGACAAGAAGATCGTAGAAGGAGAGAAGAGAAACTTTTGGACCCAAATAGATCTTTTTTTAAATTTTACTTTTTCTTAAAATCCTTTTAAAAGAATCGTAACGTCGTCAAGATTAAAGCTGTTTGTTTGTTTGTTATTTTTTTTTAACCTATTTCTAAACTATATAAGATAATTATGTTCGTTTTAACTTGAACATTTATATTAGATGTAATATAAATATATATTAGTACATATATAATATATACAGTAGATATATATATATGTATATATGTATATACATATTTATTTTGCAGATTCTATCAGCCTACACAGGACACATAGTTGAAAAAAAAAGTTTATTTTCCTTTAAGAATTCGGTTGTTTTGGCATGCAAGGATCCAATAGGCCTGTATCTGTTTGGAAAAGGTTAAATTCTGTAATAAAATTCTTTAGCTTTCACTCTTTCTCCTATTTTTTAATTAATTCATTTAAATATTTTTTAAATGATTTTTTTTCCTTTATTTTAAAAAGCTTACTTTTTAAAGTAAGGAAGGTTAGGAAGTCTTGAAGAAGTTGTTTTCCTTCAATATCCTTTTCTGCGTCGGTATCGTCTGTTCTTTTAGTTGTTGGATGGCCCATCACTTGTTAATAGAGGAAAAAAGAGGAAAGAATTTAGCATTAGAGTTTCTCTCACGAGTAATAAAAGTTTTTATAATTAAATTTTACTATAGATCCATCCAGGTTTTGAGGAATTCTTATTACCATTATCTCGTTTCATTTCGCTGTCTTTCCTTGACAGGACTTCCTAAAAATAGAGTGGATTGTAAAAGATCATCTTATTTTTGTTATTAAATAGACTTTACCCGAATTGAAAATCCTTGGACTTGACTAAAATACATAAAAATTATAGCAAACAACACCAGGAACTTCATGATCCCGAAAGGCGTAGTTAAAACGATTCTACATCATTTATATACAGAATATAGATAACGCATCTGTTCTAACGGAAATAATTAAATATCATTTATTATAAAGGTAATATTGTCTTTGAAAAGTTAACGTTACTACGACCTTTAAATTAGTCGCCAATTACTCCGAATTTTTATCACTTAAGCACTCGGCAAAAACGATTTAGCGGATTTTAGATGACGACTATAATTTCCGCTTTCCCAGGACAATCGGCGTTCAATTACAATTCTAAATTCTAATGAACTTGGACGCGGTAATTTCTCTTTCAATTTAATTTATTCCTCAATGTATTTAAATAACGAAGACAAAAGGGGGTTTAATATCCGAAATCAAAACCGAAATTAAATAAGGGACCACTCCCTATTTTTTCTATTAAACGAATTTTAAAGCAATAACAGTATTTCATTATTCTTTCTCTCTTCCCTTTGTTCTATTTTCTATTCTCAAAATAATCAGAAATCTTTGTATCTGGTTTTTGTATTCTTGCTTAGAAATTTCCTAGAATACTTGAACTATTACATTGTAAGATTGTTACATTACGGAGATGGACGTGCCATCTAGCGTTTGATGAAGGTAGTAATAAACGGCTTTTTTTTTCCAAAGTTCGTTATAGAATATATTTGATACAGTTTATATTTATATTGTTAAATTATGTCAAATAGTAAGAAGTTTCCCAACTTCCGCTTAATACTTTACGTAATTCTTATCAAACGAATTGAAGAGATTTAAATGAATTCAAACTAAGAATACTTCATTACAGAGAAAAGAGAATGCTATTCTCGAATCCAATCCTATTAACAACAACAACTCAATTTTATAAAGTGTCTTAATCTGATAAAGAAAAGACGAGATTGAACGAAGAATGTATATTAATATAAAACTTCTTAAAAAAAATAACAAAAAAGAAAAAAAATACTTTTTTATTATTACAAAGTGATTTTTATTGAAGTTATTTTTAAAGAGAATCGACCGAGTCTGTAAAGGCATGCATCTTTTTTCAGTATTGGTAAAGAAAATTCTCTACTTACAAATTTTCTGTGACTAGTTTCAGTTTTTTTTTTAATGATGTAAGGGGACTACTGTTTGAAGAATTTCATTCGCTTGAGGTTGAACTTGCTGCTGTCCGTCAATAGGAGCTGTGCAGAGTAGGAAATAGTTAAGCTGTTGGCCGTTAGCGTCGACAATAGCCGGCTGCTGTTCGAACTGCCGCTGCTGAGGTATAATAACCTCTTGCGGCATTCTATTGTCGACGACAACCTGAACGCCGTCTATCGACTGGAGTGATTGCTGTTGAATGGCATTCGTAGAGAATTGTTGCTGTTCATTCGAA